GCATAATGACAAACATCACAGTGATGTATTACTTCAAAATCTATACTAGGAACAGACTTCTGTAGCTCTTTGGTTCGAAAAGAAGAAGGGTGGCCAAGCCTCCAATGCCATAAGTCAAAGTCTTGAGGTGTAAGGTTTGGTGTCTTGATGGAATTCACAAGTTTTGGTGTGTCTTCTGTGTAGGTATGGATCTGGTATAGTCCTCTAATCTCTCGGGCAGAACCAATCTTCCTCAGGGTGAATAGGTCCTGGATATCACACAGGTTGGATTTAAAAGTGAGTGAGATTGGTAGAGTTTTGGTAAGCCTACTAACAGAGACCAAATTGAATGAAAAGGCTGGTACAAACAAGGCTTCAAATAAAGTGAGTTTAGGAGAGATCCTAATAGTTCCTGAATGGGTAGCAGGGGTCTTGGAACCATTAGGCAGGGTTATAAACACATTCTGTATGGGTTTGTAGCTAGAAAATGAATTCAATGAGCATGCAACATGATCTGTGGCTCCAGTATCAAGGAACCACACATTGACAAGTTCCATAGGGTGCTTAATGTAACTGGTACTCAAGGTAAATTTACCTGAAAAATTTGGGTTAACAGAAACATGTCTGCTGATGGAATTCACCAAGGGCTGATTCTGCTGAGTTCCAGATGGCCCAGGAGAGGTAGGAGAATGTGGTGGACTGAATTGGTTCAGTAACCTCTGGAGCCTACTGAGATCCTCAGTTGACAGTCTAATGTTGGTATATCCATCCCCAGCTTCAGATGCACTCTTAGTTTCAGGTACAGTATGCCACTTCCTTCAGTACCTTGAACTTGTCCTGCAAACCCTGATGATCCTCCTGTTTCCTTAGAAGAATTCTTTCTCTTCAACTTATAACAGTCAGCAATCACATGATTGTCTTTCTTACAGTATCGACAAAAGAGATTCCCCTTAGTGTTCTCCTTTCCCTTGCTTTGATTTGCAGCTAGAAGTGCAACTGAGTCCACTTGAGACTCTGGATTAGGCTTAGCAAGTTGCCTCTCATGTTGAACTGCATAATGGAAAGCAGTCTCCATAGGAGGCAGTGGTCTCATCATGAACAGGTTTGTTCTTACCCCTTCATATGAATCATTCAAACCCTTAATGAATCTAGTCACAAACTCATTCTCTCTATACCTCTTAATGGTAGTTTCAGTAACACAAATTGCTCCTCCACCCACTGCTCCTCCACAAACACATTGAGGTATAGGCAAAAATTGACCTAACTCCTCCCAATATCCCTTCAACTCAGAGTAAAACTGGTTCACAGATCTGTTACCTTGCTTCAAGGAATACATAGCAGTTTGCAGGTCACAGATTCTGATGTTGTCAGCTTGGCCAAATCGTTGTCTCAAATCTTCCCATAGCACTTGGGCTATCTCGATGGTGGAGACAGCATCGACAAGAGTGGGATCAAGTGACCCTAGAATCATGAAGAGGACTGAGGTGTTGCTCTGTTCCCAGGCTGGGTAAGATCCATCAGCTGGGTCTGGAGTTGGAATCGACCCAGTGATGAAACCCAGCTTGTTTTTGCTTTTCAACGCCACACGTACAGTTCTGCTCCATAGATTGTAATTCGACGCTCCAGTGAGCTTAATAGGGAAGACAAGAGATTCATTAGGGTTGATATAGTAGGGACTGGTGACGGCAGGTGCAGTGGTGGAGATAGCTCCAAAATTTGTAGCAGTAGAAGATGAATTGGTCGACTCATTGGTAGATGTAGTCGCCATGGTTTACTCAAGGTAAGAAGAAGAAGAAGAAGAATGCGGATGTAGAAACCCTAGTTTTGGTAACCAGGCTCTGATACCATGTGAAACTGTGTAATGGATCAGAATTGGAGAAGAACCCGCATCGGATTCTTGTGCCGCGAAGGCTATATATATGGGAGACAACTCCTTCCTGTACAAGTAGTCTAGGCTAGTTTAATTACAACGGCTAATAAACAGTAAACCTATAACTACCAATGGAAAAGAGACACGTGCTCTGTACAGTAATCAATGAATAAGAAAACAACACTAAGCAGAACGGCATCGTTCTTATCCAGCCCTTCAGTTGCTTCCGGAGAGAACGGCGTCGTGCAGCGAGCTCCTAGTGTCGTTTTGCCAGTACATCTTCAGCATCAGACTTCGTCTTCTCTAACAGTTGCGGTCAGGAGTCACCAAAATCAATTGGTTACAATAGTCAACTTTTGAGGACCGTCCATTGTAACTACTCGTCTTCTCTTAGGGTCCTGTGGGCGAATAATTGTCATTCAAAAGAATGCATTAGGTAAGGATGTCAATATCCACAGAACGATGATGTAATTCATCTGGCTCGAGCAGCAACGAGACGACAGTTGGGATTAAGCTGGTGGCCCCATGCTGATTGGTGAGCGCGTTTGCTTCCATGGAAGTAGTAATATATACCTCGGTTCCCAGGGCAAACCAACAACGAGACTACCGTCCATTATCACATTTGCCTCTCGATCGACTGGTGGTGAGAGTATGCGGCAGCAATTGATTTCAGTGAAGAGAAATCAATCTTGGACAGTAGCTGATCAAATTCAATCAGTTTCAACTTAAGGTGAGTGTAAAGGGGGTAAATTCTAGGGATGGCAATTTTGCCCATACCCATGGGTATTTTACTATCTAACCCAATTGGGTTGGGTATGGATTCCAAATAAATGGTAGATGGGTAGAGTTTGATGGATTTGTACCCATACCCATTTACTTGGGTTGGGTTGGGTTTTTAACACATGAATTTGGGTTTGTACCCATGCCCAAAAGGCAAATTACAGTTTAGTACCTAAACTTAATAGATATGCAGATTTAGTACCTAAATTTAATTTTTTTGCATATAAGTCCTCAAAATATCGATGGAAAATTACATTTTGGTACCTAAATTTTTTTGGCCTTACATTTTGATACCTAAACTTTTCAAGTTTTACAAATTGGTCCAATTTTTGTGTGTGTAGTTAAAACACCCGCAAGTAAATGGATATCCATATCCAACCCATACCCATTTACATTATGAAAACAATATCCATACCTAACCCAAACCCATCTACAAACCCCCAAACCCATATACACTTCATCCATACTAAATGGATTTATTTGGATTTGGATAACATTACTCATGGGTGGGTAATTGCTATCCCTAGTAAATTCTACGCTTTACGATTTTCAAGTATTTTCCTTGAATATTTTCGAGTATTGATTTACGTGATGTATGTGAAGTATTTGATTCATGTTTGAGATTGCATGATTATTGTTGATGATATGTGAGTTTTTGTTTGAGCTATGTTTGATGTGAAGGTGCATGAGTTATTATTTAATTTAAAGCTTTACGAGTATAAGTTTTTATTAAAGAGTGAGAAACAAGTTCTTTTTAAGAAGTAACTCGCCTTCAAGAAGGTGAAGTCGTTTTAAGCGTTTTTAGTCACTAGCGCCAGTCCGTTGCCATTTGAGATTTTCAGATAGAGCAGCAGTTATGCTCTTGAGACTTTTAAGATGAGCAACAGTTATGCTCTTGAGAATCGTGGTGAAGAGCCACCACGATAAGTTTAAGATGTTAGGGGGATGAATTGTTACGACTTCCCTAACTAAGTTTAAGTTTAAGGAAAACCTTGATGGCTTCTCATACGTATGAGTTGGCAACCGGACTAGTTAGTGAGGGATCCCCGTGTCAGTCAAATATTTAAGTCGAGATTTGAGCTTTAAGAATTCAGTTTTAAGAGTTAAGCTTTTTAATAGTGGAAGCACAAAACAACTTCCACTCAGTTAAGTAAAGTGATCAAGTATTAATAAGATGTTAAACGTAAGGGCGTAGACTACCCCATCTCACTCACCAGTTTGAGGAGCTAGAGGAGCAGTTAGTGAGCAGCGAGTTCGAGGGCAGCCAGCTAGAGGAGAGCAGTATAAGTGTCACGGAGGATGCTTAGTCAAAGATTTCAGTAGCAACAACTTCAGAGATTATTAGTTATATACATTTATGATTATGAGTACAGATTGGAGATTATTTTGAGATCAGATTGAGATTTTAAAGTTTGAGTTTAAATTGCCCACGTGTTAGGGCTTTGCCTTGATTTACAAGTGTGTGTTTTCAGTATTTTATTTATGAAAATTGTTTCCCAGTTGAAATTTAAGATTTGAGTATTTTATTTATCAAGGGCATTTTTGTAAAAGTAGTACCCGGCCGGGTTAGGGTGTCACACTTAATTTTCCTTCCTTCAGATCCTTCTACATATTTTACACTTTCTCTCACAGATCTAATACCATCTTTTATCACCTTCAATCCAGCTTGGACAATAAGATTCAATATGTGCCCACAACAACGTATATGAAAGAACTTGCCATCACACAACAATCCATTTTGTCCATTCAACTGATCACGTAATTCATTTTGCATGTTAGTCATATTGCTAGCATTATCCAAGGTGATAGAGAAGATCTTGTTATCAATACCCCACTCTCTGAGCATATGATAAATGGTCGTCTTCACTTTATAAGCGGAATGTGGAGGAGGAAGATGAGTAAAGCTCAATAGCTTGCTATTCAGTTTCCATTCATCATCAACATAATGAGCCGTCAAGCATATAAATCCTCTAGTTGTCAATGAAGTCCACATATCACTAGTCAAACAAATACGACTAGAAATCTTTTGCAAGCTAGACTTTAACTCCTCCTTCATTCTTTCATGGATCTTCACAATGTCAGATTTATGTGTATTCCTTGAAATAGGTTTAGCCTGACCATTCAAATAGCTATGCACATCTCTATTTCCCTTATGTTCAACACATCTAAAAACATAATCATGTGAAATTGTGCATATAGCTAATTTCTCACGAAAACCTTCCTGAGTTATGCAATTGGGACTAGTAGACTCATTCCTTAAATCTGATGGTTGGTGGAGTTTCTTACATACAGCAATATGTCGCTTCAGAGTAGATGTGCCAAGCCTTGACTCCGCCTTATATATCTTCCCACAAAAGTTGCACTTTCCTTTCTCCAGAAGAACTCCATCGTCATCAACGACATTAAATAGTTCTACATCGTCCCACACTTCCGATGTGCGGCGAGAATTAGCCTTCTTTTTAGGGGGTGAAGAAGGGCTAGAACCAGTAGTACTACCAACACCACTTCCCGCATTATTAGGATCCATGTCTGCAAATTCACCAAAGTGAATAACAAATCAAATGTTAATGAGTAAACTGGAGAAACAAATATCTCACAAATATATATCATCGAGTGCTGCCCTCTGTTTTCCATACTTTCAATTAATAAATTACATACCAAATAAGCAAAGATCAAAGCCTTGTGATGTTAATTTGTAAGTCTGACCATTCTTAATTACTTGGAATTCTTTATTATGAGAATGGCACGGTCTGTAACTAGCAATTACCTTAAGTTTTGGGCATATTCAATAGAAGTACTAACTGAAGAGAGAATGGTTGGATGAAACTACTCATTGACTGCTATTGAATGACTAGCTATTGAATTGACTTCTCTATCACATAACCCTCTCGGCTATTGTGGTAATAATATTCAGATTGCAGGGTTCCTATTCAGCTGCTATTGGATTGACTAGCCATTAAAGAGTGATCCCACGAAGAAGAAAGGAATCCATACCTGAGAGAAGATGTGGAGAGGATGGCGGTCGGCGGCGAAGGCTGCGCCTTTGAGCGTCGACGCCGAACTCTAATTGAGCAGGGATGGCGGCGGTCGGCGGACGGATTTTTTGCTCTCTGCTATCTTGCCTTTGGGAATTGCTTGTTGCTGGAAGAGAAGGGACGATGCCGGAATGGATTTTCTGGTCTCTGGGATTTGTTGGACGAGAAGCCGAGAAGGGACGGTGGCGGAGAGGTTTCCAGACAACGAAGCTGGTTTGGAACAGTCGCGCAGTCGGAGTCGCGATGGTAGGGAGGAACTAGGGTTTTCGTTCGATTTGGGAAAGGTGGAAAGGGAAAGCGATTCCCAGTTGGGGGGAGGGGGGAGTAGGGTGGCCGGTTGGGAAGGCCAGAAGGGGCTGGGTGCTTGGGTTGGGAGTGGATTTGGGCCTGGGGTATGGTATTATGTTGGGCTGGTCTGGAAAATGAAATTGGTGGGCTGGGTTGCGGTTAAATGTGTTTACGGTTTCGGTTGCGGTTAAACTGCAAACCGCAAAAAACTCAATATCTCCAACCGCGACCGCAAAAGAGGCTATTTTTGCGGTTTGCAGTTAACCACTAACCGCGCGGTTTCGGTGCGGTTAGCGGTTTAACCGCAACACCGCAACCGAATTCCAGCCCTAGATTCTAGGGTTCGAATCGATGCACAAAAGTCGACCGCGTCGTATGGAAAATAGACCAACAAGACAGGATAAAAGCCTCCGGCAAAGTAGATGGAATTTATTGATGGAGTGAAGAGTGGGGCGCCATTGTGGAAAAGGTTCGGCTGGATTTGCAAAGGAAAGTTTAGGTTTCGATGAGTAGGAACTAGGAAGAGGAATAGAGGATGAAGAATATAGGATGGAGAGGAGGACTGCATCGCATCGAGCATAACCATTAGCCATAGGATTTATAAAACGGCATCGTATCAGGAGTCAACAATGATAAAAACAAAAAATTAATAAAAAGGATAAGAAAACATCAAAAAGGGTAACATGGAATTAAGGCTCGTAAGTATAATGGCTTTCAAAGTAACTAATGGATTTAAAAAAAAAAACGAATGGATTGAAAAAACAAATAATGAATAAAAAAGCTTCGAAAAAACAAGTTACGGTTAACTATTAAGGTTAGGGTATAAGGTATTAATGGTTTAGACACGATTAGTCAAAACCTCAAAATAATAACTTATAACTAATAACGATCGACTTATAGGGTATATGGTTAGGGTATAAGGTCTTAATGGTTTGACCACGGTTAGTCAAAATCATAATTAATAAGATCAACTTTTCTTATTAACATATGTTCATGAATCAAACCAGTAGGGGTTTAGGGTATAGGTTATAGAGTCAACTTGTAGGGTATATGGTTAGAGTATAAGGTATTAATGGTTTGGCCATGATTAGTCAAAATCATAACTAATAAGATCAAGTTTTCTTATTAACATATGTTCATGAATCAAACCAGTAGGGGTTTAGGGTATAGGTTATAGAGTCGACTTGTAGGGTATATGGTTAGAGTATAAGGTATTAATGGTTTGGCCACGATGAGTCAAAATCATAACTAATAAGATCAAGTTTTCTTATTAATATATGTTCATGAATCAAACCATTAGGGGTTTAGGGTATATGATATAGAGTCGACGTATAGGGTATATGGTTAGGGTAATGGGTTAGGGTTAATGTATTAAACAAGATTAGTCAAAATCTTAAATAATAAGGATCAAGTTATTTATTAACACATGTTCATGAATAAAATCATTTGGGGTTCAGGGTAGAGACTATCTAGAGTTTAGATTATATGTTATCGAGTAAAGTTACAATTGAACTCACAACATTTTTTCCAAATTGCCTCGTTTGCCTGCAAAAAATTTGGATGGATCAATCTGCCTGAGGTATTTTGAATTGATCAGTTTTGAGTCAATTTCAATTTGCTAGGGGTGGGGGCAAGTAATTCGAATTGACTCGTTTTATTTGCCTCATTTATAAAATGAGACAATTGATCAAATTGACTCATTTATTGATTGATCCATCCAAACCAACCCTATATTTAAAAGTGGAACCATTGATAATCACTAATCTCATTTTTGTCTCTTGGAGTGGCGGGCCTTTTAGCTTTTCAGCCTAAATTTGGAACTTCCCATTTACCTTTTGGATTGGTGGCCATTTTCAATTTTTGCAGCCTAAATTTTGAACTTCCCATCTACCCTGCTTGCCGCTTTCTTGCCCATAAATGGAAAATTAACCTTGACAGCTATACATTTTTTTTTAGTTAATCATTTTAATCACTTAACTCATATACTTTGATTTTGTAAATTCAAACCCATCCAAATAATTTAAAACCCTAATAGTTTGCTTAAGATCAGAATATGTAGGATGTATTATAGTTTTTAGACACAGGCAAACACGTTTCATTTTCCCAGTAATGGCATTGGCACCCGTGTATTTGGCTTTGGCGGTAAAATAGATTTTTTGATTTGATTTTCTTTCCTCAAGAGTCAAAATAGACATAAATCTTTTTAATATATTTTCCGTTATATCTCTAGTTTTTGCCCGATTACATCTCTATTACCCTCTTATCTTCGATTCTTTTGGCCCTATATTTGGCTTTGGCAGCGAAAATCCTACCTAAACCTCCTCTTTTTTGTAGTGGTAAAACCCGCAACCTGAACCGCCCGACCCACAACCCGATTGACCCGCACCCGATTGACCCGTAACCCCATTGGCCCGCAACTCGATTGACCCGCAGCCCGATTGACCCGCAACCCGAGTGACCCGCAACCCAATCAACCCGAACCCGATGAACCCGCAACCCGAATGAACCCAACCCGAACCCGCCCGATTGACACCTCTAATTGTCACCAAACAAAAGCTGGTGCAATGGGGTAAGCAAACTGATGGTTTGTGTGTGTTTTGTGGTAATGAAGTGGAAACCAGAGAGCACTTGTTCTTTACATGTGTCTATTCTCGTCAAGTTGTTTCAGCACTGCATATGGGAGTATTTTGTTGTAGCTCTTGGGAAGCTACTGTTGCTGCAGGTATTGCTAGTTGTAGAAGGGCGAAGCTGGGAAGAGTGACCAGTATGATCTGGTGTTTATGCTGCGCTGAAGTTTGGAAGGAAAGATGCAGGTGTATTTATGGTGATGCAAGTAAAACAGTAGAGGAGCTAGTTCGGGAAGTCACCACTGAACTGCGAATTGTCTGCAGTGATAATGATTAATGAAGACTTGTTAGAAGGATTGTAGGTGCTTGGTCTGTTGGAGAGTATGTAGGGGATTGGTAGTTGTTGTTTTTTGAGTTGTTTGTGGTGGAAATGGTTTGGGGTAGAGGTTTTTTTCGCTTTTCCTTTCTAGGGATGCTCATCTCGAGATTTCCTTTTCGTTGTATTGGTTGTCCATTTGTGCTTTGCAAATGGTCTCTTTTTGCAGTCAATAAAAGAGTAACTAATTCAACGAAAAGAAAAAAAATGTTGTGATTGTGATTTGTGAGAAGAGAAATAAGTGATTTTGATTTAATGCTATGCTTGATCCTAGGGAGGCATCGAATGGATTCCTATTACTCAATACTCATAGTATAGTTTTTTTAAATGAGAATACTCATAGTATAGTTGACTTCAGGGGTTGGTGTGTATAAATGGAGACAAAAGATCATAGAGTGATTGACCTGCTCTTTACATGGTCTAATCAACAAGTGGGCAATCCCATTGCAAGGAAGCTTGATAGAGTAATGGTTAATATTGCCTGGTTGACTAAATTTGAAGGATGTGTGGTTGAATTCTTACTCCCAAACTTATCATATCATAGTGGGATGTGGATTATCCATAGATTAAGCACCAAATTACTTTTCAAACCCTTTAGGTGCTTTGATATGTGATAAAAGTATTCCCGTTACAGAACTCTACTGGGGAAGTACGGAGTAAGGAAAAAAAGGTTCTACCTCAAATAAGGTGACAAATTGGCTCAAGGAACTTAAGCAAGAGTTGAAGAAACTCAACAAAGAGAAATTCTCTGATATTAAAGCAAGGGTGCAAGAATCTGAAATGATTATGAAGAAAGCTCAAACTGAAGTTGTAAGGAAACCTTTTCCTTGAAAAAAAGAGCTACATAAAAGCTATTGGAACTTAAGCATGCATAGGAAAGCTTCTTTACGCAAAAGTCACGAATAAGCTAGCTTATGTTGGGTGATAGTAACACATCATACTTCCATAGTACAAATAAATTAAGAATGGTTTGTTATGTTTGAGGTCAAGCGTTCTTCTATGTGGTCAACCTCTTCTATGGAATGGTTGACCTCTTCTTGATATGATCGACCATTTTGCTGTAAATGGTAGACCTCTTCTTGATATGACAGACCACTTTGTTGGAAAAGTTGACCTTTATGCTTATGAGTCTTCTACGCATGGTCGACCGGTCCAGATTTAAGGTCGACCGCAATCTTCCATCAGAATGACCATGTTGGTGTCATTGCTCGACCACAACGCTTAGCGGTCGACCATTTTTTCCAAGTTATAGTGACTTGCAAGTCACCATGAACATACCTAAAATTTTAAAATACCAAAAATTTGAAAACACCAAAATTCTTCATTCTTGCTCTTCCCAAACCCCAAAATTCTCCCATTTGTCTATTCTCAGAAAGTTGAAAAAACATAAACAATTCCGTTGTTCTCTTCAATAAATTAAATTCACCCAAAAAATATTCCTGATAATTAAGGTACCAAAATTTTCCTTTCTTTCTCTTCTAAAATTGAGCACACCCCCTAAGAGTAGTAGTAATTGGGATGCAAATCTAGACCAAAAATAAAAAAAATTACATATAAATCTATCCCAAAATCAAAATTTTCCAAACATGATTTGAATCATAATAAATTGGTTAAATACACTTGTATATCCAAAAGTTTCACGGTTGTGCCAATAATATCCAACTTTCCCGAAATACCACTTATATCCAATTCCTTCACAATCTTTAACGGTGTTTTTGAATATACAAGTGTATTTAACCAAAAATATATTGGGAAGTGGATATATTTGGCAAAGAACAACTTTAAAACATCGATATAAGTGGTATTTCGGAAAATTTGGATATTATTGGCACAACCGTGAAAATTTTGGATATACAAGTGTATTAAACCTAATAAATTTATATTTTGAAAATACCTAAATTTTGAGTCTTTTTTACTAGCCATAATCTTTATATCACACCCGATAAAAACATAATGGTATCACAATAATACTAAATGAATCGATAATTGTTGATTCTCTTTGCGCTGTCACATTATACAATGAGTAAGCTGACAGTAGAGGTTCGTTTGGATGTATTGTTTGGGTGAAAATAACTCATATCAAATAACTCATTCGACAACACTTTATCGAAATGAGTTATTTTAACAATGAGTTATTTACATAAAACGTATCTCATACTATTTTGAAATAACTCATTTTATTCATATGTTATTGTTAAAATATCACATGTCAATGTCAAATACTAAATGTGAATGATTCTGTAAAACAAAAAATTTAAATACAACATGATATGATGATAATCAATAAATTAATTGACTCAGTAAACAGTAATTGCCGGTCTATCCATCAAAATGACCATTGGAAAACCGGATTCTTGCCCAAGGTAACATAGTTTAGTGGTGAAACCACTGGACCAATTGAGCTCTAGATGTGGGAGGTCCTGAGTTCGATTCCCAATGGCGCCACTTGTGCGTTCCCGGCGGCTAGGGGTGGCAACGGGGCGGATCGGGGCCGGTTACCCTGGATCCGTTGCCCACCCACCATGGGCCTCGGGTATCCCCGTCCCCGGCCCAAACGGACTTGCGGGCCTGGTTGGATAACCATCTTCGTCCCCAATGGTTAATCGGGTGCCCGCGGGTCTATAATACCCGCTACCAAACCATGAAAATAAAGATGAAAATGACAAAAAAATTCTGGAAACTGGACATTTTATTCATACTGACTGGTCTGTTAAAAAGACTTGAAATAAACAATTGAAAGCTTGCCAAGCAGCTCAGCAACAACAACCAAAAACAACATATGTTTCGTGTTTGTGATAGAAATGATCAAATCAAATGAACCAAACAACCAAAAAGAAGGATGTTCCCAAAATTCTAAATGTCTAATTCTTATCCAAAAACAGTAGACTGAAATAGGTTCAAGCAACAGCAACGCAGCAACATTCCATCTAGGTTCCAGCAACATTGAATCATTGAGAAATCATCCACCCGACCACCCCTGACCCTCATGTAAACCAGCAGACCAGCAATCATCAATTGAAACTGAATAAAGTACACACAAGAGGAATGATTCAGTTAGTAAAGACTAAATGAATAATGCATCAACGACAACAAATACAGAAGACATTTACCTTGGTCCCACAGCAGATTACCAATCAGTCTTCATGGGTAAATGGTGATCTCATTAAGGTGAGTTCTGGACCTGAAAAAGCGAAACAATGCAAATGTAAGTATTCCTCAATGAAGTAATAGAAATTAGAACACATTATGGAAAATGAATTATTGATCTTACCACCAGGTTCTGCCTCTTCCACAGTTGTATCTTCGAGTATCATTGTTGAGAAGAGTCCATCCAATGCCTCCACAGCAGCCTCCGAATCTGCAGAGAACCAGTTGAATGAGTTCATACTATTATTAAAACGTAAACCAATAAACTTGAGAGATTTAGTTGCATTTTACCTCGTTGCATGTCCTCCATTATCCAACTCCTAGTACACATCATTGCCTCCACAGTCGAATAATGCAGCCTGCTCCGGTGAGGGTCTAACAACCTCCCACCAGAACTAAATGCTCTCTCAGAAGGCACAGAAGTAATAGGGATTGCTAGAAAGTCCCTTGCAAAATTGCAAGATCGTATACTTCAAACCATTCAATTTCCACCACAAGAGCAGATCAAACTCTGATGTGCGAGGAATGATATCCTCAGCAAGATACACATCCAACTCAGTTGTAATCAAGGAAGTCTTACTCTTTTTCCTTTGACTTACAAAGAGTTCAAAAGTGGCAGAGGCAGATCCAGAACCAGAAGAAGTTCCAGTTTCAGAACCAGATTTGTTTTCAGCTTTGGTTTGATAATCACGAATCAAACCACATATCATTTGCTTGATATTCTCAGCAACCAAACCAGTTTATGTATTCCCAAACTTTCCAGCATAGTATTCAATCACATGGAGTTTATATCTAGGATCCAAAACAACCGATACAACAAGCACAAGATGGATATCATCCCAGTACTTATCAAACTTCAGTGACATTTGACTAGCCATTCCAAAAATCACAGGATTGGGATCAAGACCCCACTCATTCACTTTAAGTCTGAGATCACATATCTTAGGGAAGAACAGATTGACAGTCGGATATTTGGAACCAGAGAACAACTCAGTAATCTCAGAAAAGATTTCCAGCTTCTCAATCACAGTAGAAGCAAATTCTCATTGTTCACTAGAAAGAACTGATGTGTAATGATTGTCTCTCAAACTCAAACGAAAGAAAACATCCTTGTAGAGAATAGCAACAGAGAGCATATGATAGGTGGAATTCCACCTAGTTGGACAATCAAGGACTAATTTTTTCTCAACAGATTGCTTAAGTTGCTTAGCAACTTTGAAGAAGGTTTGAACCCTCTTAGGTGTAGAATTCCAGTAAACTACACTCTCCCTAATCAAATTTATAGCATCCTTGATTGCATCCAAACCATCCCTTACAATCAAATTCAGAATATGAGCAGAACACCTCATATGAACCAATTTACCATCAAGCAACAAGTCACTGCTCAGAAGCTTAGTTCTCATGTGGAAAATCATGGAATCATTGGTGGTACAGTTGTCCAATGTGATTGAGGACAACTTACCATCAATGTTCCAATCCAAAAGACAATCAAACAACCTATCAGCAAGCCTTTCACTAGTGTGAGGGGCTGGAACATACATAAATCTCATCATTATGTTACGGAGCTTCCAAGAGTTATCAATGAAGTGACCAGTTACTGCCATATAACCCCTTTTCTGATTTCTTGCAGTCCACAAATCAGTTGTAATTGAAACCCTCCCCAGGTTACCATCAATAATGGTCTGATATTTACCCCTTTCAACACCATACAAACTCAAAATGTCCTTTTTGACAGTGTTTCTACTAGGAACAGCGAACTGAGGTTGAAGAGAACAGCAAAAACGTTTGAAACCCACATGATCAACAAGGCTAAGGGGGTACTCATGGACCAGAATCATTGAACAAAGTTCCTTCCTAGAAACCTCATAATTGTATTGAGAAGCAGAGAGTTGAGGATTTCCAGCAGGTTTATAGTTAGGGCCAAGTATTTTTTGAGAACCATCATGTATCCTCTTTTGGATACATGTTTTGATATGGCTTCTTAGGTGTGAAGTTCCATTACTTGTTTCCCCACCAAGGGATTTACGACAATACTTACACCTAGCCTTCATAACCCCATTAACCCTAACTCGGTTAAAGTGAGGCCACACATCAGAGGTTAAATTACGTTGATCTTCAAGCTCCTCAACATTACCAGGTTGTTCAGGTTGAGGTTGGACTTTGGACACCATTTTCAGGGACATTGACATTGGGAGCAAGGTCAACATTTATAGCAGTAGGAGCACCTTCCATCTGAACATAATATATATTAAGCCTTAGTTAATACTTAATAGTTATTAACTTAGTTACATTCCATCTGAACATTAAGCCTTAGTTAATAGTTATTAACTTAGTTACATTCACAATGACAAAGCTAAACTTGCAAACAAACATCTTTAGCAGCAAAATCACGCTTACAGTTTAATTAATTTTAATTATTAGAATTATGAATCCACTGATTGTCACAACAAGTCGCAACATTATGAACAAACAGTCAAACACAGTGAGTTGAGGCTTAGGAGAGGATTGGGATTACCTTCTCGGATTGGAGTTTTATGTGGACTGTCGAGTACCCAATGATAGTAGACTGCTCCTCACTGCTCACTGACTCTGTTCTGCTTCAGTTCTCTAAACCAGTAAACCCAATCCAAAGTTCCAAACGAGACCAACCTAGCCCAAACAAGAGTGAACAAGAAGAGTCAGTGAACAACGAACACAAAGCAAGTTAGAACTGGAATTTAATGCATGCATGTCTGTATTATGAGACCACTAACCCATAATTCATAAAAAGTATAGACGAGATCAAGAAACTTACCCTCGATGACTGGACTCTGTCTGGAGGCTCGGGCGGTCGGCTAAATCCCTCGGTCTCTGCTCTCTGTTGACTCGACTGGGGTGTTCTTGTTCTCGATTTCAGAACTCAAAAGATGGCGTGGTGAGAAACGACCTCTGCGCTCTGAATCCCCCCTATATATACCAGTACAAGAAGAGTCAGTACTCAGTAGAGAGATAGGGGAACGAGGAATCATGGAAGATGCTTGAAAGAAAAGATAAGAAACCCAGAATTAACTTATCTTTTCTCGAAGAATCAGCGATTTGAACTTCCAACGAGGCAACGACTCGTTTTTGGACTACGGCCGACGAAATCTTCGTCGGATGGTTGCTCTTTGAGCCATGCAATTGGTCGAATGGAGGATTTGATGAGGGGAAATGACGAAAAATCGGCCAGATCGCGATTATCTAGCGATCTGATCGCTAATCGCCAGAGAGGAGGCAGAGAGAAAGAAGGAAACTAGGGTTTCTGTTCGTTTGGTGAAGAATGGAAATGAGGCGGCTGCTAGGGTTTCTCTAAGGGAAAGCAGAGATTATATATCGCCCTCCAAACCCCGTCGTTTTTTACACGGTTAAACCATCGGGCGGGTCGCGGGGCGGATACTGGGCTAACCACCACCGCCCGAAAACCATGGTTGACGAGTTTCGAGTTACCCGCCACCCGTTGACGGGCCAGAGAACCACAACCACATGGGCCCTTATCGGGCGGGCTTCGGGCGGATACCCGGATTTGGGCCCCGGTCTGCCATTCCTACCGGCGGCACCCTTGGTATTAGAGGCGAAACCTCCCCGATGTTGGTAGCAGAAAGCCCCGGTTAGTATGCAGGTACCCCCAGTGGTTTAATAGGCCCCACTGTCGCTCAAGCGGCACGTGGGGCTGGAGTTCCCTGGTTATAAAAAAAAAACCGGATTCTTGTTCTTGATAATTGATATCGAGGAAGTATTTTCGCCAAAACAGTTAAATTCAAGAGTGGGGCCATCATTTTCCGAACAACAGGTTGTGCCCTTGTGCGAGAGAAAACTCCCCGATCAAATAAGTCGGGCGATTAGAATTCAGATGACACCTCCCACTCCATTACTGTGAGCCGCGAAATACTAGATCCACCGGCTCTGAATCTTGAAGCTCCGACCACAGTCTGCACTACTACTACATTTCCATACCGGTAGGCTGTAGCGAATGCATTGAAACGTTCACTTCCGATATACCAATCTCCCGCTATTTCGTCCACAAATCGCATCTATTTGCAAAACCAAATTCCATGGGATCGATCTGCGGATTATAGTCTGTAATCTGTAGATCGAAGATGGCGAACTACCTTGCTCAGTTCCAGAGCATCAAGAACTCGTGCGATCACATCGTAATTGCAGGTGATTTCGTCTTACACCTTCCCATATCTCCCCCATTTGATTACTTGAATCATGCCTGTCTTTATTTATTCATGTTAGCGAGCTGAATGCCGTGTTCGTGAGTGAGTGATACGAGAGCACTGTGCTGCTAGATTGGAGCTGTGCGATTGAGAGGGATTCATTGAGGGTTAGATTGTTGTGTCCTGAAGTATTTTAGGCAACAATTCAGCATATAGGAGAGCGTAGATCCCTGATGAAATGCAGGGTTCTTTGGAAACCGGTTGGAGGTCTGTTTTGGTTGCTCTTCAGACCAATGGAATTGGCCAGTTTTGAACATTTACGGAGGATTCATAAACTTCTCTTGGTGCCATAGTAGGGGAATGCCAATGCAGTTTACAGTCCAAGTACTAGAGCTGAATTTGAGCTAATATTGACCAAATTGTGACATTTTAACAGTTGGAGTTTCGGCCTCTTTACTGTCACTGAGATAGTTTGTGGTGGTTGCAAACCTCGTGATAAAGTTGCATGCCTTGCACTTGTTGGCAAGTACATACCGCAGTGGAACTAGTCCTGGAAGCATTGCTTAGCTTTAGTTTATTTTTTTGACTTGGCATACTAGAACTTAATTGAAAAGCTGTTTGTGGGTCTGGAATGTTATTCAAACTCATATCTATACCACTTAATTGCAGAGGAGTGGGGGGGGGGGGGGGGGGGGGGGGGGGGGTAGTAGATATGCTGGATTTTATGATGGGTTCTGGAGTTTTCTTACAGCCCACCTAGAGTAATTTGGTGTATAAATAGCCTGACGTCAAATACTTAAAATGTGTCTTTCCCCCTCATGATGTTGCTCAGCCATGTTTAAGATGGCTCAGGCCTACTCATTGTTAATTGCTTCTTTGCAAGGTGGGAAATCTAGAGTTAGATGATTATGTCTTATTTATTGAATTGTTACTCATGTTTTCTGCCTTTGGTCAATGAAATGCTTTTCAGTTGAAGATGTGAGTGATTTGTGGCCCACTGTCAAAGGCAGATTTGATGAGAGGTTGCCCTTCAGAAGAGCTTGTTTGAACAACAAGACACGGAATCCTGTTTTTGTTGAGAATCTGAATGCAGAATTCATACTGACAACAGACTCAAGACTTCGCAGCCGGTTCCCTCAAGAACAATCACTGTTTTGGTTTCGAGAACCATATGCAACTGTGGTTCTTGTCACATGTGAGGTACCTTTTCAATTCAATCTAAACTTTCCTGTGTGCTTAGTATAAGCTAGCGAATTAGTGCTCTTCTAATTGCATATGAGTAGCTTATTACTTAAGGTTTCTTGGATTCTTTTTGACCAATTTGTGTCTTATTCGCCTGTGTGATCCTGTGAGTGTTAAACTTCTTGTTTTGTGCATATGTTTTGTAGGATCTTGACGAGTTTAAAACCATCCTTAAACCACGCCTAAAACTAATAGTCCAAAATGATGAGCGGGAATGGTTTATTGTATTTGTATCTCGAGCCCACCCAAGCAATGATAGTGCAACCAAGTCAGCCAAAAAGGTATATGATAAGGTGCAAGTTGAGTTCAGCACGAAGAAGAGAGAGAGGTAAAGTTGATATTTGTAAATTTTTTTTATATATATTTTTGTCGAGTTTATGTGAGTTATCTGGTTGTTGCTTTCAAATTATTATTATGTTGCATACTTCCAAGTGTTGGTCATTTTTAATATTCATATTCAACTTTCCTAGATATCACTTTTCCGCGTGAACCTTTTCCTAGGTGCTTGTTGATCACACTTCAATTGTCAGATCAAAGACATCTTGGCAGGGCCAAAACTGTATGTAGACTCTGTTCCTGTGGGGGCTTAAGAATCATAGTTGTGATAGCCTACGGCGCCAATGCCTGTGCCTTTGCTCCTGGAAAGGGAAAGAAAATGCATTTTCACCCTTAAGTAGCATGCCTAGGTGCAGAGACGCACCCCTTTGGGTAATATATAACAAAAATTTCTATTGTGTCTCTAGGCTCTGTTAGATCTAGTCCACGTGCTTCTTCCTTTTACTTGAGATTCAACTTTGGAAACGTGCTACAGTTTATCTGTATGTATGGTGATTAACTGATATTGATGCCTCAAGAATTGGTTGGAACTTGCAACTAAAGGAAAACTGCAAGTTAATGAAGTTAATGATTCTTTAGCTGGAGCTAGCATTATATGTCAGCTGTTCTTCCGTTTTCTCCTGGTTCTACTCGTTTCGCTGTTTTCTTCAAATTTTGTTTCTGTCCCTTTCTTCTTTGTTTAATGAAAGCTGTTACTGTAGATATTAGTCACTTCAGGCTGCAGCTAGCATTGGATGTCAGCTGTTCTTCCGTTTTCTCCTGGTTCTACTCGTTTAGCTGTTTTCTTCAAATTTTGTTTCTGTCCCTTTCTTCTTTGTTTAATGAAAGCCATCTTAAATTCATTGACTTTTGGTACTCCCCAATCACCAATGCTATTTGATCTCTGCTTTTTGGCCCTTCTGTTAATTACATATCTATTTCTTTTTAGTAGATCAGCACTTGCAGATATATTTCTGATGAAGTTAATACCAAGGGGGAACTATTGGCAATAAAATTTTCTTTTTGTGTAACTGAGTTTAGGGAACTGAAATTCTAGTGTTTTGTGCCCCTTCATTGGTAAGCTATCAAAGTAACTCATAAAAAGGAACCAACCACCAAGCTTTTTGTAAAGTTATTCAAGTTGTAATTGTTACTTCATTTTTTTAATAATAAAGACGTAACCTTGTCTTTACTATTTTCTGGTATTTATCATTTTCCCATTGAGGAGAGGACACACAAACTTTTAATGAGTAATGTCTGTGCACCTTGCATTTTGTAATTGTACCCTTTTGTTCTTTGCTAAACCCTTGGTTCTTACTTGCACAGTAATTTTCCTTTACTTGGACAATGAAGGTTATGATAGTGGATAGATCTACAGTACACTCTTAATGTTTATGTAGGCACCATGATTTGGGTGATTGTGGTGGCGGCTTTTTCAATTGTTATTCCTTTATCAATATTCTCCATGATTCTTCTTTTCGTGCCGAGTGATTTACTAGCAATGACCCTTTGCTTGTGTTGCCTTATTGCTTCTAACATGTTCTTACACAGGTGCTGCAAATTTGATATCCATGGCCCTGAAGCATTATTTTGGGAAGACTTGGAATCCAAAATTATGGAGTGTGTCAGAAATACATTGGATAGACGTGTACAGTTTTACGAGGATGAAATACGTAAACTCAGCGAACAACGATTTATGCCTATTTGGAACTTTTGTAACTTTTTCATATTGAAGGTTAGTTTATTCTCAAGTTATTTTAACGATAGTTTTGTCAAGCCATAGGTATCAGGAGATTGAATTATATTTGAAATATTGTGATACTCGACATTGCTGTTTCTTTCACCGCTTTTTCTGCACTTGGGTGTCCGTCATCTTGGAATCATATAGACAGTCTCTTGAGATGGCTTTGTATTTATAATCCTGAAGCTAAACATTCAATCTTGAAATTTTCAAGCCTCGAAAGTTTAATCACTTCGTTATGGCTGTAGAATATTATTGGTATGTAATGAAATTTGGTTCTTTCGTTTCGCAGGAAAGTTTGGCTTTTATGTTTGAGATGGCCCATCTTTATGAAGATGCATTGCGCGAATATGACGAACTAGAACTCTGCTACTTAGAAACAGGTACCTATCTTACCGTATATAGTTTATCTGTAGATGCATGACCCAGTGTTATATCTTGATACTAGATTTTTTTAGGAATGATCCTCATGAGGGTTGGATAACATTCATTTGTGCATAAGATTTTGTTTGAAATCCCTTATTTGTTAAATGTGCAGTTAATATGATTGGCAAGCAGAGAGACTTTGGAGGTGTTGAGCATGGTGATGATCAAGCAGCACTGCTGAATCCTGGGAATAAACCACTCTCTCAGATCGTTCAAGATGACTCCTTCAGAGAATTTGAATTTAGACAGTACCTCTTTGCTTACCAATCAAAGGTTTGGATGTTGAACATTCTATAAGATGTTCTGTTCTACAATGTATGTCATAAAGTCTGCTCTAGAAAGTTTTACCAGCACAACAGTCTGCAACTTCTTGTTTTGCTGAAGCTTTTACCTCCAAATTGCAGCTTCTATTCAAGCTGAATCGTCCGTTTGAGGTTGCATCAAGGGGTTATTCATTTGTAATAAGTTTTTCAAAGTCACTCACATTACATGAGGTACATGATGGTAGTTTACAATTATTCAGTGTATGATTTTATCTATCTCGTTCAAGACTACATCTTATTTCTGATATCTGTGTTTCTGTACTGTGCCTTTCAGCATAAACTACCATTTTGTATGCGTGAAGTCTGGGTAATAACAGCATGCTGGGATTTAATCACGGCTAGTTCTTCCGAATATAAAGCTGGAGTTGTGGCACCTGACATAGAGAAGGAGTTCTATCGACTTCAGGGTGATCTATTTTCATTAGGTCGGGTGAAGGTAAAGTTTCTCATGATTTGGTTCAACATTAAATATCTAATTATTTTGGATTTGCTTGGTGAATTTTCCCCTGATATGTGTTTTGTGTGACTTGTGCAGTTCTTGAGACTTGCATATCTAGTTGGGTATGGTAATGATATTGAGAGAAGCCCTGTGAACAGGTGAAAATCAGTATTCAACCACAAAACTACCCCCTAGCTTGATTACTTGGCTTATCGTGCACACAATGGGAACGAATCTCGTTATAACTTGGTGGCACATTTTCTCATTAGACTTCAATGATTGGGTTGAATTTGAACTTTGTGTTCCTTCCTTTTGAGCAGTGCTTCTCTCAGCATGCTGCCTTGGCCCAGGCCTTCAGTATGGCCATCAGTTCCTACTGAAGCTTCATCTGAGGTGCTTGAGAAGGAAAAGGTGCATTGCTGAAATGACTTGCTATTCAGTTGGCTTGTTCTATTTCAATGTGTTTTACTTCACTATCTGCAGTTGTTGAACTAATAACTGCTTATAAGCATGGCTATTGAAGGCGCCAAAAGGAAAATCCTTTTGAATTGATGCACAATCTTAGGATTGCTCTTTTCTGAATCAAATTTCTTCTTTCTTCCTGTCACTATATGGGGGTACTGTTCTCTGAATATATCCCTCTCACCATTTTCATCTTTGTGCAGCTGATCCTCCAAACTACACCCAAGACTAAGCATTTTGGTATTCAGAGAAAAAAATTGCCTCTTGAACCCACTGTGCTTTTGCGTGAGGCTAATCGGCGGAGGGCATCACTTTCTGCAGGCAATGCATTTGAAATCTTTGATGGTCACTCAGTTATGACTGATGGGTAATGTATTTAGGATTTCCTGTAATGTGTGCCAACATGCATATTTCTTTCGTAGTTTGTGTTTTAGCTTGTGATATGGAAGTCTACTCATATCCATTTCTTCAAGGGAGATCCATACTCTCATCTGACTGGCACATGAACTGACAGATCAGGTCCAGATGGTTCATCAAAGTCACCAAACCCACAGAAGAAAGTTGGAATTTCTATGTCTCGAACATTCTCTTCTCCGGGGAATTTTGAGGGGCCACCAGACAGGCCTATGAGAATTGCTGAAATACATGTTGCTGCTCAGCATGCTTTGCAGGGCACAATTTCTGATGAAGATCTGTGGAAATCTTTGTCAACTGTTGAGGAGTTTGAGGTTAGATTTATTGAAACACTTGCAAAAAGTTCTCACCTGTTCTGTTTGTTTCCACTTGTAATCTTGCTTTTTATCACTTTTCCTCTGAATTTTATGTCTGACATATGTTGCTATTTGACACTATGATCATGACAGAAAAAATATCTCGAGCTAACTAAAGGTGCTGCTGACAATTATCATCGTTCCTGGTGGAAAAGACATGGTGTTGTCCTTGATGGAGAAATTGCAGCTGTTTGTTTCAGACATGGAAACTTTGACCAAGCTGCAAAATCATATGAGAAGGTCTGTGCGTTGTATGCCGGAGAAGGATGGCAGGAGCTGTTGGCTGATGTGTTGCCGAATTTGGCCGAGTGTCAGAAGATGTTGAATGATCAGGCTGGCTACCTGTCATCTTGTATCCGACTACTGTCCTTGGACAAAAGTTTGTTTTTGAATAAAGAGCGAGAGGCTTTCCAGGCTGAACTAGTCCGTCTTGCACATAGCGAGTTGAAAGATCCAGTGCCTTTGGACGTGTCATCTTTAATTACCTTTTCAGGAATCCCTGGACCTCCTCTGGAGTTGTGTGATGGGGATCCTGGTACTTTATCTGTCACAGTTTGGAGTGGCTTTCCTGATGATATGACTCTTGATTCAGTGAGTCTCACTCTGATGGCAACATTTAATGCTGATGTCGGTGCCAAGGTAGTATTTTAATCCCTCACTTGAACAGTTGTTCTGATTCAATTATGGAGCAGTTTATACTCTGGGTCTATCTTCATACCTCACAGAATTAGATGTAATTTTTTCAGGCAGTGAGGAGCACTACTGCTGTGCTAAAGCCTGGAAGAAATACCGTTACCCTCTCTTTACTTCCACCGAAACCTGGCTCCTATGTCCTAGGTGTTCTTACTGGGCAAATTGGTCAGTTGAGGTTCAGATCCCATAGTTTTTCTAAAGGTGGCCCAGCAGACAGTGATGATTTCATGAGCTATGAGAAGCCAACGAGGCCTATTTTGAAGGTAAACATTTGATGTCTCACTTGATCACATTTAAGAATATGAAAATCATATCATTGGTTGTTCTACCAAAGGAAGAGACATGCTGAAATTATGGTTGGCTTTATGCGATCAGTGCAACTGCTACCTTTCATGTAATTAACTTTGGTTGTCCTTTGCCAATCAGCTGAATGAATTTTTCCCCATTAATAGGTTTTCAAACCAAGAGCTTTGGTTGATCTTGCTGCTGTGATCTCTTCACCTTTGCTTATAAATGAGATTCAGTGGACTGGGATTGTTGTGCGTCCAATCGATTATTTGTTAAAAGGCGCTATATTGCACATTGATACTGGGCCAGGCCTAAGCATTGAGAAGTCGTTTGTCATTGAGATGGAAAGCTGTGCCAATTTGTCACAAAGTGAACCTGATACACCAAATTCCTCTGGCAGTCAAAATGGTAGTCCCACTGCTTATAAGCAATCGGAGCAATTAACTCTGGAGGATGGAAAAGTAAACTTTCCAGATTGGGCAAGCGATGTGGATTCTGTAATTTGGGTTCCCATTTGGGCTAAAAGTGACAGTCTTCCGAGGGGATCATCATCAGGTTATATGGACATGCAAATCTTTGGTGGTTTTTCTTGCAACAGCTTTTCAGGTTACTGTCTGGTTGAATGTGATTGCTTTTCTTACTAACATTTTATGTATTTGTGGACAGTGTCCCCTCAGAGACCGAACATGGTGGATGGCATGAGAACAATTGCTTTGAATCTGGAATTTGGGGCATCACACAACCAGACATTTGAAAGGCATCGCTCATTCAAACTCTAGATTCTACTAGATTTATACCTTCCTCCTACACCTGTATTTTTATGTTCTCTTGTGCTAATTTCTTGGTCTTCTGTATTTCACCATCATGTTCAGAACAATAGCTGTGCATTTCAGTGATCCTTTCCATGTAAGCAGCCGCGTTATTGACAGATGCAATGAAGGTACTCTGCTTCTTCAGGTATGTTAAGCTTAGATTGTTCAGTTCCCTGCCGAAATTGAGATAAATGTGGGATCATTTTTGCAGGTGAACTTGTTTTTCGTTCTCTAAAGTTGACTCATTCTCAGTTATCATTTGGTTTATGCATAAAAAATTTCTGATGTATGTCTCTTAAGAATTTTTCATATCCGATGTTTTTGTTGCTTCTAGGTGATCCTGCAATCCCAAGTTCAGGCCACTCTCACAGTATATGATGCTTGGCTTGAACTGCAAGATGGTTTTGTTCATGCTGGACGAGGTGATGGACGACCAACTTTGGTCTCCTTTCCTCTTGCAGTTTCTCCAACCTCTAAAGGGGGAATAATCTTCAACATCTCCTTAGGGAGGACAATTGGTAAAGGTTAGATATAACTGCTTTTCTGAAAGTTGTCTGGAGATAGAGTGGAACTGTACCACAGCTCGAGCTCTTTGGAATGTTTAGAAGTGTAAACCCTCACAAGTCACAACCTTGATTGTTGTAGAAATCATGAGTTTAACAGTAACATCCTCAGTTAAAGACATTGGAGCTAGTTTGAGTTAGATATTTAGGCAAACTTTGAATATCCTAAAATTTTGCGCAAGTTTGGTTTGATTAGCTTTCTTGTATAAACAAAGTATGCTTTAAAGGCTCAAAGTTCTCTTTTCCCCTTCCATTCTTTCATCTCACTTGTTGTCCTGTTACACCTTTATTCAAAGTGGGTTCCTTTTCAAAAAGCCTTAGCGAATTCGTGATGTGAGCCTTTAATTTCTTTGGTTTTCAGATGAAAATGGTGCAGAACAGCCAGAAAGCATATTGAATATCAGATATGGAATTTCTGGTGACAGAACCAGTGGAGCACATCCCCCAGTGGCTATGGAATATTCTGGATCTGATTCTGCAAGGAAGGACCTGACTTTCAGGAGTGTCCTTGTACTGCAAAGGCCCGTGCTCGACCCATGCATGGCTGTTGGTTTTCTTCCACTTCCTTCAGTGGACCTCAGAGTTGGGCAACTTGTTCCAATGAAATGGAGAGTTGAAATTTTGAAAGATATGGAGGACAAGGAAATCTCGAAACACAATGTAAGTCTCTTTTCTTCATGACACCAGATTTGGGATATTGACCTTAGAATATGCAGTAATGTTTTGTCTTTCTTTATAAAGTGGCATTGCCTGTTGCTGGGTCTCATTTCATTCTCATTAATATTGTTCCATGGAAAGTTCACATGTATGTGCTTAGATTCATTGATGCCATCTACCTTCAAAGATCAACAGAACTCTGTGCTTTTCAGTGTCCTTCACCTTTGATTACAACAAAGATCTTTGTTGGATTTTGTGTCTGCTGACTTTATTGTATCTAAACCAAAACTTACTGCTAAATTACTCAATTTTTGGTCTTTCAGTTCATCACAAGTAACTTAACTATTGATTAATTTCATCTTGCACATCAATTAACTTTTTGGTTTCTTTCATTTGAATCCCTAAATTATACATTTAATTGTGTACAAGTCATGGAGCTATCCTTATGTTCAGTATCATTTGGGTCATTAAATTATGCTTTCCAATTCGAATGGTTCAACACCATAAGTTTATGTTAATCAGCATGTAAAGTTATGGAAAGATTTGACAGTTCCCAGTTTGGTGTGACATGTTTCGGTGTAAGTGAAGTAATAATTTCTCTAATTTTCTCGACTATAGTAAAATAAAATTAGTTGAATCTATAGATAATGAGATAATAATTAGACGTTCTATTGTATACCATGCTATATTAAAAAGTGCTTTTTATATTCCCAAGTTTTAGTGGGACGACTGTTAAAGATAAACTTTTAGTGACCATCTCTGTAACTGGGCCATTTTAGTTTAGCAACCTTGAGGGAATCAGAATTCTTCATGGCCTAGAATTACAAGTGTAGTTTAGTCACCACTGGTGCAGTTGACCTGAGAAACCTACTTTTCATGAAGATAATTATTCAAACTAGCCTATGTTTGGTTCCTTAATGTTTGAGAGTATGCACGATCAGTCTGCCTCGGCCTATTATATTACTAGAAAAGTGAAACATTTGAGGACCAAGTCTTAATTGTTTTGGCATATCTATTATTCAACAGGAGGAGGTGCTGTATGAAGTGAATGCGAATCCTGAGAATTGGATGATTGCTGGAAGGAAGAGAGGATATATTCCTCTGTCGAAAAAGCAAGGTATAGGAAATACTCGAAACGGTTTTTTTTTTTGGCTCACATAGTTTTCTCTGGCAGTTATAGTTTAGATGATGGTACTAATGATCATTTTGTTGCTTCAGGTTCAAGGATAGTGATATCGGTGCTGTGTGTGCCTCTAGTTGCTGGGTACGTCCGACCTCCACAATTGGGACTGCCTAATGTCGATGAGTCCGACATAAGCTGCAACCCTCCCGGGCCTCACTTGGTTTGCATAATGCCTCCAGCACTCAGCTCTTCTTTCTGCATCCCCGTATGACCTTATTTTATGCCAGATTTTTCTAAATGAGTAAACTTTTTATGACTGTGATCGTTGTTGCTGTAACTTTTACCAATGGAAATAGTGTAGTAGCTTTCTGGAGGCGGGTAATTTTCGGATACATCCATTTGTGTTCTGTCCTCTGTGAAAATTCGACTTTGATGTATCGGCTAGTCATAATGGAGATCGAGAAGAGGGGGTGTTGTAGTTAGGTTTCTGGTGATAGTAGTTTCAATTTTGTTGTACTTGTATAGCAAGAACTTGATAGTTTATTTGAAACATTGGCAAGCTTTAGCATGCTGAGATTTTCTCCTGTCACTAAAAAATTTCACTTTACAAGTTCAAAATTTTCGAAAGGTTGTTTGCAGATTTTCCACTTGCATTATGAGCGAATGAGATATATTACATCTATTTCCCTCTAGTTTTCCCTTTCTCATCTACTCTCTTTCGTATATTCATTATCGTTTGTGGTAGCAAAGTCAAATCTTCATTGTAAAAAGATACAAATTAATTTCTTCCAATATCTCAATTATAATAAACATTGAATGATCAGTCTGATGAAATAGGAAAATTTCATGAAAGCCTAGCTTCTTTATTCATGTAGTATGTATGTCTTGTATTACGCATATATTAACCATTTAGTTCAACCAACGCATATTTTTCACATGAATTTTATTTTAAGAAACATGTTTATCAAAATGATTCTTATTAACCTTTTTCTTCATCATAATGATTCTTATTAACCTTGTTGGGCATATGCTCCCCCCTCACTTCACATGTTGTGTGCTTACTGGGGATATCCCTGTACAAAAGAAAATGCTAATTGGGTCGATTTACTAGAGAAGGTAACTGCTTGATGAACTCATCAACAAATGAATGGACAGTGACAGTACAAGCTAGTTCTACGAAGGGCGTACCAGGGCATGGGAAGGAACCAAAACGAACATACTTTCCTGTGATTGACAATGTAGAGGGGAAATCGTTCAACGATTCGATCTTCAAGATCGAAGATGCCACAAGCATTGCCATAGCCAGACCCACAGAGCGGATAATCAACTGCATATAGATCATATTCTCCATGACCCCATTGCTGCTGCCAACAGCAGCAGGGAGGGCAAAGGACTGGTGAGAATCAAGGAACAACAACCATCCAATTTCATCACTTCCTCCCAACCATAGTCTTCATCGTCGTTTCCTGTAATTGCCTGCTTGAATACATTGAATCGTTTGTCCCTGCCATCTCTAGCCCCTTTGAATGAGCGAAGGATGATCAGGGGATTGTGATCATTACCATCATAAGACTGCGACAAATATAATTGCAAGTAAGCTGCAATTGCACCGTGGACCAACCACAAGTGAGCTGCCGTTTACGTATTAAAATTAGAGCGACAGATGATAATTTTAGGGCGACCTACAACAATTCAGATTAGGATTAATGTAGGGTTAAAAGCTTTGAAAACCTCGCCACTGTGGTGAGGGGGATTGAAAGCTATGGACAAGTCATTCACCTTGATTGCATCGATTTAACGTAACCATTAATGTGTTGACAAACAGAGAGTTATAACATGGGCAATGCATTTTTTTATCCGCCGGTAGCCACCTTTTTCCCACCACCTTCTGTGTCGTTTGCTGAGGAGGTTGATAGTTTTTCATGAATTGGCGTCCCAGTGAGATCAGTTTATGCTGCTTGACTCATCCTGCTCAGTGGGCATCGTTCCAACTTCTAACCGAGCCATTAAATCTTGAAGCTGCAAAAACCACAAAGCTCATCTGTAAATTCAACCCATGCAGGCTTGCTTCCTCAGTTTTACTGTGTAATTAAAGAGACAGAAAAGACTCAAAACGCAGCCTAACCTGTTGTTCCAACATCTGGATCTTGTCATCCTTCAACTTCAGAGCCTTTTTCTCGCTGCAGATATAGAAAACGGGAGATGAGTGTATACGGAGAGAGATACCAGTAGGTTTACATGCAGAGTCAGCTTGCATATTCATGCAGCGACAAAAAGTTAAAAGAACTTGTTGCTCCACAGAAGAGGAGCATACATTTCCAAGATCACAATACAGTAGCTAACAGGTCAGATCAGTAGGTGTAGGTTTACATGCAGACTGAGCTTGCATATTGAAGCAAAAAAAAATTGGAAGAACTTTCTCCCCGAAAGAGGAGACATTTCCAAGATTGGTAATTATAACAGTAGCTAACAGGTCATTATTCAAGTTAAAGAGACAAACCATGTAGTGGAATAGTATTGTCAAAAAAGTTTAAAATATACCTCTCCTCCATCTGTAGTATCTTCACTTTCCAGACTTGCGGGTTCTTCACCAGATTTTCATTCAGCTACAAGGAGAAGCGAGAGACAAATTATCTTCTTTTTATTAAAAAAAACCTCTTATATTAGCTCAACATTTTATTTCTTAAGAAGAAAAAGCTATCCAATCCAGAAATCCAACCTCATTTCAAGCCAACCCCAAGAAGAAAGGGACTTACATCATCCAGAAATTTCTTTTCTTTGGTACATCTTTCTAACTTGGCCTGCAGCTTTGGTACTTTTTGACTGACAACCTTCTTAACAGCTTCAGACGTTTTTCGAGCAGTTTCGTCTTTAACCTCTTGTAGTAAAGCCTCAAAATACTGCACATTCATACAAGTATTGTGAATCGAAAGGGACTTGCTAGAAGGTCAACTATAACCTTAACTAAAGATAAAGGATAATCAGTTCTACCTGCTTCTGGTTTTCAAGTTGTGTAGCCAGGAGTTCGTTGTACTCATTAACAATCTGGGAACACAAAATTAGCAGACGGATGAGGACGTTTCAAATAAGAACTGACATAAATACATGATTTATTATAGTTAATTAATGGAAAAAGAGATTACTGCTTCAACTTTGCTGCTTAACAGTGTCTCGCTGATTCCAGAGTCCACACAGCCACAACTCCCACAACCATCACTAGCATGCATGCAATGGGTATGCTCGACCAATTTTCCATCTGTTTTTGATTGAATTAGTCGGTGAACATAGTTGTCCCCGGCATAATCCCAAACTCGTTGTGTTTCCAATTCAAGAGAATAGCAATGTTGGGTATCCTTCCAGTGTCTCACAGCATGTCCTTCCTTATACCTACACATTTAGGAATGATGAAATGTGGATATGCACAGAAGGAGATGAAAGGAGGGAGATAGCTGTTGTCCAGTAGTCGAGAGGGGTGGGGGGAGTTACATACCTTCCACAACCAACAAATCCACAGATCAAACAGATCCATAGGTTCTCTGAAGTTTGGCATATAAAACATACAGATTTTTCAGGCATTTGCTGGCAATATCGGCAAACCTGTAAAGATGAGATTGTCATAAACTTGAAAGGTCTGTGAACTTCACAACAAATTAGAGTTCGGGAAGTTAAGATAACACTAAAGTAAGCATCAGGGCACCTCCTAGGTCCAGTTCTTAGCTTATGCCATCAATGTTAACTGGTAGGAAAGGATTCTCTGTTGATTATCAGATTGGATTCAACTATCAGTCTATGAACAAGTTGTATGATTCTCAAGGGCATTATTTGCATCAGTCATAAACAAAAGCTATGTCTGAGTATCTATCAATAATTCAATAAACATAACCGTTGACTACCGGCTAGTTGATCATGTGCGAAACTAGTGCAGTGAAGTTGTAACCACTTACTGGACAAGAAGAGTCTGTCCATTTTGAGATGCAGGAGCAGTGAAATGAATGATTGCATATGGTCGTAAGAATTCCCCCCATGTCGTGGTCTAGTCTCTCTGTAACATAGAGGGAGTATAAGAGCACGGATTTGACAAAATTTCAGAGGACCATCTCTAAGAAAACATAATAGGTCTCTCTGCAAAGGTCTAAGCAGCTTTGAAGTTCAAATTACCACATCAATATAGCACGTGTGGGAATCTCCGCTATAATCTCACATCAATATCAATATGACTTTATCACGATAAACGCGAGTGTCAAAATCAGGGCAAATAAATTGGGAGTGATGACCTACAAATATGGTCTAGAAACATTCTGTTTCATTAAAACTATGTGCTGACTTGCAAGTTGCAACAAATACAAACAGCTAAGCAAGTCCTATTAGCCACCAAAGTCTGGTAACTTTAGGGTCAGAAAGCACTTTTAAGAGAAGTGGGGCATTGAGATGCAAGACTAACCAAAGAGAGAGTTCAATGAAGTCCGTGGGAAGAAATTGAGGCCAGTTTGAAGCATACCAGCACAAAGGGTGAGAATGGATCACTAGCTCTAAGCAGGAGAATGAAAATATAGTGCATTCAAGTTTAATTTGGTCACAAACTGCTCAGTTTTTCCTTTTCAGTATGCAGATCCCAAGACCCCACAAAGGTTACAACTCTTAAATCTAGTATGTCCCTTTTAATTCAGATTTTTCAGTATGGCTAGATTATTAGAAAGAACTTTCAATTTTTCTCCTTACATTCACAAGTAGATGCCACGGGAAGGATATAATTGAGTTGTGAAATAATGAACTGAAAACAGTTCAGACCAGCACAACGTACCGAGACAAACTGGGCAAGAAGAATGTTCAGTTGTGCTTGTTGGTGAAGGCTGACCATTTTCATGTGAACCACTATAACCAGTGAACTGGACATCAATGGTAAAATGCACACGACAAACTTCTTCCTATAGAAACAAAAAGTAATTGTTAAATACTGTGCAGTCTCTGTGCATAACTTCTCTGTCAACAAATTAAGGTAATAATAAAGTGTACCTCCAAAGAGTTGAATTCTCTGCCATTGAAGTGCAGGTAGAATTTATCTGCCGAGTCTTGATTTTGAAATCTCATCAAAATACTATATCTATCCTCCATCTCGTCATTCCTATAATGCAGGAAGCAATGTCAGCACCAAAACCAAAAGAAAGGAGGAGCGTATGGTCGTGTGTTTGCTGCAATCTGGTGCTGGATAGTGAGTCTACTCTGGAAGGAGCGATGTCAACGCGTATTTGGTAGCAGTCGAAGTTATTGGCCAGTTCTTTTTGATCGATCTAGACAGGATCTTTTGTTATATTCTCTTGGTAATAATGTGTTTCGAGGAGAGGTGCGGAGCTTGCCATCCTTTAGTAGGTTACTGTAGGTCTTAGACCTGTTATAGCTTTGTGGACGCTGTCCAGGTTTTTTACGACATTTGATCTATTGATCAAGAGAGCTTAATAATAGTACTAATTACCGGGGGAAAAAACAAAAGAAAGTGAAAACATATGCAACCAAAAACGCATCCGGCCATGAATTAGTAGTTCTTGTTATGCCTAATCCATTGCCGCGAAACATTTAAGAAATTGTGCAACAACAAGATCAGAGAAATCAATGTGTTGATGTTACCTGACAATCCGCATCTCTAATATGTGTTGGGTAAAAGAACCACAAAACTTGCAAAAGTCTGCATATGTCATGTGGTTCGGCACCCCAAGCACCGAAACAAGAGGTTTCCTTCCAACCTAATCAAAAGAAATAGATCGAGATCAGATTCAGTGATCAAAGCATATAGTTTCACTATCAGAACCAAAATAAAACCCAAGGAAAAGAAACACTGGAGACAGAAAAAAAATGTATCCGAAAAGCGTAAGCAAGTAAGCATACAGGAAGATGGGAAGGAGAGTCTTCACAGAAAAGATGCATGATCCCTCGTGTCTCTTCAATTCTGGGGTTTCCAGATGAGAAGTGGAAAGTCTGAGTCAGACTCGTCGAAGAAGACGTCGAAGTGGAGGTGTCAGCAGGGTCTCCCAAGACGGTGGCAGCTGGTTGCCGGAAGTGGTCGGTGGCCGAGCCTACAGGAACTGCCATGCTTGAACTTGGCGACATATCTTGGAGTTTCAATTGGGAAGACATTTGATTGGGCATTGGCAGCACAGGCAACCTGAAATGACGAGACTGAACTTGCTGTGTGGAGATGATGAGATCTCTTCTGACTTGGAACAAAAGAGCGGCAGAATCAATCGGCGATGCAAAAGGAACCGACTTGCTTCAATTTCAACTCTTGCTGAGGGAAGCAAAAACTAGGAATGAGCTGATTGTATACTAGTTGATTAGTCATAAGCAAAATCCACTTGGAGATTGAGCTACACAAGCTTGGTACACAGTGATCAGTTATTGCCCAGACCACGAATTCATCCACAAACAATCATGATCGCCATAAATTCAACAAAGTCTGGATAGAATGTAAACCCCAGGCAACATAGCTCGATTGAGAAAGTAAAACCCAGCCCTGAAACCACACGAATTCAACGCTCCGAACATGCCATGATTTACCTGTAATGTCGCGAATAGATCAGCGAAGTTCGTGTTCGTCGATCGCTGCAACCGCCGGTCTCTCTACTGTTTCAACGCTGGAGAGGGAGAGAGAAGTGAATGAAAGGATCGACCGTAGGGGCGTTCTTCAACTGGCAAATGTAAAATAGTTGAGGGACCATGGACGTAAAAACTATAAACTAAAGGATGCAATCGCAGAAGTCACCAACTAACATTACCAAGCGCGGAATCTGTAGTGCCGCCATCCTAAAAGCCGTTGGATTTCCAAAGTTTAACCCTGGAATTAGATCGGGAGAAGGAAAACCCAAAAGGCAGTCAGTCAGCCGCACATATAAACTATCGCTGTCTCCTCCCGTCGGCGTTTTCCATCCATCCCTTTGTTGGTCCACAGCCATGGCGACCCTTCGAAAAAGCTCAACTCTTCCATCAGAGTTGGTAAACCCTCCGCCGTCTCCCTTCACCAAACTCAGGGCCGACGATCTGCTCGTAGAAATTCTGATTCGACTCCCGACTCCTAGAACCGCCTGCCGCTGCAAAGCCGTCTGCAAGCGGTGGAACTCCCTAATCTTCTCTCCATACTTCAATCGCCGCTTCATCTCTCACTATCAGACAATCAAAGATGGCCCGCCTCTGCTTCTTCGCTCCGACGACCACCCGGAAACATCGACCATCCTCAGCTTTCTCCCTGTGCCGCAGCAAGGTCGAGGCCGTTTTGCAGTCCTTGATTCCTTCAAGGACTTGCTTTTGTGCGGGTTTGTGGATCGAGTTTATGTCGACAACGAACTTGGTAGATCGTATTTGGTCTGCAATCCGATTACCAAGCAATGGATCGCGCTTCCTTTAGCGCCTGAAAAGGAGGGTGCTCATGGCCGTGCCTATATAAAATATGTGCACGCGAGGTTAGTCTGTCAACCCCGTCATAACTATCATCTTCAGCTAGGAGATGGCCAAGTATGTGTTCATTCTGAGTATCGGTTTCGGGTGGTGTGTGTATATGCAACTTTCGAGCCGGTTGCAACTTTAAAACTGGACGTGTATTGTTCAGAGTCTGGAGAATGGACCAAGGATGCTCTTGTTCTTGCTGGTCGACTAAGAAAGATTCGGCCCCATTCACTTTCGTGCAATGGGGAGTTATTTTGGTGGTTTCATTATACCGGGGTTCCTGGCTATCCAATGGTGGCTTTCAATCCTTTCTGCCTTGAAATGCCTCCCACCGTTATTGATACTTCTTCAATCCCACAGCCCGAGTCCAAACGCCGAGAGTGGATTGCTTCTGTCTCACAAGATGCTTTGCACATAATTGTAGCTGAAGCTAAAAGGGCACCTATTATTTATTCAAGGAATGCCTTCACTGTTTGGAGGCTGGAAGAAGATGGTAAGTCTTGGAGGAAACTATATGAAATGTGGTTGAGTGAGACATCATGGAGTGATTACGACCTCGAGTATATTCAAGTACGTAATCTGCATCCAGAAAAGCCGGAAATCATCTTCTTGCAATCTTTTGGTCATCGTCATGGTTTTGCAATCTTGTCTTGCAACTTGCGGACGGGTGAGCTAGAGTTCTTGGGTCCTCTGGGACAATGTCTGGTTCCTTTCGTAAGTTTTCAGCCTGGCCTCTCTAGCTGCCCTATTTCGATTCCAAGGTATAAGGAATTGCGAGCTGTGTATGATGGAAGCTACAATTGTTTGGTTCAGACTGTGGAAGCAACTCCTATAATTGGTATCACTTCTGCTTCTGCGAATTTACCCTTGCTTTCTCAAATCTAAGATGAACAGATGTGTTGCATTTGTATTCTCTGTCTTTTTTGTGGTTTGGCTTCTAATATGATCACCGTAAACTCAACAAGGTCTGGATAGAATGTAAACCCCAGGCAACATAGCTCGATTGAGAAAGTAAAACCCAGCCCTGAAACCACACGAATTCAACGCTCCAAACATGCCATGATTACCTGTAATACCGCGGATAGATCAGCGAAGTTCGTGTTCGTCGATCGCTGCAACCGCCGGTCTCTCAACTGTTTCAACGCTGGAGAGGGAGAAGTGAATGAAAGGATCGACCGTAGGGGCGTTCCTCAACTGACAAATGTAAAATAGTTGAGGGGCCATGGACGTAAAAACTATAAACTAAAGGATGCAATCGCAGAAGTCATCAACTAACGTTACCAAGGAAAGCAATGAAATAAATATGGGTAGTTTGAAATAAGTTATTTTGACGGTTTGACCTAGTTTGGCAAATAAGAGATTTTTTCCAAAATAAAACACGTACTGAAAAACTTTTTTTCACAAGTGTATTTCAAATGAAAAGTATTTGAAATATTGCCTTTTAAAATGCATGTATTTGAAATATTATCATTTGAAATAGGGCTAATATCATTGGGAAACTCGAACTATAAACTGTGCGCCATTTGTATCCTAAAGTATTCGATATGACAATTGTTTCACAACGTATGATAATTGTGTGTCATTTATGTCCTGACGATTTCGTTGATCATTATAGATAACGGTTGACCAAACGGAAGTCAACATTAACATTGACTTTTGTTGACGTGGCAGCCACGTGGATGCCACATCAATGACACTTCATATTTTCAATTAAAAATTAAAAAAAAAAATATATTGTTATAAAATTAAAAAAATGTGAACTCAATTAATTAATATTGTTTCTAAAAATTAAAATAAAAAACAAGTAAAGGAAAACTCCCCACGATCGCATCCTACTCCCTCTGTTCTTCAGCTTCTCCACTGCCGATCATCCTTCATCCAATTACAAACCCAAATCACAAAAATACCAACCATCGCAAACACCAAGTCTTGGACCCTGCTCCGTCGCTTCCGCTCCCACACCCACCATGTCCTTCTGCAATTGGGGATATAGGATTGACTGAGATCTGAAATCGAGAAGAAGACGAATCGATCCAACCTAAGGGTAAGCGACCAGATGTCGGCGTCGAAAGAAGACGAATCTGGAAGTCATCACCGAGTTCGGAAGGTAGATCCACCTTCAAGTAGAAAACGGAAACAACGGAGACGGTGGTGATGGCGACAACGAGCATCACCGAGTTCGTCGCCATCTCAAATCGCGAGGAGGCCGACAAATACCACATTTTATTTTACATTTGTTAATACCACATTTTATTTTACATTTGTAAATACCACATTATGGAAGGCAAGTTTTTGAGACCCAAATACCAAATGAACTAAATCCATGACAAAAATTCAACTAAACAAACAATGTTATCTTTCAAATAAAAAAAATCTACTATAAATACAAAGATTTTCAAAACTCAAAACCTTCATTTTCAAATCCAACAAACAAACGAACCCTAGCTCCAGCAGTAACAATGCAAATACTGGTTGTTCCCATTGATAGTGCCTCACACATATATTCGAGACATGTCACTTAATAATGTTAAAGCAAATGACGACACCTTCAACAACCACTACTTACAATACAAATATTACAAACCAATAAAAATAAAATATACAAATCATAACATAAAAAAGACAAACTAGACAAATAAACATTATAAATTACCATATGTACTAATTAGTCATATAAATATTACTAACATAATAGACAAAATGGAATTATAAAATATATAAACCGAACTGATAACCAAACTTACAAACATTACAAAATAGATCAACAAACATCACAAAGTTGTTGCCGCCGTCTTAAAATCCCCTATAGTCGGTAAATCCTCTCCGCTATTTCCAAAAAATTATGTCCCTCTCTCTAACTCAAGTAGGGGGTGAACAAAACAAACAGAAAACCGACCCACCCGTCCAATCCAAACCGACCCACCCGTGATATCTATAAATATATGATTTCATGGGTGGGTGCGGTTTTATATTTAATAAACCGTAGCTTTATGATTGGATTTGGATGGTTACAACTCGAGGTATCCAAATCGAACCGTGATACTATATTATATATTTAATATATATATTCCTCCATCATAAATTTCTTACTTTAATTATTATTCATGTAATTTATTGACATATTAGTGTTGATAAATTGAAAATCGATTATTTACCATAGTATTTTCTAAACATATACACTTATCTCCGCATCCTCTCTTTATATTTTAATTTTTGAGTTTACTAAATACTCCACGCGCGGACTAAATTGTTGGGGGTGTTACTAAATACTCCACGCGCGGACTAAATAAGGGCGCGCTCAATCGGTAACGTGCTCCGGACGAACGCCACTACGAAGTATTTAAAGGCATGAAACTCCCCCATTGAAAGGGACTTTTTCTCTCTCTCCTCACTTTCCACTTTCAACTATCTCTCTACACTTTATCTCTCTATCTATTCTCTCAATTCATCTACACAAACATACACTGACTTGCTCGTCGGAGCTTAATCCGGGGGGCAACCCCGGCTCTTTCACAGGTTCTCCCCCTCCCGACGGGATCGGACGAACGGACGACGAGTCTACCCACACCAACAAATATCATTGTTCGTGTCTTGAGCAAGCTGGCACAAACAATTGGCGCCCACCGTGGGGCATCACTTGGACATTCTGTTCATCTGCTTCCTAAAGGAGGAGGAGACCTCAGTAGATGAGGAATGGTGGAAACATAAAAAAAAAAAAAAAGATGAAGACACCCCATCTTCGTCACTCTCTTCTTGTCTTCTACCATCATACCTTCTGAAAGAAATCCTTCTTTTTTTGGTCAAGAAATTTCAGTGCAGTGGCGATGCAAATTCCTGCTTTCCGCCTCCCCCGCCTATTTAACCACTCTTCCATGCCTCTGCTCCATCTCCCCATCGCCGGCCAAATCAGCCCACCAAAGCTACAATGACCGCGCAGGATGAGGAGAAACAGTAAAGCAATCCAGATCTCCGACGACTAGGCTCGACGCTGGACCTCCGGTGAAGAGAAACCGTAGAGTTCAACCCATTTCCCAAAAATCGGGCATGCTCCACTACAGTAAATAGACCACAAATCGAGGAACGGGGGGAAGGTCTCTGTCAGAAAAAGAAGATGGGCAGAGTTTTCGAGGCAAGCACAGTTACCAAGGCAAGAGACGACCCACTATCGACATCCTTCCTCGCCGCATAATGGTTGCCGCAACTGCTCACCAGCCGCCATCATCGATTTCGCTGCAAGCTCTGCTCCGCTCTTTCCGACGCTCAGCCTCTCCGCGCTCCGCTTTTTCGCGCACAACAACAGATGTGAGTTCTGTGAGATCGCCTCCAAAGCCACCACTCTCGTGTATCTATGCGCGCCTCGTGACACAAGACCAACCAAATTTTGTTTACGGCGCGCGGTCGCGCTTGACTTGAGCTTCTCTCTCCCATCTCTCTACGATGCAAAAAAAAAAAAAACTCAATAAGGATATTTACCCTACTTCTCGCTCCACCAATATCCACCAAGACTGTGTGCCCGCGCCACCAACCCGCAGCCCGAATCCCAACTCACGGCTCAACTCTCCTTCCGCCAAGTCTGCTCTCTTCCACATGGGCCCACCCAACTCCAGTTCGCAACCCACGGCCTGCTCACAAACTCCGCTCCACTTCAGAGCCCCGGGCCGAACCCTAACGCGCGGCCCACTTCAAACGCCATGCATCGCATGGCTCGACACCAATAACGGCCCGCTTAACATCTGGCCCGATCAGCAACAAACCTTACAAGCGCCATCGAAATAGAATGTAGTTGCGGAGGTTCGAAACCGCGCCACTTCTCCAGGAGACAAGCGCACTAACCAGTATGCAACAAGACTCCATTGGTCACATAAGCGAGGAGCATTTGTTTTAACATCTCCTCACTCGCGATCCACAAGGCCCACTCTCGTGCACCAAATATGTCCGCCAGGCACCTCTTCGCGTCCCGCGTTCAAAGTCCGCTACGAGCCGCCTTACATGGACCAACAAATTCAAACTCGCGGCCCGCGCCCGAGTCAGCATCACAGGCCACAGCCTGGGTCGCGGCCCACCTTCCGCATCAATACCCACTCGCGGCCCGCTCCACCCTTCAGCTCGCGCCACCGGGCCCACCTTCCGCCTCAAGCCCACTCGAGGCCCGCTCTACCCTTCAGCTCGCGTTTCTGGCCCACCTTCCGCCTCAAGCCCACTCGCGGCCCGCTCCACCCTTCAGCTCGCGTCACCCGGCCCACTCCCGCCAGATGGGCCCACCACCGCTCAGTCGTGCGCGAGGCACCCCAAAAATCATGCGTGGTAGACAGGCGTCGAACCGCTGACCAAACATTCGCGTGCAAGCAAACGGAACCAGTGGACTACGTGACAATTGTTGTCAAATGAGCGCGGAAGGTTTATTTTACCTTTTTGCTCGTGCTGCTTCTCCAACTCGCGGCCCACTCACCAAAGATGGGCAATCCACAACTCGACAACAGGCGCTGAGACCACCAAAACGAAAATGTCGCCGCCAAGAGGAATTGAACCCGCGTTCACTCCTCAGCCAGACAAGCCATATCACCAACAGACTACATATGCGCGTTGTGATTCTTTGGCGCAACACTCTTATTTAACTCTCTTCGCGCCGCTTCGCCAATAGAAAGCTAAGTACTCTATCCCTTTATCACTATCAAATATTGAAATATTTTACTCTCATGAGCGTTAATGGCGCTAAGGGAGAGGGCACATTGCCTCGAAGACTCCAAACTGAGGGTTAAAAACCCCGACGAGGAGCCACAAATAAGTCTCAACGAAGCACACAAATAAGACTTCAATAAGAGCATCGAAGACTCCAAACTGAGAGTTAAAAACCCCGACGAGGAGGGCTCCAAACTGAGGGTTAAAAACCCCGACGAGGAGCCACAAATAAGTCTCAACGAAGCACACAAATAAGACTTCAATAAGAGCATCGAAGACTCCAAACTGAGGGTTAAAAACCCCGACGAGGAGCCACAAATAAGTCTCAACGAAGCACACAAATAAGACTTCAATAAGAGCATCGAAGACTCCAAACTGAGGGTTAAAAAAAAAACCCCCGACGAGGAGAGCTCCATGAAGAATCTACAATGAGTGAAGGCTACACGCCTTAATGAAATACACCAACTGGGGGGCAAGACGCAAGAAGCTGGCACCGCGTCAGTCAAACGCGCCACCAGCTGGGGGGCAACTGGGGTACATAGGGCTCCACCCAAAATTACCTACGAAGATTTAAAAAAAAATAATAAGCTAGCGATGAGTTAAGACTCACCACCAGCTTGGGGGGCAATTGTTGGGGGTGTTACTAAATACTCCACGCGCGGACTAAATAAGGGCGCGCTCAATCGGTAACGTGCTCCCGACGAACGCCACTACGAAGTATTTAAAGGCATGAAACTCCCCATTGAAAGAGACTTTTTTTCTCTCTCCTCACTTTCCACTTTCAACTATCTCTCTACACTTTATCTCTCTATCTATTCTCTCAATTCATCTACACAAACATACACTGACTTGCTCATCGGAGCTTAATCCGGGGGGCAACCCCGGCTCTTTCACAGGTTCTCCCCCTCCCGACGGGATCGGACGAACGGACGACGAGTCTACCCACACCAACAAATATCATTGTTCGTGTCTTGAGCAAGCTGGCACAAACAATTGGCGCCCACCGTGGGGCATCACTTGGACATTCTGTTCATCTGCTTCCTAAAGGAGGAGGAGACCTCAGTAGATGAGGAATGGTGGAAACATAAAAAAAAAAAAAAAAGAGGAAGACACCCCATCTTCGTCACTCTCTTCTTGTCTTCTACCATCATACCTTCTGAAAGAAATCCTTCTTTTTTTGGTCAAGAAATTTCAGTGCAGTGGCGATGCAAATTCCTGCTTTCCGCCTCCCCCGCCTATTTAACCACTCTTCCATGCCTCTGCTCCATCTCCCCATCGCCGGCCAAATCAGCCCACCAAAGCTACAAAGACCGCGCAGGATGAGGAGAAACAGTATTTGAAATATTGCCTTTTAAAATGCATGTATTTGAAATATTATCATTTGAAATAGGGCTAATATCATTGGGAAACTCGAACTATAAACTGTGCGCCATTTGTATCCTAAAGTATTCGATATGACAATTGTGTCACAACGTATGATAATTGTGTGTCATTTATGTCCTGACGATTTCGTTGATCATTATAGATAACGGTTGACCAAACGGAAGTCAACATTAACATTGACTTTTGTTGACGTGGCAGCCACGTGGATGCCACATCAATGACACTTCATATTTTCAATTAAAAATTAAAAAAAAAAATATATTGTTATAAAATTAAAAAAATGTGAACTCAATTAATTAATATTGTTTCTAAAAATTAAAATAAAAAACAAGTAAAGGAAAACTCCCCACGATCGCATCCTACTCCCTCTGTTCTTCAGCTTCTCCACTGCCGATCATCCTTCATCCAATTACAAACCCAAATCACAAAAATACCAACCATCGCAAACACCAAGTCTTGGACCCTGCTCCGTCGCTTCCGCTCCCACACCCACCATGTCCTTCTGCAATTGGGGATATGGGATTGACTGAGATCTGAAATCGAGAAGAAGACGAATAGATCCAACCTAAGGGTAAGCGACCAGATGTCGGCGTCGAAAGAAGACGAATCTGGAAGTCATCACCGAGTTCGGAAGGTAGATCCACCTTCAAGTAGAAAACGGAAACAACGGAGACGGTGGTGATGGCGACAACGAGCATCACCGAGTTCGTCGCCATCTCAAATCGCGAGGAGGCCGACAAATACCACATTTTATTTTACATTTGTTAATACCACATTTTATTTTACATTTGTAAATACCACATTATGGAAGGCAAGTTTTTGAGACCCAAATACCAAATGAACTAAATCCATGACAAAAATTCAACTAAACAAACAATGTTATCTTTCAAATAAAAAAAAATCTATTATAAATACAAAGATTTTCAAAACTCAAAACCTTCATTTTCAAATCCAACAAACAAACGAACCCTAGCTCCAGCAATAACAATGCAAATATTGGTTGTTCCCATTGATAGTGCCTCACACATATATTCGAGACATGTCACTTAATAATGTTAAAGCAAATGACGACACCTTCAACAACCACTACTTACAATACAAATATTACAAACCAATAAAAATAAAATATACAAATCATAACATAAAAAAAGATAAACTAGACAAATAAACATTATAAATTACCATATGTACTAATTAGTCATATAAATATTACTAACATAATAGACAAAATAGAATTATAAAATATATAAACCGAACTGATAACCAAACTTACAAACATTACAAAATAGATCAACAAACATCACAAAGTTGTTGCCGCCGTCTTAAAATCCCCTATAGTCGGTAAATCCTCTCCGCTATTTCCAAAAAATTATGTCCCTCTCTCTCACTCAAGTAGGGGTGAACAAAACAAACAGAAAACCGACCCACCCGTCCAATCCAAACCGACCCACCCGTGATATCTATAAATATCTGATTTCATGGGTGGGTGCGGTTTTATATTTAATAAACCGTAGCTTTATGATTGGATTTGGATGGTTACAACTCGAGGTATCCAAATCGAACCGTGATACTATATTATATATTTAATATATATATTCCTCCATCATAAATTTCTTACTTTAATTATTATTCATGTAATTTATTGACATATTAGTGTTGATAAATTGAAAATCGATTATTTACCATAGTATTTTCTAAACATATACACTTATCTCCGCATCCTCTCTTTATATTTTAATTTTTGAGTTTACTACATTGCACTAATAAGTAAAATATTTTTAATTCTTTTATTTTTCTAGTATGTATGTAATACGTTACTACAATATCTTACTTGTTTTGTAGTTTCATATATATATGTGGGGAGTTCTACGGTGCCCAGGGTGAAATCCGGGGTACCGCATACTTTGAGTAAGAAAACGCTATCCAGAACTTGAATTGGCTAATCTTTCGGACATGATACTATACACTAACTCTTAAAGATCAACATCTATGTCTTAATTCTCTAAATCTTATACCCCAAGATCAATTAAATTAGAAACAATAATCGACGGTTATTATTCGTCCAAATATGGGCAAAAAAATCAATGCACCATCTTAGGGTTTATAGTTTATGATTTAGATAATTAGGACCTAGGGTTCACTCATTAAGGGTTAGGGTATAGTATCATGCCCAAAAATCCTGCTAATTCGAGGTCTAGATAGAGTTTTCATACTCAAGGTATGCGGTACCCCGGATTTCTACGGTACCCTGGGTGAAATCCGGGGTACCGCATACCTTGAGTATGAAAACACTATCTAGACCTTGAATTGACCGATCTTTCGGACATGATACTATACTCTAACCCTTAAAGATCAAAATCTAGGTGTTAACTCTCCCAATCTTATACTCCAAGATCAATTTAATTAGAAATAATAATCGACGGTTATGATTCATCCAAATATAGGCACAAAAAGGAATGCACCATCTTAGGGTTTATAGATAATGATTTAGATAATTATGACCTAGGGTTCACTCATTAAGGGTTAAGGTATAATATCAGACACAAAAATCCTGGTAATTCGAGGTCTAAATAGAGTTTTCATACTCGAGGTATGCGGTACCCCGGATTTCACCCGGGGTACCATAGAAGCCACCATATATATATATATATATATATGAGCAATCATAGCTATAGCCAAGAGTAAAGCAACAATTAACTAGGCCAAAAACCTGCTACATCATCTTCCTCAAAAATCATGGAAACATCCTTCTGAATTTGAGCAATCATAGCTGGGAAACTCTGTCTCGTTCCACCATGCCTAATCTCACATCTCTCACGCCAGATTGAGCTAATTATATATTGCCAAATCACTCGTGCCACCTTCATCTTTATAGCTTTTCCTCTGAGGGTGTTCGTAGCCCATTTCAGCTCTTCCTCCCAGGTACCTGATGGTGTTCTAAGAAAAACAGAAGTCAACAACCCTGCATATAGTTCTTTATACACAACACATTTTGCAAATAAATGGGATCGAGTCTCAAGGGGACAATCACAAAGGAGCAGGAAAGAGAGCTAGCACTTACCCAACTTGTCATTTTCATTCTAGTTGAAATATAGTTCTTTATCACAATCCATACCAGGAATTGATTTCGTGGAATAGCAGGTCGTTTCCACACAAGAGAAAACCAAGGAACATGCTCTTCCCTAGGTCTGAACTCCTCCGAACAACCTTAATACAAAATCTCTTCATCACTTTCCCAAGCTAGCAAACCTCTCCATTCACCATTGACATTTTCTGGCGAAACTTATCCTTGTTTTTAAGCAGTTTCAACCAAATCCAAGAACCAGCTTTGGATTGAAAGGTCCAAAAATCATGGTTCTTAATTCTAGCCTCTCTGATCCAGGCAACCCAAAGTAATCCCTGCTGCAAAAGGATTATCCATATATGTCTACTCACATAAGAGAAATTCCAACTCACTAAATCCCTTAGACCAACTACACCTTCTTTTTTAGGGAAGGTTAGATAGTGCCAAGCAGCAACAACCCTCTTCCTTCCACATGGACCAACTCCCCACGTAATATTAATGCATAGTCTCTCAATTTCCTTGATTTACCCGCTTAGGAAGTATAAAAACTATCATCCAAAATTGAGTCATACTAGCTAAACAGATAGAGTAAGTTGCAACCTCCTTGCATAGCTTAGAAATTTAGACTTCCAACTTTGAATTCTACTTGTGATTCTGTCCAACAAAGGTTTACAAGCTGAGATTGATAATTTTCCAGGAATCAAAGGTAATCCCAGATATCTAATAGGAAGGGAACCTAGCTTATAACCTGCTCTTTGAGCCATCTGTCTCTGCCACTCGATTGGAAGCCCTCTACAAAAAGATTCACACTTCTCAGGGTTAGATTTCAATCCACCGAATCCACTTTTTTGTTTTAATTTTAATGATTAAATAAATAAAATGTGTAATTACTACCTTATTATTCATTGAATGAGATTAGTTACAAACACTAAATTAAAACTTACGAATGACTGATATCCACTTAATCATATAACTAACAACCCCTCAATCACAAGAATCAGTAAGGGGTCGTTTGGATGGGTGATTGTGTGCGAGATTGGAATAAAACCCTAAACAAATCAATGACGTTGGGATAGAGACGAGGACTCACAAACCTCACAAGTTGTTGTACTGTCGATGGAGATAGCCGCTTCGTTTGACTACCAAGTAGACGACGTTGGAGATCGTCGATTCGTCCCATTCGCGAGCTCCAAAGCAGTTGTAGCAACAAAATGAAAAAAGGTTTTGAGAAGAAAGAGAACGCAGAAGAAGGAATAAGGGCTTGGTCTCGATATCTTGTCGTGGGGTCTGGGATACGTTGGGGATAAAAAAAATGCCGAAACGAGTTATTGTCAAATAATTGCCCCCCACCAGGTATTCTATTTACTGCGTTTTTGCGGTATTCTGAATTAACCCACTAAATAATAACCCAACCCACATCATTTCAGCCAAACAAATTATTTTAGCCCAAATTAGTCAATATAAATTATTTTAGCACAAATAACTCAATACAATCACCCATCCAAACGACCCAAGTCATTTACCAACAAATTGCAACTCCTTTCTCCTACTCAACGAAGTCTAGAAACCTCTTCAAAATTTCAATCGTCCAATAGACTAACTCAACTCAGCCACGTGGTATATCCCACCCTTTCCATCAGCCGAACTTAGGTGTCAATACCCCACGGGCCTTCTTTACCCAGAGTCAAAGTCCAATTCCAAAGCCCGGCGACTTTTTACCTGATCTGACGGAAATACCCCAAGTCATTCCTTACTTGCGAGTTGCGATGATAAGTGCCTTCGACAGAGGTGCGTTGTAGAATATAAAATCCCTCGGGGATCGCGAGAGGCACGAAAAGTTGGGAGTGAAATCGAGAGTGTGTGCGGGGTCACAGAGATCGGAGGTTACCAGACGAAAGAAGCAGCGGGAAGGAGAAGGTAAACGGAAGGAGAAGACGACGGCGGCGCAGGCGGCGGCGATGTCAGAGACTAAAGAAGCGATGAAGATATTCGTCAAAACTTTGAAGGGGAGTACCTTCGAAATTCAAGTCAATCCTCAAGACACGGTAATCGCGTTGGGTTAAAAGTTTAGGGTTCTTTATTATTACCTAGGTGTCTTATTACCTAGTGTTTCTGCAGTTGGATTTCCGTCTCTAAATTGAAGACCGAGAACTGATTTGGATTTTGAGTGTTTGCCATTATCATTGTGATTCAAGCTGTTTGCTCAAGCATGAAATTCAATTTTGCTGAATTGTGCTGAATTGAGGAAGGGGAGTTTGAACTATGATTCCCCGATTGACTTTCTAAATTTCCGAGTAGTTGAACTACTTCCGTGCAATATTGGTTGACAATTCTGGCCGTGAAGGATGTGGTGGTTGTGACGTGCTGCAGACAAATTGTTTTCCTTTGTGCTTATTGTATTGGAGTCTTGATTATACTCTTACCTGTGTTTATATAGCCACGGTAGTGCTTGCCTGAAGGGCGGCGGGAGTAAGGTTGCCTAGCTATTGTGATGATGGAGATGATGAAAACTTTTAAGTTATCTTGCCACTTATCTAAATCCAACGAGTAAATCGTTTTCCGATTCGCACTAGGTTGTTGACTTAGCACTTGAGAATGTCAGAATTGAGTAGTTAGTCATGGAACCATCTGCGTAGTACTAGAGCATGTATTTTCCTGTGGATTCCTTTTACGAGTCTCTATATTGCTCTTGGAAGCCCCTTACAGTCTTTCTGTCATGATCCTCACTTTTCGGTTGCTAAATTTAGGTCGTTGATGTTAAGAAGATCATAGAATCTGCACAAGGGGCAGACACTTATCCTGCTGGACAACTGATGCTTATCCATCAGGGGAAGGTTCTTAAGGATGAAACAACATTGGATGAAAATAAAGTTGCTGAAAATAGCTTTGTTGTTGTCATGGTAAACAAGGTGAGATCAGTTGGATAGCTTAAGTAGATTCACTTTCCGTCTTGCTTGATACTTTTGTTCTGCTTCCTGTCCTTCGTTTCAGCTTAATGGTTCTAAATTAGTGCTTTGCTTTGATCATGTAGAAAAGCTCTTCTGGTGAAGGCTCAACTGCTTCAACGGCAAAGGTACCTCTGCAATATTACATTTACTTGATGCTTTGATTGTCTCAGGGTTTCTGGTTTATAGCCTACCTCTTTGTGCATAACCTTACCTTGTCTTTAGTTTTGCATTGTATATTCTTCCTGTGTAACCCCTCACTATTAATCATTCAAGATATTTGGTATGTGGTTGTTTCCATAGGCACCTCAGACCAGTGCCCCATCATCAATACCACCACAAGCTCCTGTAGCAGCACCGTGAGTACATATTGCATATCTTGATGTGTATTCATTAAATCTTAAAGATGCTCAACTCATATTTTGAATTGCTTTCTAATGTCAGGCCAGCTCCGGCTCCGGTTTCGGCTCCAGCCCCAGTTCCAGCTCCAGCTGCAGCTCCTTTGGTTGCTCCTGCACCTGCAGCTGCTCCTACCTCTGTAGTCGCTGCCACGTTCGTATCTCACTTCTGTTGCTTGTAGTCGTGTTTGTTGTTTTAATTTGGCAGTCTTTTCAATTCTATTTACTAGATACTGTTTGAATCTTCTTCCCTGCCTCTTGCTCTCAAGTGGACAAGTGGTGTTTGTAACTGTAATCTATACATTTGTTGAAGTTCGTAACACCCATTTTGACATTGATTTGTTTTTTTTTTATTTGAGTTCTGAACAAAATTGTTGATGGTTCAGGTCTGATGCTGATCCTTATGGTCAAGCAGCATCTACATTGGTGGCTGGGAATAACTTGGAAGGAGCAGTCCAGCAAATCCTTGACATGGGTGGAGGCACCTGGGATAGAGAAATTGTTATTCGTGCTCTCCGGGCTGCGTTCAATAATCCTGAGAGAGCTGTTGAATATCTGTACTCTGTAAGTATTGCAATCCTTTTTCATGAGCTTAAGCTCACAACACAAGTTGCTATAGCAATGACAAAGTTGTTGACAGTTTAATTGATTCCCGGAATCACACTGAGTGGCTTTTAAGGAAACTTCAAGCCTTTGTTGTGGGGCTGTGGCATCCTCTTGCCCCGCCTTGCCCTGCAATGATGGATAACAGTCTTTGCTGTTGCTTTTGCTCTTTGGCAGTCTGATGTTTGGTCATTCCCTTTATTATTTATTATTTATTTCTTGGTACTTCCCTTTAGAATTGTGAATTTGGTCATTCAACAATGTGTAACTTAGATTTTGTTACACTGTGTATTGTCGATTATGAGTCCTTTGGTTTTCCTGATCATATGATCCTTGTTGAACGAGAGGTTCGATTTATTATTAACCTGTGACCGTTGAGGTTTGGATACAAAATTTTTCCCCAAAGAATGATGGTATGCTTGGACTAGGTTTTGATTATTATTTTTTTCCACGAAAAATGATAGTATGTGGGAACTATGTGTTGGTCTAGTTCTTGTCCTTAAATATGCTTCCAGTTATTCTTAGGTAGTTATTATGTGGTAAACTTATGAGATAATGATTCTCAATGACTTTAGCCTTGTTGTTGTGGACTAGTGGTCAAACATAATGAATGTTGCAATGATCAGTTCAAATTTTCTCTTTTTCGTTTCAAATGGCTGTGATTCGCTAGCTTGTTCCTTCTTCGAGATAGAACTTTCTGGCTGTAGCATCCAGACTAGCTTTCTCTATAGTTTCGCTGTCTTCAAACTTCTGAAGTAACCAATTTCAGGGCATCCCTGAGCAAGCTGAGCCTGCTGCTCCAGTACCACAAGCTCCTGTGAGTGGACAACCTGCTAATCCTGCAGCAGCACCGGGAGGAGTTCCACAGGCTGCGGCGCCAGCTGCGGTTCCGGCTGCAGGACCCAATGCGAATCCTTTGGACCTTTTCCCTCAGGTAGTAGTTTGTCAATCAAAGAACAGTTCGAACAGCTGGGAATGTTTGGAAATTATAATTGTTTCATAATTTTTATCCGTGAAGGGCCTTCCCGCTGCTGCCACTGGTGGTGCTGGTGGTGCAGGAACATTGGACTTCTTGAGAAACAGTCAACAGGTCTCTTCCTCTTCCTTCCTTTTTGTGCATATATCCTGCTTTGCTCTGTGTGTTTTGATGCTAAGATAACTGGATTTCGGTTTTCTTGTTTGTTTTCATTTTCCCGTACCAGTTCCAAGCCTTGCGAGCTATGGTGCAAGCTAATCCACAGATATTGCAGGTTTACTATTTAACTTATTGGATAAGTTTGAACTTTTAGCTATTCGTTCTAGATATATTCATTACTCACACTGGTAATGTTGCTATCTTTTTAGCCCATGCTCCAAGAATTGGGGAAGCAAAATCCTCATCTAATGAGACTGATCCAGGATCACCAGGCAGACTTCCTTCGTCTGATCAACGAACCTGTTGAGGGTGGAGAGGCGTAAGAATCTGTGTTTGCTTTTGTGGTTTTTTTGTTGTTCAGCTGTTTACGCTGTACTTAGTGGTTGGTTATTATTTGATCGTGTAGCGGCATATTGGGGCAGCTAGCTGCTGCTATGCCACAGTCTGTTACCGTAACTCCTGAAGAGCGTGAAGCACTAGGCCGCGTAAGCATCAATCAGACCATTTATGCTTATTCCTATTGCACGATCTGAGCTTGAAGCACGGTTTGCATTTGATATTGGAATCATCACCTGGTTTTTCTTTCTTTGCAGCTTGAAGCGATGGGATTCGATCCACAAATTGTGTTGGAGGTGTTCTTTGCCTGCAACAAGAACGAGGAACTGGCTGCCAACTATCTTTTAGACCACATGCAGGACTTCGAGGAATGATTTTAGAATTGGAAAAAACGATCTATCAGCAATCCCCCGCCCTGTTCAATGCCCCCCGCCCCCATAGAGAACAGTTTTCTTTCTTTCTCTTCAGTTTTCTTGTCCGCTGTCTTTTTTCTCGGGTTCCTCTCGGATCGAATATCATCATCATCGTAATCTTAAATAACAGTTTGGAAGTGCTATGATGTGACATTTCTTAAGAGGGAAGATGAACGAGACTGATCATTTCTTCTCCCGGTTCCTGTCTTTGTTTCTAGGACTGCTGCTGGTGATTTCATAGTCTTTTTGCACTCTTATATATCCAGTATATAAGGGATCATGCCTGCTGATTGAATGAATTGACAGTAATATTACTGATGAGTTGGTATCATCTAGCGGGCAGGGAGAAGATTTGGTGCCCTGAATCCTGATACATCAAATGAGCCCTTAACTTAAAATCAAATGATCCCTAGAACATTCTGTCCTAACAAAAAAACTAGCTTCCACCCTGCCCTTTGGGCAGGAGGCATTTATATTTATATTTTATTATAGTATAATCTCATTTTATGTAATTTATGAATATATGTGATAGTATGGCAGAGTCTAGCTAAAGGCTGATGTAGGTTGTATATGTGTTCATACCTATTAAGTATACTTTAATATGTTTCAATGAATCATAATGATCAATTATTATTTTTTGATTAATCAATATAATGGTTTGTGTTAGAGAATTAGGAATTGAGGTTTACTATTAGCGATTACGATAGGGTATTATGTTCCAAACTCTGGTTAATTTATGTTCTAAATATAAGAACTTAATGAGCGTTTAGTAAGGTTAGTTTATGTTTTATCTTATTATTATTTCAAAATAGTGAAAATGTTCCAATAATTTATTCAAATCAATTTTCACTATTTTAATATGATAATATATTAAAAAAATTAATGATTGAAAAACCGTACTACAGATTGTACCGAAAATTATGTGGTAGAGTATTTTTATGCTAAAATTGTAGTTCAACTGTTTTATAGCGCTAAAAATCACCCGGCGAATTAGCATCTTGTAGGAGATTTTTCTGGTCGAACCGCCAGTATGCTACGATTTTGTAATTCTTGTAAAAAACATGTATATATACATATAGTGTAAAAAAATTTATAATTAATTTATCTAACTCCCTTATTAAAAATCGTATAATTATCCATACATTTTGACAACAAAAGTTTATTTCAATATTTTATAGATGTATTTAAATATCGGTCATCCCTTATGCCATATCATAAAAGAAAAGGAGTTTGGAAATGGTTCTAATTTGTATATGCTCGGGACAACAGCAAGTCAGTAACCCATTACAAAGGGGAAGGAAAAATAAAAATAAAACACTTATTTAAAATTTGAAGTGGGCGTCTGGGCGACGTAGGTGGTATGAGTAGGGGTGAACAAACACACCCGCAAACCGACCCACCCGTCCAACCCGACCCAACCCACCCGTATTTATCGCTAAAACGAAGGTTTTGGGTTGGGTGAGGGTTTTCTTTTGTACAACCCGCCTCTATTGGGTTGGGTTTGGATTTTGGATTACACAACCCGTAGAACCCAACCCAACCCGTGTTCCAATTATTGGTATGAGTTCGTATCCAAAAAAATATTTATGTCATATATAGTCATACTTATGAGAAAATTAAGATATTTTGCCATATTTTGCCATGTTTAATATACCTATGATTCACGTAATTCTTTTTCTTGTGTACAATTTTAATAGAATAACATATTATGGATGCGTTCATTTGTAACCTTTTTAGCCTATTTCAACAAATGTCGTGAAAAAAAACTAGACATAAGTTGAAGTAAATAAAATTTTATTAAAATTCAAACAATATTTGTGAATTTTGATACCTTTCACCTCGGTTTATTCGTTTGAATTTTTAATTTGTTATAAAATATTTTTATGGTGTAGAATAATTACATATTTTGCGTTGGGTTTTTACTTAAAAATATCGCCAACCCGACCCAACCCAATTAGAAACAAACCGTAGGGTTTAAATTTTTTTGGGTGGGTTTGGGTTTAATATTTCTCAAACCGTAGTGCATGGGTCGGGTGATTAAAATGTCTAAACCCGGACCACCCGACCCATGTACACCCCTAGGTATGAGAGAGAAAGAAGGGAAAAAAAAAAGAAAGGTAATTCCGAAACACGCGGGGAAGCCTGGACGGCTGATGTGGCATGGGTCGGTTTTACAAACCCTTTTAATATATTGTAAGATACCCAGAAGTTAGGCTAGGCCTAATCAGATCCAATTGTCAGATCTAAATCACCCACAGAAGGCCTGACCCGTCCATACCCGATTAAAGCCCAGTACCAGTTGGTAAACGCTCGGCCCATCTATAGACCCCTCAACTGCATTGCGTGGCTGTCAATCTGTAGCCAAAACACTGTCGTTTACACTGCCAAGCAGTTTTTTTAAAGGAAATCTAGTTTCAAGAAATAGGAAAATTGATAGAGAGTTTGAAGTTTGAACCAATGTCCAGGAAAAATAGTAGTCTAACTCAAATGAAAAAGCTGAGCCAACCATCAAATTGCAACCCACCCACCGCAGGGCAATTACTACAACCAAATAGACTCACTTATAAGATCGACTCTAACCATATGCGGTAGACTGAAAGCAACCGAACTATAAATGAAAGAGCATTTTTTCCACTATACATGCAACTCTATGAAAGTTTCGAAGAGAAAAAGACACGATACAGATGCAAATGACACTTTAGAAAAACCTACAAGATGGCCCTCACGTGCGAGTAAGGTGTTGAGTTATCCTTAAAACACGATTCCCCTGCAAAAAGACCAATCAAAAAATGAATACACTGGTGCTAAAAAAACCTACAATCCCCAGAGATTAAAATACGCCCTTGCAGTATAGTCGGGGTAACCGAATATCCAACACCAATGGTGTGATGCAACTTTGAAAAGTGAATTATTAACTCATTAGATAAAGATAAAGGAGATCATGTTTTTGTTTCAAAAGGGTTGTTACTTGGCAAGTATGTGACGAGTCGTTTGTTAGCATGAATCGGAAAATGTATGATTTGACTTCAAATTTTCATAGAAGTGAGGTTTGGGGGGAATTATGGGAATTAAAAAAGACATTATGGTGGTATTGGTTTTAAATTTCTACAAATAGGAAAATTGAACCGAAATCTCAATTCTCGTGTTATTTTCTAATAAGTTAGATATTAAATTTTTTAATCTAAAATTTACATAAAAATCTCCCGTCCAGAAGATCTGCTCATATTCATGTATTGATTGCTTTACCTCCCCAATCCTCATCCATCTTTCTGTCATCTCATATTGCATTATATCTCTTATATGTATATATGTATAAAATTAGACAAATATTTCTATCCAAGATGTCAAATCTTCATCACAAAATCTCAAACTCACAACTTTTATCTAACACAAGGCTTACCTAAGATATTCTAAATGCAATGTTGGGTAGTTTATGTTTTGAATAGAGAGGTAGGAAATCATAGTGATAGACATATAGTCCCAAAGGAGTCTACGAATCAAATCAAAATTTCAATATAACATTCATACTCTTGGTAGTGTTTCATAAAAATTGTAAAATTGTACCGTAGGTTCTAAAAAAAAAAAAAAAAGTCAACAATAAGATATCTAATGTTTAAACAATATTTCAATAGTTTCATATCATTAAAAATCATCTATCAATTTAAACTCTGATAAGACCGCTTGTACCGTCCGTATGATACCGTTTTACAAACACGAAGTGTTTCACCAAATGGTAAATTGAAAGGGACATGGTTGGTCATCCCAATATTGACCAACAATAGGAGTTTACTTCTCAACACGTTATTCCCTTTCATCTCCTCCTCCTATTTCGGAGCGAGACTAACAAACCCTCCAACCCAAGTAACTGACATTTCCTTCCCCAAAACCACCTGAGGCCAGGAAAAACAAGAACAAAAAAAACCTCAGAAGGGCGGGTGGCGGAGATCCAAATACAAAGGGAAAAATACGCAACCCCTCTTTTGCCTCTGTGCTTTCTTCTTCCCCCCCGCCTTTTCACCTTCCCTTCTTCTCCATTTCCCTGGTCTGAATGAGTCTGTTCGACAGGTTCAGATCTCAGGCCCCATCCACTCCGAAATCAGCGACGATGCAGAAGAGCCGCTACGACTCCGACCAGTATTTCCAGGAAACCAACCAAGGTCAGGCAACAACCACCACAATTCAGAGTCAGACGGCAATGGCGGAGACGACGAGGACGCAGACGGCCTTGTCGGAGGTGGCGGAGGCGTTCGAGGAGCTGGCGGATCACTTGAGAAAATCCAGGAGAAAGAAGAACGCGGAATCGCCGGAAGAAGAAGAAGAAGGAGAAGAGGTAGTGGAAGAAGAAGAAGAAGAAGGAGAAGGAGAGCTTCGATTGGATTCCTTCTGCCAGGCATGCTCTTTGGTCTCCGTTCTCTTCAGCTGCCTCGGTCTCGCTTTTAAATTCGCCGAGACAGAGTACGTCGCCAAGGTCCATCTCTTTCTCCCTCTCTCTCCTCCAATTTTGCCGGCGATCCATTTCTTGTCGGTTGATTGCCTGATCTCATCTGTCTTCTTCGGCTTCTGATTCAGGTGCGTGATCTGGTGGAAGCGTCGAAGACGTTCGAGAATCTGCAGAATGTGGTGGATGTGGATGCCGCCAACGGGACGGTGAGAACTGCGGGCAGTCATTCGAGAAACTTGCGCCGAGTTCGTCAAGGTCTCGACCTAATCAGGGGAATCTTCGAACAGTTTCTCGCATCCGAGTAAGCTGCTCTGATCTTCCTTCCTTCGCCGGTGATTCTGTGTTTTTCCTTTCTCTTTCGTGGCTGATTCGTTCATGGCTTTGCAGCGACAATTCGTTGAAGGATGCTGCGACCACAGCTTACGCGCAAATCTGCGCTCCTTACCACACCTGGGCGATACGGACCGCGGTTTACGCAGGAATGTACACGCTTCCTACGCGGGAGCAGCTTCTGGCGAGGCTGGAAGAAAATGGTGAGTGAGACAAACACAAACTCTCTCTCTCTCTCTGATTTTTCCTGCATGAAAGCTTTCTTTCTGGTGGTGAAGTCTCTGTTTCTCATATGGTGGAAATGTCTGTTCTTTGTTTGCAGAGCAATCAGCGGAGAAGAAGATGAATCGATACATCCAGGCTTCGCTTCCAGTGATCCAGTACATCGACAGGCTCTACACTTCCAGGAATATCACCTTGGATTGGTGAACTAACTTCCCGTCCACAAGTTCTTGTGAATTTTGAATGGCTGCAGCTAGCTCTCTCCCCTGTTGCTTCAAAAACAGAGCAACTCATCCCCCACGACCATTCCGCCGGCCGGCATTTCGGCAAATTTGTTGTATTTTTACCACCTGTAACTTGGTTGCAACTTGCAAACCACATTCTTCACCATATTAGACTCTTAGGATTCTTTTTGTAAACAAAATCACTTCAAATCTTTTTGTAGACAACACCAATATCATATGTAACTTGTGTGTACATAAGAACAGTTAGTTGTCTACAGAGAAAGCAATATTTGCAAGGTTGTTTCAAGAGAACTCAGAAAGAAATGATTTTTGAATAGGCTGTCTATGAAACTCTCAAGATCATTTTTATTGTCATCTTTAACACAACAGCCGAGAGCGTATAAGACACCCTTTTCAGCTCAGAAACAAAATGAATGACGATATTACAATTAGTAAAAACTGGGCAGTGAAAAGATGGAAAGAAAGAAGCAGGTTTCAACAGGCTTACAGCAATCCAAATCGAATAGATACTCTATCTCGCCAGGTGATTGAATTAATTGAAATCTATCGGCTCGTAACAGCTAGGGCTTGTCTACATAGTGAGGCTTTCAGGGTTCTCAATGATCTTTGAGAATGTCTGGAGGAAGGCAGCTAAGTCAGCACCGTACACGATCCGATGATCAGCTGTTACATTCACCTGCAACACAAACAGAAGCATCGGTTTAGTTACTTACATTTGAAATACCGGTGAAACCCTGGAAAAGATGCAAAGAAAAAGAAATGCGCAAAACAGAGAGTGAGAATGGAAAGAGGACGCAGGCATATTCATTTCGTTGTAATCTTATTCAAGAAGAAGGTATTACATTCTTCTTAAGCTGGATTACTTTAGTCCTAACTATATATATACAATAACTGGCTGGTAACCCTGCCATACTTTGCAAGACAGACAAAAATCATTGAACTTCATATCGCATCCTACCAACGAGCTTAGCAGTAGTGTTCGCAAGGGGAAGTGAATATTCTATTGGTATGGCACATACAACAGTTTTATTGGGAGGTCCAAATGTAATGCTTATTGCGAGATCCTAAAGTAGTTAGTCAGTACATAACTGAAACTAACCAAGTACTCTGGCATTAGAGTCAAAAGTGAATTAGGGTGGTCAAGTGAACAAGCAAACCAAGTATTTAAGGTGAACAGACATGTAACTCGAAGGTCCTTATCTAATGCCAAGCGCAGGGCCAACAGAGACCTAATTTATGTTCACAAGTCACAATGGCGCGTCTTTTTGGCAAAATAAGGGCTCAAGTGCAACTCTAACAGAGTGAAAGCATATCCTAACAATATCCATAAAATGCCAAGTAGCCCTACTTTTGACAGCAAAATCATGCACTAGCAACTTGCATAATTTTCATGGTGCCATGTTCTTCCTGGCAACTCCATGACACAAGCACTCACCAAGTCATGCAGTAATAGAAACCTAATGCATTAAAAACTAGAAATAAAAAACACCAGCAGAAATGAAAATTTATCAGAACTTTGACGAGGTGCTAGTTCCGCGGGGCGTTGGGCAGCTACATAGTAAATAACCGCATAGCTAAAGTCAAAATGAATGCAAGTTAAGTTTGTCTTCTCTATTCCATCGTTGCAGCAGCAACTATGTCAGGCAACAAACAGTTCAATTTATGTGGATCATGTAAGCGGTCAATATTGTTAAACTAGAGACTTAATAAATGCTGACTGCTACGGATCCCAGATGTGCTAGAATTTTATCAACTCCAATGTGGCTGTATGGGGCAGTATGTTCTAACAGTTTACATAATTCTCACCAACCCTCTTGGAAGTGTAAAAGCATAGAAATCAACATTACGCAATAAGTGATAGTCATGGCTGTTTGATTATAAAACTCACCAGCATTTTGTTTTTCACACTGAAGAACCCATCCTTATCAGCGATTACAGTAGGCTTTGAGGCTCCAACAGCCATGATAGCACCCTGTAAGTACATTTAAAGCAGATTGGTTTTAGAACCTCAAAACCCCTACTTGAGTCAATTAAAGCAGTGAGCACTAGAACTCACTTGGCCAGGGGGAAGAATGGCATCAAATCTATCCACTCCAAACATTCCCAAATTGGATAGAGTGAAAGTCCCTGCACAAGGACAATTACAAAACCATTATCACCCAACTATATCCTAGAATGTGAACCAAAATTCCAACACGCGAGAATGATAAGCAGAAAGCAAACCTGAATTGTACTCATTGGGCTGAAGCTGCTTAGCTCTGGCCTTCTCCACAAGCTCTCTCCATTTTTGGGACAGTAGATAAAGGTCTAGCTGTTACAACAAAACAATTCACCAACTTAATCCTATCAGCTTCCCATCACCGATTACAATAGTTAATCCCTAAGATAGGAAGGAAAAGAAATGCACAAACCTTATCAGCATCCTGAAGAACAGGAGTTATCAACCCGCCATTGATTGCAACTGCCACAGCAATGTTGATGTTACTGTTGTAAGTAAAACTCTTTCCGTCTTTGCAGCTGGCATTAACAACAGGGTGCTGAGCAAGTGCCATTGCGGCAGCCTTTGCCAACAGCGCAGTCATTGTCACGCCCTTCGGTTTCACCTAATGACACAGAATATCATCATCTTGCTATGATTCAACTATGGCAAGCATTTCAAACACAAGAACTAACAGAAACGTCCCTTCTTATCCCCAACCAGCCATATAGTATGAATCTATGTCTCATTGAAATGAAAGGTTGAATGTTCAGAGTTCTCTACAGTATTCTAAAAGAAAGGAGATGCAAGGTGTTGGTGAGGAAAGAAAACTAGTCAAGGTTGAACTGTGAAAGAATTCTTACGAAAACAGAGCTAGTCTTCATAGTTCATTCCTGTCCCTAGAAACAAACTAAGAATGGCATGTACAGAAAAGGAAAACATAATCATGAAATGATTTGGATCCGCACGATATACCTTCTCATAGAGGGCATCAAGAGCATCCGTCGTGATCGGATACCCGACTCGGAAACTGGGCACGGAAAGACTCTCCAGCATGTTCTTAGATACCGCGGATTGCATAGTTGTAAAGGGTACAACTGTAGAACCTGGCAATGCAGGGGTTGAAGGAGCGGATGCAACTTTAGGAGCAGCAACTGGAGCAGACTGTGCCGCCACGGCCGGGGCTGCCACATTCGGCTTTGTAGACACGATCCCGGCGGCAGCTTCAATGTCTCCTGGCGTTACCCTACCGAATGGCCCTGTCCCAACCACCTTACTAATATCCACCTTGTGCTGCTTAGCCAATTTCTTAGCAGAAGGCGTCGCCACCGTCTTCCTCGGCCCGTCTGCGGGACGCGGCGGCGGCGGAGGAGCCGAAGCAGCAGTGGCAGGAGGACTCGGGGAAACAGCTGGAGCAGCTGCAGCTGCAGCGGGAGCAGGAGCAGGAGAAGAGCCACCGGCGCTAGCAGCTTTGGCTTTCGCTTCAGCGATTTCTTCTTCAGTCTCGGCTAAGAGTCCAATCGGGGCTCCCACGGGAGCAGACTCGCCCTCCGGAACGACAATTGCGGCGAGAATGCCGTCGTAGAATGTCTCGACGTCCATATCGGCCTTATCGGACTCGACGACGACGACGCTCTCGCCCTTGGAGAGAAGGTCGCCCTCGGATTTAATCCAAGACACGATCTTGCCCTCGGTCATGGTGGAGCTGAGCGCCGGCATGAAGATCTCCCGGATCTTGGACTGAACCCTAAGCGCATTGCCGGTTTTCCGGTGGCGGCGGAGGTGAAACTGGGAAGGGAAGAGCGGGAGGGCTGGTGAAAGGGAGGCGGAGAAGGAGATGGTGTTGGCCGAAGATGTAGGGACCTTGGAGAGGAGCGAAGAGGAAGCGGACGCCATTGTCAGGAGAGAGTAGGGAGAAATTGGTTGAAGGAGAAGAAATGAATGGCGTGAATTCGTGTGGGAGCAGCGGAGAAGAAGAAGAAGGGAGGAGAAATGAAAGGGGGGCGGAGAAGACGAGGTTCAGTGTTCGTTGGGTGGGAAAGTTTGGGAAGCGACACCAATGGATTCGCTATGTTTTCATCGAATGCCAGTTCGTGGGCTCAACTTCCGCATCTACTTACTCGTCCAGTTCGGTAACGTTTTTGTCCTATTTCTCTAGGGGTCAATTACATAAATAGTCACTTAAGTTTGAGATCGTTGACAAACTAGTCATTAATATCTGACATTTAACACATTGATTATTTAGTTTTTCACTAATTCAAAGAAATAGTTATTTTGTCAGCATCCATTTAGAGGTTGTTTGGAAGTTGTGATTCTACCCAAAGTTTGCCAATTCACCATACCACGTCATCGAGAGTTAAATTAAAAAGGGTGTGTACTGTGTAGTCATTAATATCTGATAGGGAGATCAATTTGGATACTTGTGCATATGAAACAAAAGGTCATTATTAGCATTTATGTCAAATCCTTTTCTACAACAAATTGGCTTTGCAATTGCATTGATGTAGATTCTCTAAGTCATTTTTCCTCATCCCCCAACACAATCTATAAATATATTGAAGTTAAGGCCTCATTTAGTGCAACTTTGTTGCTATTGTGGTTGCAGTAGGGTTGTGATAATAGAGGTACAACAACATGAAAATAGAAAATAGAAACATGTCTAGTTGGTAATTATAAGAAATCATGGAAGTTGACAACCAAAAACAAAAATTCGATTTGTTACTTCTTTACGCCTCGTTTAGTATCAATGTTGAAACTAAGACAAAAATAAGAAGTAGTAGGAGGAATAGTGTGACATAACAAGTTATGAGAAATTAGGGAGGGAGAGAGATATGAAATTAATATTGGCAATAAGGTTTTAGGGATGAGTTATGCAAAAAGCCAAAAATAGAGAGGAAAATATGCGAAAAGTGGATCTCACAAGAAACATCTTTTGAAAACAATAAAGCAATTATTTAAAGTGAGTTCACTCAATTCAATTAATTCATGTTGTGTTACCATGCTCCTATTGCAACAACATATAAAATAGAACTAAATAATTTTCAGCATTTATTTTCCCTATGAATATAGAAAACAAAAATTGGAAACGAAATGACTCCGTTTGCGATTCGTGTTGTATCGATTTCTCCTATACTTAAATTGGTTTGATTGCTCCTAGAATTTAAATTGGAAATGCATTCAAGTTCTTTGTGGGAAGTATTGCATTTTAGGATTTTTATTTTAATGATTGGAATTGCATCTGCATTGCACAACTTCTGGTGGATTTTAGCAGTATTGGTCGTTGAAATTGTGGGTAAAATACCTTGGATATCATTAAAGTATGAGAATTGGAGCAGCTATACAACTTAAGCAAGAATAGGGCATTGCGTGCCACTGGACTTTATTATATATGCACCCGGTACCAGTTAAGTTTACTGTTAAGTGCTTTCCGTTAAAGTTGACAAAATATTATTGGAATATTCTATTTTCTAAATTTCAGAATTGGTCCTTATACTTTTTGTAAAAAATCCTTTGAGCTTATAAAAAATATTATTTTTTATTGTTTAGTTGGAATCCTCTTTGAAGACTCTGTTTTATACCAAACCAATTTTTTATAAGAAATTTAGAAACTATTATCATTATAAGTATTTTCAATTATTATTATGTGTTCTAGTAATTGAATTATTTCCTAACACAAATATATCCTATAAATTCTGTCTCGATATAAATAATTTAAAGATATTATATTTAGTTCTCTTACATCATGCTGATATTGTCTAATTTTCTATATTAAATCTCTTTATAATTCTCTAATATTATGTAGATGTTTCATATTAGTTACATTTACTAATTGTAATTATCTTCCTATAGTCATATTTATTTTCTAGATTTATTACTAAATGTTGTAGTTTTTATAGTTTACATATACTTAGTTACTTTTCGTTTGTTTTAGTTCTAATTTTTTTTTAATTATTGAAATATGTTTAATTCTTTATGATAGTGTTTCATTTATCTTTCTTTGGTCTTGATGTATTGATGGTCGATTAGGTCTATTTAAACGGTTTTTAGTGATACTTCTAATTGGATTAGGGGTTTAAATAGATATTATAATATTAATTTTAATTATTTATTATTATCTTCTAGTATATGTATTATTACTTCTTGATATCCGTTTATAATTTTTATTAATTTATCTATTTTATTGAAAAAAATTCGCAATTCATTCTAGTAATACTATGTTTAGAAGGTTTTCTAATTTTTATATTAGATAATACTTGTTGAAATATAGGTTTGAATGTTTTTTAAAATTTTGGGTACAAAAAAGGTAATTAAAATTTTGGGTTGGATAAAAAACTAGACGGATGAACCTTTTGGCGACTTTTATGGTACCCGACGCCCTATTGAAACTTAAGTTGTATGTTTGTCCCAATTCTCAAACTTAAGTGGTATCTGAAGTATTTTATCATTGAAATTTCCTCATTGGCCAGATAGATGCTCTCTTTTCTATTCTTTTTAAAGTCTCATTGTCTAATATAAAGAGAGGGAAAATGGAAGAGTGGATAGCAAATTATATAACTGTGCACTTGGATATAAATATTTTGTCCTGATATTAGGAGGAAAGTAATCTGTGTAATATGAGGATACACTTTTAGTAAACAATATAGAGATCTTAACTAAAGAGAGTGCTAAGGTTTCAACTTTCATAAACTCACACCACAAGTTGGTTTTAATGTACAATGTCAATAAAATCTCTTTCTCTCCCCTCCTTCCCTCTCGCTAAATCTACGCAATAAATAAAAGTCAAATAAGAAAATTTGAAGCTCCATTTTAAATTTCCTGCATCCAGAATGAAAGTAGGAAGAACATTTTGGTCTTCACAATTACTTTTTTTTATTTATTAAAAAGACATTTACTAGGATTCGAACCATGATCACTTTAAAGAAAAGCAAAGATCATAACCAATCACACTAAGTACATTTGTTGTATTTTTTTTAAATTAAAAACATATAATCGCAGAGAGAAAAAAACTATTTCCCCATTTCAAATTCTCTGCTTCAGGAGCGTTTGTAGGAAGGGTAGAATAAGGAGTGTCAATTTTTTTTCTTTTTCCTATGTGGAATGGGCCAACTTACCGTACACATGCGGATTTAAACGAGTCCAGGAGTATCAATTTTTTTTCTTTAAGTCCTTTTATTTCTCCATGGTTGTAAAATATATATGAAAAGGCAAAACAATACTCCTTTTTATTGCTAAAAAGAAAAAAAATCAACAATAAACTAATGCATGGATTCTAATGGGCTAACCGCTAATCATAAAACAAAAGAGTTGAATGGGCCTGACCTATCCGGGATTTGCCCATCAAGTAAAACAAATGAACATCATGGGTTTGGCATTCTAAAACAAGCTATTTTCTCTAGCATAATATATATTATGCGATTATTTTATATCTTAGTGGCTAAAATATAATGTATTTTAAAATTATTCAATGGTTCAACCTCGACCAACCCAATTAGTCAATTTTTATCATTTCAAATATATATTATGTAATTATTTGATATCATAATGATTAAATTATAGTGTATATTATAGGGAATCGTTCGGTATTTGTTAGTAAAAAACTAAACAGAAAGATCTATTTGGTTATTTTTAACATTAAAACGATCCTAAACTTTTTCAGTTTCCTTTTGAAATTCTATAGTTTTATTCCCGAATCAGTGGTGTGCAAATGGCGAATTGCAGTCATCTCTTTTCTTTCATTATTTTTTGTTTTCAAATAGAAAGTTTAAAAGTAAAGAATAATTAGAGTTTGGCATGGGTCGGTCAAACATGCTGAATTTCAAGTTTTTGCCTGTTTTGATCAAGTCTAATTTATAATCACATGTTTCTTGATACACGATAAAAATCTCAATCCAAACCAGTTTGGCAGGTGAGTCCGTGTTTACCACCATTTTCTAGGGATACAGGAACGGTGGTTCCTATCCCAAATCGTGTTGTTCATTCTTGATTTCTTTAGATTTTATCATGGCTTGGCAAAAACCAGAAAGCACATAACAAGATGAAAGTTTTATAAAGCAAATTAATCAGTCAACGGGCCAAGTAAAAGCTAGCAACGTTTATGAGATGCTCATTTCCCGAAAACCACCGGGATATGCGATTTTTTATTCGATTTCTATAAAACTTACTCTACCTCATCATATTACCAGAAACAATATTGTTTCACAAGGTAACAGGTACTTGATTTTGGTTCATAAGGCTGATTTTTGATTCGTTGAATCATTCATGTCTCTTTCCTACTAAAATTCACTATTTTTATCACATGTTTTCCAAAAAAAAAAACCTATACAACAATAAGCTATACACCCCATTACATTATCAAATTTCATACATCACCTTCCTTCGATCAAATGGTCGGGGCCCACGCTAGTGTTAAGTTGGTTCTATTCTTTCATAGGTGGCAATCCTAGTCGTCAATAATCGTTCATCGGTGCTCCTCACTGTTGCAATCTTTTCTCTCTCTCACTCTCTTTTCGTCTTGGCACTATGGGATCTGATGACTTTAAGAAATCTTGGTCCAATCTTTTTGGAATCACTGAAGTAAATCGCATGGGCTATGTGTCGCCGGAGATAATCAATTGTGGTTTTTGTATCCCTCATGAATAGGTGCGTGAAGGTATTTCTCGTTGGTCAAATTCCCTTATAGGACAGTTTCTTCACTCTACTCCCCATATCCACCAATTTGAAGTTTCGGTGAATCGGCTTTCGGGGAAATATGGCCAAATTAGGGTCTCTTGGTTGGGTGATCTTATGATTATTTCCAGCCCTCCCTCTGAATCAATAATAAAAAAAAAATTTGAATTTTCCTAACTGGACCTTGGCACTTTGAGAATGATAAGTGCTTCCTCGGAAGTGGGTCCCGAGGATTCTAGCAGTTAGTTCCTATTTTGATGAAGAAAAAGATCTGATTGCTTGCTCAATTGGAAGAACGCCTTCTATTGGTGGTCTTCAGTTACCTTAAAGATGTGAATTGCTTTCTTGTGTTGGTAATTATGTTACTTGAAGGTCAAAACTTGACATATAGGTTGGTTCTGATTAGTCTTCTGTAAACCTTTGGTAGAGGATGGAAGGTTTCCTCCTTTCCTTTTGATTAATAAAATTACTTGTTCATAGGAAAAAGTATTATGTCAACCTTTCTTCATGCTAATTCGTCTACAAATTTTTAAGGGTCATTGTCCAGTTATGTTAAATAATAATTTTTGTTGGTTTGAATTCATGGAAGTTAATTTGATATGACCCAAATCCAAGAAACACTCGAACTCGGCCAAATAATCAGAATTGTGCACTTCAAACTTTAGAGTTTTCCTATTTTTCTTCAACAACACGAAACTTTAAAGGATAAAGCGGAAATCGATCAAACATTCCCGAACCTATGGGAAGGACCAATCGATATAATCGATGCTCACCACGACCAGATGTGGTATTCTGGATGATAAGAGACATGTACTCCTCCTCTGACTCCTCTACAGAAGACTCAAACAAACTTGTTCAATAGAACTAGATAATACTTAACTTTATTGATGAAATGAAATATGAAAAGTACAAATGATTCGACCTCCTTTATATAGGCTACAAAACTTAAATACCCTCTTCTACATGCTCAATAGTGACCTCCCAAATTAACTGTTGTTTTTTTTCTTATAAAACATAGGTACTTGAGTATATATGATCTTTCTAAGTAGTTATACTCGTAGAAACAGTGGTTGAGTTAGATAGTAGGGACCAAAAAAATAATACAACAACCACCATCTCATCCGACACAAGCCTTTTCTATTTTCCATTGGATTTTCATCTTTCATTAGTTTAAAGTGACCAACCAAGCAAAGGGTCAAAGTCTTACCAATTATTCAACATCTCAAATTTATTACATAATTCACGTGTATGACTCACATAAAAGTTTCTTCAATAAGAAATTGAAGCCTTGAGCTAAAAAAACACAATAGTTGTTCAATCAATAACAATTGATGTGGGTTCGTATAAAAATATACTTTTGAATGCAAAAGAACAAATCCTTGCATCTGGAACCACTCCATGTCTCGAAATATCGCGCATTAAAAAATTTGATTGATCATAACTATTAACGATGTATAAAAGGGAGAAATTAGCCACAACGCTTCCAAATATGATCTTCCCCCTTCTTCGAGACTTCAACTTGACTTTCTTTTAGCATATCCCACATAACGTGAACATCACTGTACTTAGAAGCTTTCACGTCTTGTTGCAATTTACTAATCCCTGTTTTATTTTAAACATGTTAAAAATACTTCATAAAAGGAGGAAAAAGTCACGGTAATTACTTCGATATAAAAATTAGATAAATATCATATGATTTCACTAAACCATTTAAATGGATTTTTCAACAATTTATAATTATAATGCCTATTAGTTCATATGCACATATTATGATATTAATAATACAAGAACAATCTAATACATGAAATATTTTAAATTTTATATGTTTAAGTAAGAAAAAGTTATAAAGAAATTAAAAATCTGATTTTCTCCTTGCTTTATATAATCATAACTTTAATAATCAATCTAAAATTTTTAACACAATAAATGAAATATTTATCACCATGATAATTGATTATATTTCACTCTGAGAAAATGATCAAGGAAGAATATATGAAAATCGTAACACTTCTTCGGTATATTATTAAATTATTTTTATGAAGACAATTGATTAAATCAATTTTAAGATGATACTACAAAACAAATCCAAACCTTTTAACTTTGAAAATGGTACTGCAAAACACACCCAAACAGTTTAACGTTAATATATAAAATTTAAGTTTTCAGTATTTCAAAGTAGAAACAAAATGAAAAAAAATTTATTCACAAGAACTTATATTCTACTTATACACATTTTTATATAGGAATGATCAATGTTCAGAGAAATTTGTAGTTTATCAGTGTATTATGATACCAAATGAAAATGGATTCTAAAGTAGATTAGTTTATAAAATTAAACAAAAAGTAAGCTTTGAATTTACCTCTCTTGCGAAACGTTAGTCGTACAGTAACACCCTTCCATACTCTTTTTACGGGATGTATCATATTTTTCCAATTCGCCATTCTAGTTGATGATTTTGTGATTCTTTAAGAGAGATGTTAGAATGAAAAACAGATCATGGATCTATTGAGTGTAGATGAACAAATAAATAAAGTTTCAATTAGGTAATAATAAAAAAGTGCTTTAGTGAAGCTAATCAACAATTGAGATATATAATATGATAACGAAGGAATGAGTGTGAGGGAGAGAGAGAGGTGTGATCATGAGTAATAAAGAATTGAATGTGTGAACACCTCTCTATCTCTCTCATTATCTTCTTTCTTTTCTGCTAATGCCTTGAATGTTTTGATTTTTTATGTAAATTTTATTAATAATTTTCTAGAAAAATACTTAAAATATCTCATCTCTCAATGGTATTGCTTCTTTGTTCACACATTCCCGAAATGCATGGCGGGAGCGAAAATTAAGCTCTCGTATAACTACTCATAACATCTTTTAGTTACATCACTCTACTATAATATGATGAAGTGTGGAAATTTCATTTTAGTAAATTTTGCATGATAAGAAAATTATTAATGTATAAATGAACATCTAAGCATTTATTTAAAACAAAAGAGGACATTGAGCACTTTTGTTTATATCAAGCTATCTAAGAAGTGAAACTCCAACTTGTTTCATTTAAGATAATTGGAGTATTGTCCGTCTAATGTTAATAAAGTTATCTAAGAATTCTTGAAAAAAATCCAAAAGTACCACCGTTTAAAAAAAAATTCTAAAAATACCACCCAACCCCAAAAAATTCCAAAAATACCACCCTTTTTCAAAAACCGCCACCCCACCCTGCGGTTTACACGAAAACCGTTTGTCGGAGGCGCGGTTTTCTATGCAAACCGCGGGACTAGGGGGCGGTTATAAAAAAAAAAATTTGGACCAAACCGCTGGGTGGGGAGGCGGTTTGACCCAAAACCGCCACCCCACCCAACGGTTTGGTTCAAATTTTTTTTTTCTTTTTTCGATCAACTCCTAACTTCGGCCGAAACTTCAAACGAACGTAACTTTTCACTCGGGTATCCGATCGTAGCGATTTTTTTTTCATTTCGCATAAATTTTCAAGATCTACAACTTTTAATAGGATGAAATTTTCAAAACAGCAACTATTTGTGGATATACGGGACCTTGGGAATAACTTTACCTTTATTTTTCACAAATCCATGTACATTTTGAAATTATGATTATATTAAAAGTTGTAGATCTTGAAAATTTATGTGGATTAAAAAAAAATTTCATGACATTCGGATTTTGGAGCACAAAGTTATGGCCGCCCAAAGTTTGACGAAATAAAAAAAATGCGAGACCCGGCAGTATGCGGCTTGCAAGATCTCAAAAAGTTTGACGCCTCCATTTTTTGAATCCGAATAACTTTTTGAGATCTTGTTGGTCGCAAACCGTGGGGTCCCGCTTTCGTCTCGAAAAAACGTCATTTGCCACCCCAAACGAGCCTTTTTTGATTTCGTCAAACTTTGGGCGGCCATAACTTTGTGCTCCAAAATCCGAATGTCATGAATTTTTTTTTATTCTACATAAATTTTCAAGATCTACAACTTTTAATATAATCATTATTTCAAAATGTACATGAATTTGTGAAAAGTAAAGGTAAAGTTATTCTCAAGGTCCCGTATATCTACAAATAGTTCCTGTTTTGAAAATTTCATCCTAGTAAAAGTTGTAGATCTTAAAAATTTATGCGAAATGAAAAAAAAAGTCGCTACGATCGGATACCCGAGTGCAAAGTTGCGTTCGTTTGAAGTTTCGGCCGAAGTTAGGAATTGATCGGAAAAAAAAAAAAAATTGGACCAAACCGCTGGGTGGGGTGGCGGTTTTGGGTCAAACCGCCACCCCACCCAGCGGTTTGGTCCAAATTTTTTTTTTATAACCGCCCTCTAGGCCCGCGGTTTGCATAGAAAACCGCGCCTCCGACAAACGGTTTTCGTGTAAACCGCAGGGTGGGGTGGCGGTTTTTGAAAAAGGGTAGTATTTTTGGAATTTTTTGGGGTTGGCTGGTATTTTTGGAATTTATTTTTTAAACAGTGGTACTTTTGGATTTTTTCCAGAATTCTTCATAATTTCGAATATGCATCAAAAGATAAACTCTATCATCTCAACTCTAATTTCAAGGTCCATAACCCTTATATGATGAAGAGATTAGATCAATTTCTTGTTGCAATACCATAAACAAATGTGTAACTTAAGATTCTTGCACCTAGACTTAGTGTTTTGCTCCTTTTTGTAATTAGCAATAACCATATTGCCTTTCGGAAGAGGAAGGTTATACTAGAGAATGTATTACTGGCTCATGAACTGGTGCACAAAATAGATGTGATGAAAGCATTTATTTCAATGTCATTTTTTTTATTATATTAAAGGTTGTATGACTTCCCCAATGAGGAGTGTGACTTTTAATAGGGGACTGGCCGGCTGGTAGGATGCTTTCAAACTAAAAGGGCCAAGGAAAGGGAACCTTCTTCTCTTTAAATCTCTTATATAACCATGGAGGTGTTGACCTTCCTTTTTATAGTCAAACAAAGAAAAAGATCATTTTCTTCTCATTCTATGTGCAAAAAAGTGGACACGACTCTTTTTGTTCTGCAGATGGTTTGCTTGTTTTCTCATATGGTTGAATTATGGTATGCAATGTGTGCTTAGAATCCTGAAACAAACTAACCTACTTTCTAGTCATAAGTTTAATCCAGCTAAATGTTAAATTTTATTGGAGCCATGAAGAATGAAACACAACATATTCTAATTGACTATATTTCAGTTGGCTAGACTTATGTACAAGATTTAGGTTGCCTTGGACCCTAAAAGGGTTTATTTGAAGGTTTGCATCATTTAATTGACTATGTAACTACTATTATACAAGGTTGGAAAGCTAAAACTCTTAATTATGCAGGTCGATGAAACTGATTGTTTTTATTTTACATATCGTAAACAAATTTTGGTTCATGTATTTTATTCTTCCTTAGGCTATCGATTGGAGTCTAGAGAAATTATGTAGTTATTTTTTATGGGGAGAGATCACTCGATTGAAAGGCACGTAGTTGCTCTTTCGTAGTGAGAGGAACAAAGTTGCTCGGGAGCATCCCACCTTAAAGGAACATCCGCGTGAGCGGCGATGAACGAAGCGGAACCGAGAATGTCAGCTTGAGTAACACAAACATTGGTGAGCAATAGAAGGTAGAAAGAGGGCTATTGTTGCATGGGACAAACTCATTGCTCCTAAACAAGAACGAGGCTTGGGCTTAAGGGGTTTAGTTATGTGGAATGTTGCCTGTGTCAAAAGAAAGATTTGGGCATTATTAATGTATTATGGTTTTTTATGGGTGATCTAGATTATTGTTTTCATATTGAAAGCTTGAATTTCTAAAAAAATACACAAGGGCCGTTGGTTCTTGGAAGTGGCAAAACTTCTCTTTGGGGAATGACGATATTATATTGTGGTGTGTTCTAGCTATGACTAAGTACTTAGTTAACATGTTTGGATCACTCTTCGTCTAAAACTTCCTTTACTATCTTTGGTACTCCTTTTTTAAATTTATCCTTGCAATGTCAATGTTAGGAAAGGTGCATACAAAGTTTATGACACCTTAACTATGATAATTGCATACTAATTACGGGCAGCAAATCTCATTAATTTATAACCCATATTCAAATCACGAGAATACTAATTACGAGGCACCAAATCTCATTATTTCATAATCCATACAATTAAATCACGAGAATACTCAAGGCAATAGTATGCAATTTATCAAACACTTGAGCCTTCCACAAATTAATGCAAATATGCAATCACAATCTCAACATGATCATTAAACAATTGATTGACTGTTAACCAAATGTATGGAGAGGGCTATCATAGATTTATTTCCTCGTGGTTCATAGTATGATATATCATAAACATACCAGAGACGTGATAGGGTCAGAATACCAAAGACTATTAACCTCCTCACAGAATATCGAAAGACTTCAAACCTTCCTCATAGAGTACCGAAACGCTTCTCGCCTTCCTCGCGTAATATCAAAAAGGTTTTTCCCATAATATCGAGCCCCCTAGGCTTCCTCACAAAGATCACTTTCACTTTCACAAGTAAAGGTTAATCACATACTATAAATTCAATCCATTCAAGGTATAATTCAAGCTTCACATGTACCTTTTTCATATTCCACAAAGAGCAACATCACACTCTCATTACACAACCATCATCGAAAAGAGGTATAAACCACAATTGATCCCTCATCATTCTTTGTAAAATCACCACATATAGTTGACTATATTTGTGAATTAACCAAAAATCTCAATTTTCATCCAATCTCATAGTCGAACATTCCACAATCAAAATCATACATAAACCTCAACATACAATGATTATCTCTTATTCTACTTACTTGTTATGTTGAGTATCTCAATGCTTGGAGCTCATTTCTTCCAAGACCTCCGTACTACTGGAGCTCGCTATAATATGTATAACATTCTAAATTCCATGGATAATAATACCCATATTTCATAAAGACCCAAATTTTATGAAGATACATCATGCCTAATTGTCCTCAAATGCCGTTGATGTATGGAGGTGTGTCGTAGACATTATTATTATTGCAAGTTCTATGTAAAAATCTAGATTATGTTACCATGTCATGTTTCTAACACAATAGGTTTCAAGCTTTTAAAATTATATACAAACTCTCAAAATTACTATATTTTTCATAAACATACTTTACTATATAAGGAACAACTTTATGGACGAATATTTTTCATAATACCGCATGAGCTGAGCTAAACTACAACGTGTAACACTCAGCTCGCACGTTAGCGTGCATGCTGAGCTAAAATGCTTAAGTTTCGCTCAACTCGTGTGGTAGTGCGCACTGTTGTTTTCTAACACAATATTCTTGTCAATACATTTTTAAGCACTATATTTTTTATAATAATTTTTAAATATACGATATTTATGTAAAAGTCCCAAGTTCCGGGGAAAGGAAAATATTATAAAAAGAGAAAGGGAAATGATTTTCTCTTTTGCTTTAAAATAAAATATGAAATGTATTATATATGATTCAAGCTAGCGTACGCCTGTGTTACACTATCATACATCATTCAAGTTTGACTACTTAGACTATGAATTAATCGGAGTTTTGAGGCATGATACTATACCCTAACTTCCAATGGCTGAACCTAGGGGTGTTCAAACGGTGTGGTTACCGTGGTAACCGTTTCAACCGGTAGTTATTGGCTAATTTGGTTTAGTTAATTTGGATAATTGGTTTAATTTGGTTAAAAAATTTAGCTTGTTTTATTTAGTTGATTTGGTTTCAGGCACTCCTAACCAATCAAACCAAATTAACCAATTAAGTAATTATCCATATATCTAATATATATTATATACACACACTTAATACTTGGCATAACCATTCAAGAGCCAAACATTCTTTCCTTTAAGGCTCATCAACAATAAAGCTGAATCTTGTTCCTATATTGTATATTTGTATTTGGAGAGTGTAGATCATGATCTATGAACGCCCAATTTAGATAAAAACTTATACAATATGTTAGATAAAAACTTGAAAGGAAGGTAATTTCAACCTATGATAATTGCTAAGAGACTAATTCAATTCACACAATCACAACTTAACTCCATACTATTGACATATATTTTTGTTAGGTGAATACTTCTATTGATTGTAAGATAATTGTACTAGTTGTATGTATTTCTGTAAGGGTTAACTATAACTATGTGTTCATTGTAATGTTTTATTCATCATATAAATTGTCAATTGATGCATTAACTGAAAATTTTCACTTAATGATAATGCGATGTTATATTGGTTAATTTGGTAAACCAATTAACCAAACTGATTAAACTTTAGTGTGGTTAATTTGGTTGTTGCATTAGTTTTTACAGTTTGATTATGATATTGTATTGCATGGTTAATATAATTTTGACTTGTTTGGTTTGGTAATTACCATGGTAACCATTTGAACACCCCTACGCCTGAACCCCAGTCTCCAGTTCTCTAACTCGAGCCACAAAATTTATTTAATCTAAGAAAATAATAACTGATGCTTGTGATTCGGCAAAATATATTGAAGTGAAAATAACAAGTGTGAAAATAGGCATATAGGATATAGTATTTGCCATATATATGTATGGTGGCTTCTACGGTACCCCAGGTGAAATCCGGGGTACCGCATAGCTTGTGTATGACAACGCTATCTAAACCTCGAATAAGCAGGATTTTTGGGCCTGATACTATACCCTAACCCTTAATGAGTGAATCCTAGGTCCTAATTATCTAAATCATAAACTATAAACCCTAAGATGGTGCATACATTTTTTTGCCTATATTTGGACGAATCATAACCGTCAATTATTGTTTCTAATTAAATTGATTTTGGGGTATAAGATTTAGAGAATTAGGACCTAGATTTTGATCTATAAGGTTTAGAGTAAAGTATCATGTCCGAAAAATTAGTCAATTCAAGGTCTGAAAAGCGTTTTCATAGTTAAGGTATACAGTACCCCGGATTTCACCCCGCGTAGTGTATAAATCATCATATATGTGGTGGTTGTATATATACATAGTAAAGTTAATTTTTCGAAATGGTCACCTATTAATTGCGTCCCACCTACCTATCCCTTCGTTGGGTTGACATTATTTTAGCCAACCATAAAATATAAAACTAGTGATGGGCATTGGGTGTGTTGGATGGGTTTTGAGCAAAAACTCACTCACCCACAACTAAGCGGGTGAACTTAATCATGAACCACACTCACTCATATATTAGTGTTGGGTGGATTTGATGCGGGTTACGGGTAGGTTGGGTGAGTGAAGGCGATTTTGATGATTGGAATACAAGTATAAATAACCAAACACGAGTCAAAATGAATCCACAATAACATCCATTAGAACAACAATTATATGATGGAAAAATTAGTGGTGAAGAGTAACGTTGCCCACATTAACAAAGAAATAAATGGAGTCTAGCAAGCTAATCCTACAATAATGCTTGATACAATTATCAAACTTCTAGTATTTCTTTGGTGCTTTTCCCTTGTTCCCTTTTGGCTCCTTTTAATGACTCCAACCAAATTAAAGAACATAAAAAAAAACATGACAATCTATCAATAATATTAATATGTGCAGCCAATAATAGAAAATACAGTTGTTGGATATGATCACAAACATCCATCTCAAACCACCATTTCAAGCATTGAAATCACAATTGCACACAGTTTCTTAGCCATAAGCTCTCATGCTGGAATATATATGTTCAAAGTGAGAAAACAACTCATGCTTACAGGAAAGCCCAAAGGAACCAGATCAACAGGAGTGTATCCATGATCTTCTTAATCCTCTAATGCTTTTGTCAAAAACAAATTCACAATGATCAGTTACAACATTGATCATTTAATAGTGCCAGTCTCCGATAGCACCATATTTGCACATGTTTGCACCCTTATTTTTTAACCGTTTTAGCTCGGATTTGTGGTTCATTAGCCTATTTTACGCTAGGTTGTATTATTTTGTCATATTTCAGGTCCTAGCGAGTAAAGGGAGGCATATGCGCAAGTTTTGGGTCAATCGGAGGTCGTTTGGTCACTCAAAAGCCTCTCAAAGTGGAATTGAGGAAGAAGTACATGCAACCTTCCCCAAATTACGGCAGTAATTCAAAAATTACTGCCGGTATTTTTTATGTCGAGCTTGGTGTTGGCTCAGGTACAAATACAACCAGTATTCCAAAAAATACGGTCGTATTCCTTAGTGTCTAGCTCGTAATTTCACTGCCGAGAGGAGCCCTTGGATACGCTGAGACTTAACCAAAAAGCGCATTTTGGGCAAAATACGGGCAAGGAAGAATTACGACCGTATTCCTGCCCGTATTTTGCAAAAATAGGGTTGAAGAGGCATATTCGAGCCAAAGGAAGGGGATTCGACTTTTTGGAGCAAAAACAGAGTTCTAGAGAGAGAAAGTGCGAAGAACAAACCTTATGAGCTATTTTGGAGTGGATTTCTCACCACTGAAGCCGAGATTGCATCCCTAGGAGTGAAGATTGACATCCCAGAGCAAATTATTCCCATCTTTATGAGTATGACTGCTTTGATTTCTGTTTTCCTCTCTCTCTATGGTAGAAGATTAAAATTTATTTTATTTATTATTTTTTAATTGCCACGTCACCGAGTTAACAGACAACTTTGAGGGTTGACTGCCACATCAGACAAATTTAACGGAGTTGGACGGAGAGTGACCAAACTTGAACCATTTAACTAATTTGAGTGACCAAAATTGGATTTTAATATTTCCAGTGACCAAACATGAACGTTTTTTGTAATCTCAATGACCAACCATACAATTAACCCTATGAATATCCTATATCATTGAATCTCTAACCAATGGACTGACCGGGGAATGTGTCCACCAACCGAACAATATCATCCATGAGCACATTATCGATGAGGAGGACAGAGCCCAGATGAAATTCCACCGACTCGAGTTTTTTCCCCTCCCTTTAGTGGGAAAGTCAGCGTTGTTCGGAGGCGACAAAGTCGCGGATGTTTTCTGGGGAGTTAGCTGACTCTGTCTTTCATCCAAAAGGTTAATGGATTTGTTTTGATTTTTACACTGAATAGTTTAGGTTAATGGATTGGTGGATCATTTATGGATCCATGAATCCAATCGATCAATCCATGGATTAAATGGATTTGGATCCAATTTAAATGGATTGGATTGAATTAGTGTTGTCACCTCTAGTCATATGAGCAAAGGAGGTACCAACTAGTCCGAAAATGAAAACATAGTCTTATGTCAATCTTGGTGCAAAATATCATGTGACGGAACAATAGGCAATGATCAACACTTTAAAAGGTTTTGGGAGCGGATACAAGAGACATCAAAATGGTCATTCCACATTCCGAGCACTCCCAAAAATCGATGGTGTCATGGTTCAAGGTAATAAGCAAGACATGTAGCTTATGGAAAGGGGCATTAAGGTAGGGTAATGAGCAAAGATCTAGTGATCAAACTGAAGATGATGTGGTAAGTCCTTTTATTTTCCATGTTATGAATTTTATTTTCTTTTAATCTTGATTATGACATACCATTTTGTAATATATGTAGATGACCATGGTGAAGGACATTTATAAGTCTGAGATGACAAATAAGGATTTCAAGGATGAAAATTGTTGGAGGATCCTGCCACTATGCCCTAAATGGCATTCTGATCATGCACTCAATGTTTTACTTGTTCCGCCTATGGCTAGCGAGTCGAGCTCATTCATTCACTATAATGAATCAACTCCACCTAGAGGGATGTCTATACCCAAAGGACGTGATAAGAAAAAGGCATGCAACAAGGGAAAATCCAGGGAAGAATCATCTGAGGAGCGTGGTCAACGAAGGGATGCATTATTGGCTCGAGGAGCTCTTTGAGGAGAGGAATGCAAGTAGGGATTTTCACAAAAGTCACGAGGTGGAGTGTGAATGACAAAAGTGGCAAATGGACGATGAGGAAGTTCCCACTAGAAGAAGGGAACATGAGTTGGACTTTAGGCAATGAGAAGCAGCTTTGTTTGAGAAGGATATGCAAATTTTGGAAATTGACCTAAACAAGTTAACTCCAAGGAAGAGGAAGATTGTTGAGCATTAACAAGATGTCATATATGCTAGGGATGCTACTAACGATGATGGAGAAAGTGTTGTTGACCTTGGTGGTGGGAGTAATGAGGACCAATGCAGTCAAAAGCGCGATTTTATCTAGAAGCAGAAAAGGGGTAAAATCGTAAAGTGTAGAATTAAAGCGTAATAGCGTAAGTTTTTTACGCATATTGTAAAAGAACTAAAAATAGGTTAAGTACGACATATGCTATGTAACGTATGAGTGCACAAAATTTAGATAAGTTAATAAATACTTGCAATTCATGTCTAAAGTAGAGCAACTTATAGCCTCTTAATAATAAGTTCATAAACATAAATCTTATCAAGAAGCCACCTTCCCCTCCATGCTAATGAATTTGGGAAGATCCTAGCCAGTGAGTTAGATTACTCTATTGAAGTTGAGAATGCATCCAAGTATCTGGTATGTATCTTTTAATCTCAAACGTACCATATTGTTGGTGATTTACCTTTAAAATATACTTTTTACAATTAATGTATCTTTTAATCTTGCAAAATTAATGAATTCAAACTCAAACATATAAAAAAGGTAGAGAGGATGTGGGTCCTACAACTAAAGGTGGTCAGAGGAGTGTGGCTGTGTGGGAGTTTGGGAAGTAGGGAAAAGTCTTCACGAAAACGACGCCACTTCCCATTCCGGAATTATGATTACCGGTTGAACCACCCGGAAATTCCGGTTTTGACTGGTTTTGACCGGCATTGACTTGCCTATTCTACCAGTGGCATTCCAGTCGGCAGTCGGTTTTATGACCGGCACTGGTTGATTGGTTTTGACCGGCATTGACTTGCCTATTCTACCGGTGGTTTTAGTTTTTGGTTTTTGGAAGGAGAAATGGTAGTGGATAATTTATGAAAAATACAAAGAGCAAAAGAGTCATTTTTTATACAATGTATATAAAGTAGAATAAATGGAGATGAAAACCCTAGTTTTAGCCGTCACCACTCATTCTTTCTTTCCTCTCTTCACCTCGACCTTAACTTAAAGAAAAAAACAGGATTCTCCACTCTCATCTCGCGTTTTGCCTCTCATTTCCCTCCCCTCTCGATTCATCTCTGAAAATGGATGATGGCGGAATAAGGGAAGCGACGACAGAAGCCAAATTCGTGCTTCATTCACCTCCTTTTCCCCTAGTCCTCTCATGCTCTCTTTGTAAATCGAAGACCTGATCTGGTGGGGGAGAAGAACGATAGCACTCCGAGCGTCACCAGCGGCAACGAAACAAGCAGTAGGTCTGGTAGGTTTTGTTTTTTTTTTTTGTTAATTGCATAGGTTGCCACTTAAGTTCATCATTTATTGCACGATAACCATCTAAGTACGTTTTGTTGCAACTAAACCACTTGTGTCAAATTTTGGTAATACTGTTACCATTTCATCCCCATGGCTAACAGTAGGTGACGAAATATAAATAACCATGCCATCTCCGACTGCCACGTCAGTTGCGGACTCACATGTGAGCCACCAAAATTTGATGGGCCCACTCCCTGCAGGGAAAACTTCTCATTCTCAGAATGTCATTTCAGCAGCTGAACCGTCGGGCACCATCCCTATAGAAAACAGAAATAATCGTCAAAGAGATTTATTTGGCGAGATGACGATCGTGCGGAGAAGAAAGAAAAGATCAACATACGCTGTAAAAAACGTACGATATTTATTCCAGACCCCTGTTGCGCTATTCTGTTTCTTCCTCCAATTCAGACCCTTGCAATGGCAATATTACAGTTCCTCCTATAATTCTTTGCTTCTTATTGATATGGATTTGAAACGACTAGCGAAGATAGCTTGCTCATGAGTTGATGGAGAAATAGGTGAGTGAATTATGGTTTCTTTGAGTGCTCTATTTTCGTGTTTGTTTTTCTTCTTTGTTGTTGGATGATCAATGGGTGAAAAATGCAGGGCATTTCACTTCAAACACATATTCTCTTATTTTTTTTAGTTTAAGAATGCGTCCAAGCATTACCAAAGTCGGGGAAAATGACCAAATTTCTATATATGGTGAGTTTTTCAATTAAAGGCTGATGTATTTTTCATCCCTGCCATTTTGCAGTTGCGATTTGCTGTTGTTCTCAATCAAACTGTTTGTTTTAGGACTAATGTAGTTTGTTTACAAATACTTGTACTGTCTGTTTTTCTAGGATTTAAAGATGATAAATTCACAATCGAACTCCATTATAAGGGCGAAATTGTGCATATAAATATAAATGATGAAGACATATCTTATTTTGGAGGTGAAGTTGTATACTTGGATATCATTGTTCCAAACTGTTTGTCTTTGTTCGAGCTAGATGGTTATGTTGTCGACATCCGTCATATAGAAAGTATGAGAATGATGGAGGAAATGGTTGGGCATATTATTGGAGACTACCCAGAGAAAGATTGAAGGAAGGGCTGCAATAACTGACTATTGACAGTGATATTCTGGACATGGATGATAAGGTAGTTCTAGAAACAAATTTGTGGAGGTGTATCTGATCAATAAAGATGAGTTCCGGAAGGCTAGATTAGAAGCATATCAAGGAGAACGTCCAAGTATGCAAAGTCTTAATTGACATGGGTGCTGAACACTAACATGATAATGTAATTGGATATGGACACGAGACCAATGATGAGAGAGTGGAAGGTGATCTGGAACTACTTTCAGCAGAGAATTATGAACTGAGGAGGACATGGAGGGGTATACCAATGATGTGGAGAATGAAAGCCATGATATCTATATTGACTCTACTTTTGATGTCAATGTAGATGATGAGTTGTATGATTTAGACAATCTGGGCAGTATTCACTCTAATGAAGAATAAGGTGTTCCAACTCATTCAAGATACCATGAATTCAATCCAGAAAACGAAATGAGCAATCCTCAATTTTTCCTACACCAAATCTTAAGGGACTTCGATACATTCAAGGATGCTATCAAGAGTTACTCCATCAACAACAAACAATCTCTCAAATTTAAACATAGTGACATGCATAGAGTTCAAATTGTCTGCCAGTTAGGTTACCCATAGAACATATGTGTATGCCCGACATATGATAGAAAGACTGTTGCAAGACTATTGTGCTCAAGTCTGAAGGACAAGTCCTAGTTCTACCTGCTATGTGGAAATGTGTGAGAACTCTAACACATTCAAGAGAATGTACTCTCTTTCCAAATTTTTCCCTCTGTAACTCCCTCTGATGGCAGAGAATTTCAAATGTGGCTGGCAATTTTCTTTTTTCAGTTATTAAGTATTGTCTAGATGTAAGAAATTCTTTTTATCCAAGAATTGTGTAGGAATTTTATTATGTATCAATTGAGAATTCATAGTTTAAAAGATTTGCTATCCAACATATTCCGATATTATCCGGAATCGTACCATATTTTGGACAATAAGGTTTTCTGAAAAAAAATATTGTTTTACCGGTATGAAATGGTTGAATCACGATCGTATAACAAAATATCATACAAAAATCATGGTTTTTAAAATTCTACTCTACCATTCGATCTGACCGCAAATACTGGATACCGAACCCTAAACGATAAGCAGTTTTAGTAATACAAAATAGTTGAACTACGGTCAATACAAAATATTCTACTCCCAATTTTTCGAATATAACTTCCGATACGGTTTATCGTGGCAAAAATTAGTTGTATGAATTCCGGTACAATTTGGTGAACCCTAGACCCTTAGTTCCATGTCGTTTTCCGGCGTAACCCCATCAGCAAATAAGACATGTGACGGGATAAGAGTTGGAGTTGGCCATCCCCAACATGGCTAACTTCGTAAAACTGTCTCCGGTTTCCATGGGTACTTTCGGAATTCCATATTTGAAATCCACACGCTTCTTCCTACCGCTTCCCCTACGTGGACCCACGTTACGTAAGTTTAGTTTGGCCTTGCGGTAGTTTTTGCAGAAGCAGCTTCTGGCTGGAGCTTTTAGATAAGTACTTTTAAAAAAAAGCAGTTAAATGTTTGGTGGTAAAACTATTAGAATTGCTTTTTAATATAAGAGGTTGTGTAAAATGACTATAAAGGACTTATAATATAAAATACGAATAAAAATTCTAAACAATAAAAAGTAGTCAAAATTGATCTTGTTAGATTTCTTTTTATATTAAATAATATGATTTTATAATTTATTTTATTTTTAAAATGATATCAATGAAGGAAATTTATATTTTTTAAATAAATTTAAAATATGGTAAGAATAATCTTGTATTTTCAAAACAGCTTTTCGCATTAGCTCCAGATTGGAGCTTCTGCTTTTATGTTATACAAAAACGCTTTTCATCTTTTCAAAAACAGAAAAACACTTCTAAAAGCCGGGCCATCAGCTTTTCTTCCGAACCCTAGCTCCTACGCTTCTGCCTCCATTTTAAATGTTCCCGAAACCAAATTTCTCCTTTTTCCTGAAACTCGCCCGCACGAACCGATTGATTAGAGAGAGAATTAGAGAGAGCGAGAGGCGCCAAAAAGTTCGAGAGTTCTCGCTTCTTCGGTTTGTTGTTCTCTTTTTCCCTTTTCGGTTAGTGGATGGAGAGGTTGGAATCGGCGCCGGCGACAACGCCGGAGGAGGTGAAGTATGTCAGCTGGGAGGAGGTGAATGCGAGGAGAGATACAGGGAGGGCAGAGGTTCGATATTACCTGAGCCGGAACGACAGAGGTACGGATCTTGCTGTCGTTGGCAAAGAGAAGAGCTTGAGGCATATTTCTTACCGCTACGGCAACCGGATTCGTTCCCTTTCCGTTTCTATGGGTCCGCTGTTGAAGCTCGGGACCAGGCGTGAGGTTGTGGATTGGCTCAACTCGATTGTTTCAGGTTAGTAACTCGTAAATTGGAACAAAAGACCCCAGCTTTGGTTTCAAATTCTCCGATTATCTGTTCATTTCTAGCTTTCTTCGGGAGTTCTCAAGACGTCCGCATAGAATTGTCAAATTTTTGGTTTCTGGGATGTCCTGGTTTGTCTTGTAAAAAATAAACCTGTTCAGGAGCTCTTGGTATTCGTGCTTGTCTAGTAAAAATTTAGTCTTTCGGTAATTGGCTCGAGGGAAAATCTGGACCAGCTGCATGTGCTAATTGAGAGGGTTGCAGATATTGTTAAAGAGCTGGTATATATTTGAACCATACAACAGTAGTGATTCTAGTGAGCATCAGATATTGTTTTTGGTGCCTTTGCTGTAAACTGACTGTGATCTGGGTTGCAGGGATGCTTATTCCATTTTAAAGAGCTGGTCGAGAGCATCGGATCCTCATGCCCTCAGTAACTAGGTTGTGAATTTTTTTTTTTCCGTGAAAATTATTGTCATGATTTACCTGTGATGCTTACTTGGTTTGTTGTTGATTTTCTCTCTGTGATATGCATTTAAACCATTGCATGTTTGCTGAATGTTCTTGTTATTGTCTAGCCTTTCTAGTGGTATGTCTGCATTTGATATTTATGTCTGGCTCACTTGTATATTTAGTGTTGTTTCTGACTCTTCCTTTCTCTAGCTATAGAATTCTCTGTTTTCCTTGGTGACGGCTCTTATTTTTAATACGCTTTGATTTTACAGATTCATCGCAGCAACAGTCATATGTATCAGCAAGATCTCTTAGCAGCAGTTATGCCTGTGAATCAGATGTTTTGAATATCGAGGTTGAGCTCACTTTGACTTTGACATATGGGGGTAATATGGTTAGTCTGTGGATGCTCTAGTAGAGTTATTTACCCTTTTTCGTGTTCTTTTTTCAGGGTCCTCAATCTCTGAACATCAGTCATGTTGCTAGATCATTTTCGTGGATGGGCTCCCCTTGGATGTGCCGGAGAAAAAGAAAACACTTTCCATAGAAATGGTGTTAAAATTTCCGTGAGTTAAAAGGTCCCTTGTTTATTGTTTACACTTGAGTAGTTTTGTTTAGTTTTTGATTGTTAATATCCTTTCAGGTGTATGATTTTGTGTACGTTCTAGTTGAGGAAGGAAAAAGACTTGTTGCATACTTGGAAGATATGTATGAAGATTCAAATGGCAGTAAGATGGTTGTGGTACGATGGTTTCATAAAATTGATGAGGTTGGTATTATTCTGCCTCACAATTACAATGAAAGAGAGGTTTTCTTCTCTCTTTGTCTGCAAGATTTAAGTGTTGAATGCATAGACGGTTTGGCTGTCATCCTCAGTTCTCAGCACTTCCAGAAGTTCCAGAGTGTGGCAGCACATACTAGGATGAACCCGTTCGTATGCTACCATCTGTTTGAAGATGATGAAGTAAAGCCCTTCAATGTCACTAGAGTGAAAGGCTACTGGAACCAATAAATAGTGAAGCATATGTACCCTGTATCTGGTTACAAAAAAGATCAGGCAGATTTGCAGCAGTTTGGTCACGATGATGAGGTCAGGCCTACAAAGAGGCATTGTCGATCCAGAGGTGATAGTTTGCATGCCCTTGATCAACTGCAAAGAGTTAAGGATAAGCACGACTTATGTGGTAGTTTGCCCGACAGCAAAGTAGTCGAGTCCTGTCCTCCTGTATGCGGAGGACAAACCGTTGCATTGTTATCCAAGACTGAGGTCAAGGCGAACCCTCATCAGCATCTGAAGGTTGGCCATGAAGTTGAAGTGCTCTCACAGGATAGTGGAATTCGAGGATGCTGGTTTAGGGCTAGAATAATTAAGAAGCATAAGGATAAAGTTAAAGTGAGGTATGATGATATTCAAGATGCATCTGATGAAGCCAAAAAGCTGGAGGTATGTACAATGTATTATTGCCTCTTCAAACTTTTCTCTTTTTCTCTAAAAAACGGTCTTTGTTTATCTATGGATGTGATCAATCTTACAATATAGTTGCAATTAATTTTCACAGGAGTGGATGCTGGCATCTCGAGTTGCTAATCCTGACAAGTTGGGCATCCGGATATCTGGAAGGATAACTGTCCGTCCTGCCCCCGAGTTGGATAAAGATTGCCTGATTGACGTCAAACCCGGAGCTGCTGTTGATGTGTGGTGCATGATGGCTGGTGGGAAGGGATTATTGTTGAAATGGAATCTGAGCAGACAGTTCGTGTTCATTTCCCAGGTTTGTTCAAGTTATTTTTATGTTTCTCTATTGTTTATTGTGCTGTGGTTCTTGGCATCGGTTTCTCAGAAATTAGACTACTTATTTCAGGAGAGAATAAGGAAGCAGTGTTTGTTCGTTCCGACTTGAGACAGTCTCAAGAATGGTTAGGGAAAGGTTGGATAAAACTCGAGGCAAGGCCTGAGATTGTGGATTCTATTCCATCTCGGTCATTAAGCAAGCCTATAGTGAGCCAACAAGTTGCTAGTAAGTTGGCTCATCCTACAATTTCTGATCCGATGCATCATCCCAGGAAAGTTGAAACCAGCAGCAGTGGCAAGTTAAGTTCTGATCAGCAGCATTCCAGAAAAGTTGAAACTGACAGTAGCAAGTTATGTTTAGATTCTAGAAGCGACGATGATAGAAATGAAGAATTGAAGAAAGTGGTTTTGGATCTGTCAAAAGATGATTTTCTGACCCAACTCAGATGGAAATCCTCAAGGAAGAGAAGACGTGGTCCTGATGGTGGCGGAACGCCTGCATCTGACCTGAATATCAACCAGAAGAACAAGAGCACCAAAATGAGTCTTCTAAACATCCCCGGACCAGATGCCAGACTTCTGATTTCTAATGCGTTGAGCATTGACCATGACAACCGCAAGTACACGAGAGATTTGCTGTTTGCATCCTCTGCTGTACAGCCTTTAACAAGCTTAGTGATGTCAAGATGAACGACACATGTTTTGTTTCTTCTTGGGTTGCTGGAGTTGGGAGTAGCAGCATCATTGAACAAGATGCTGGCTATGTGCAATGTTTATCTCACTTGACGCAGGCTTGCAGCCTTTGGTACCTCAGTTGTCAGCATTCCTGGAGCAGAAGTAAATCTTTGTTAGCTAGCTACTAACCTTGTTGTATTGTATAGTCCCTGATAGCCATAGCCTTTCTGTAGGAGTTTGTTCTTGCTGCAGGGAATAGATAAATCAGTTTTTGGATGAGTTTCTAGTGTCCAATTCCTGTAGCATTTTGTACATAAGCGCAATCATTGTTTAATGAAAATCGTGACAGCATCCTTCCCTTATTCGTTGTAGTTGCCTCAGTCTGTCCTTTCCTCTATTTCGGTCGTCTGTTTTCTTTCCAGGGGTCCTTGCGCAATGTTCCATAAGTAGCAGGCTTAATGGGTTGTCAAGCAACAGAGGATAATCTGATTCAAGATTATTATATAGGGAGGCAATAAGGTTTAAGGTTATTGTCTGGCACAGTTCGTACGATATGTGACACGAACAAGCAAAGCTAACTAAAGAATCATTGTCGGATTGTCTGAACTTTTGTTTTCTGGCTGGACCCTCAAGAGGTAAGAGGTTGTTGAGATTTCATGTTAGTAGCCAGGTTCAACTAAACTAACCCAGTTCCTGAAAACAATAATAAAGCCATTGTGGGGTTATTTTATGTTATCCACGTCGAAGTAGTTGCTCAACAATCATCATCCAATCTTCCCCATTGATTACTCACTTTTACCTCTTTGATTATTACAGCAAGCTGTATGACTGAAGCTTATAGATTAGTTTTATTCAGATTTTGAGCCGGAGCAGCAGCTGGGTGGAAGAAGCTGGAAGCTGTCAACACCATTGGATGCTTGGGAACGGGGGTTAGTCTTCTCTATTTCATCGGCTTGGTCATTGCTGTAGCAGGAGCCAGCCCATTAATGTGGAAAAAAACGATGATGATAATTGATAATAATAATATGAAAGAGCCTGGTATCGTAAGCAATCTAACGGGCAAAAATAATGACGGGGAAGGAAGAAAGTGTTTGTCCAAGAAACAGTGACATCTTGTGGGGTCGACTCGGTAAGAAACTGCAGCAATGGGGTATCTTTGTCAAACTAGGCAATAAAAAGGCAGTGGGGACTCCACTCCCACTTTAACAAAAGCTCGATCGAGGAGAGGAGTACTGTCCTTTCCCTCAGTTCATCATCATCCTCAACTCCTGCCAGTGCAAACCATCATGGTTCTTCTTTTCGCTCTGTTGTTATAGTTCTTTCTTTGTAAGCAGCTGGATGTAAGAAGAAATGGCGCTTGTAGTCAGGCAGCACAAGGAAGAGAACTATGTGAAGAACAGGAAGAAGAAGAACAAGAGAAGCATGTCTGTTCCTGGGATTAGTAGCCTGGCTTCCATTGAGTCATTGTCCATGCCCCTTGTCTGTACTCTTTTCCCCTTCTTCTCTTTTTGCTGATCAACATCAGTATACATATTTGGCTTCGTGAAGATTTATTGTGGGGGTTAATTGCAGGTTCAGGAGGTAGTAATATCAGCAAATATGCAGTGTGCACAGTGTCAAAAGAGGGTAGCTGATGTTATCTCCAGAATGAGTGGTGAGTTTCTGGCTGCTGCTTCTTCCAAACTTCTCTCTCTCATCCACCATTTTCTTCTTCTTACACTGTTGTGCTTCTGTCTAATCTTCAACGTGGATTGAGAAGTTTTCAAGCTTCATAACTGGACCTGGGTTTTATGATGATAAAAGTGGGCTCATGGGAACTGTTTACCTTTTCACTTTTTTTCCTTTCTGATTCTCTTTTCACAATCACATGTGGTGTGATGCCTAACTTCCCTTTGGCCATGCTAATAGAGATAGGCATCCGCAAGATTTGACATTACTAGATTGCGAATTAGTGATTATCAGCAGATAAAACCCCTCTACCATGAATGAAGGCACAATAGAAAAGTCTAAGCAGAAGAGGAAAGGAAGAGACTTCTTCTCAAAATGCCAAAAGTCTTGGACCATTGCAGTCATTCATTTCCCCCATCTGCTAAATCTTTACTTTGGGTTGCTTGGAAGGACAGTTGTCATTTTTTGTTCTAGTATTCTGTCTCTTCATCCTAGTTGGGGACTTTGAGGGGACCCCAAAAACTACTACACCTTTGTTTTACTTTGGTTGTGAGTTGGTTGGTTGTGTTATGGGCAGGGACAGAGTCAGTAACAGTAAACCTGGTGGAGAAGCAGGTGACTCTCACTTGTACATACCCAGGACCAGGACCAGGAGGTGGTGGCAGAATCATTTGCAGGAACCCTTTAAGCAGAATCGCCATTATCAGCAGGCGCATTTTTGGTTCTTATTCTTCCTAGAGGTGTTGAGGGATGGGAGAGACTAGAGAGAGACTACTACATGTATTCATTACAGATTTCCACTTCTGTAACCTTTAGAAGTAGTGGAAGCAAAAGGGGGAAGGGGTAGATATATAAATGCATTCTTGTAAAGCAACTTGATTGAATCATGTATATCTGTGTATTTTTTTTGACAGGGAATATCTGTGTATTAATTCAGTGATGGTGGTGCATGTTTCTCCTTCCCATAAACAAGAAGAAATTATTAAAAAAATATTTAACATAACTACTATTATATAATCATGGCTCAAAAAGTGCGTTTAAACTTACGATTAGCCCTGATATAGAGTTTTCGTAGCAGATTAGATACCGAGAACACGTCAACAGAGTAAAGCGACACCTATGTGTCTCCTATGTATAATTAGATGGTTAGGCAAATACATATCAAAAGCAGGGATTAATATAATTTACAAATGAAATCTTCTATTTCTATATCATTACTTTCAATAGCTAATTTTTTTTTGGTGAACTATTGAGCTTTGGTTTTATGAAATTGTGACTCAATTTTCTTATTTTTAAGTGTTGTGAATTGTTATTTCATTCATCATGTAGTATAAATTATTATATGTTCTTTCAACGCTTAGGTGACGCCTATGCAAGCTACACATTAAACGGCGCCTCAAACGCCTATCTTACACCTAGTACCTTCTTGAACCTTATAATACACAAGTTTATTTTAAGACGGAATATTTCTTATAATATTCTTTTAATCCAGAAAAATGATAGATATTGTAGCCCCTATTACCATAAGATCAACTCATTACAAATTTGGAGCTTTCCCCTCTTATATGGGAATTTAAGCTAGAAGTTGCATCTCAAACTTTATGGTGTTGATGGAACAGCCAAATCAAACCAGCTGATTACCTAACTTAAAAGTAAATTCCACCTTTCCATGGGTGGAAATGTGGAATGCATTACTTTGCTATAAAGCAAACTTGAAAAGCAAGGAATAACATATACACAAACATGAGCGATTGATGAATATGCCGACAAGACATGTCTACTTCCTCTTTATCGTTCCATTCTGCAATTTAGAATCTATTAACTCCATTGCCAAACTCCATTCTGATAGCAACAAAGAGAGATTTGGAATTCCACCTAGCTTGGAGAGAGTAAGCAGCACAAACCGGACATGCAAAATGAAAGATGGGTTTGGAGACAAAGTTAAGGATGACACCTAAATTGTGACAAACCAAACCCCCCACGTTTTGTAGATGCAGAGAAGAAGGAATCAGATTCTGCAATCTCTCTCTAACCTTCTTTCCTCTACCTGTAGGAAAAAGGCAGCAGCAGAATCATAATAATCGATCATCACCTCAACATATAAATCATCACGAATACCTCCAAACTAGACCTTTTCCAGGCCCCAACGCACACATCATAACAAAATCTTTTTCCAAAATGTCGGTTCTAGGCTACGTTCCTGTAAAGGCAAGTCCCTCCTCCTCTTCCCTAACCTCTTCTTTTGTGCTGAGTTCTGACTATATACATATATACAACGTGTGGTGATACATGTGTAATCATGTGCAGAGCTGTTGTATGGTGATGAGGCTGAACCTAGACTGCAACTCTTGTTGCAGGAAAACAAGGAGAATCATTCTCAGAATCAAAGGTATGTACGTGATGTTGGCTGGAAACCAGTTGATTTCACTAACTCGAATGATATAATAGGAAGGTCGTTATTAGGGTTAAAATACAAGATGAACATTGAGCACAGTTTACCGACATTCAGGGGTGGAGACGCATATGATAGACAAGCAGCAATGCACCGTGACGGTGTGCGGGAGATTCAGGGCATCGGATGTGGCGATTAAGCTGAGGAAGAAGATGAAGCGCAGGGTTGAAATCCTTCATATCGAGGAGGAGGAGGAGGAGGGCGACTTCGGCAGCGGCGGCCATCGACATGATCAGCCACCAGCTGATCATCAAAGCATTGATATAAGTCATTATGCTCCTCATCATCACCCAGCCTTCATTGCTGCCACTAATGGCGACTGATCCATATAGTACACAAAAAGCTCTATACACGGTACAAAATAGACCAAATCATATATGTAGCTAGCTAGCTAGCTAGCTAGAGAATATGTAACATAGTTTGGGAAGGTGATGAACAAATCAGGGCTGCATTTCTTTTACTCTATCTACTCCTTTCATAGCTTGTTTTCATGTTCCACTTGCAAATGACGGCCGACTTTGACTACCCTGATAAATGAGGGTGTAATGTAAAATCGTGAAATCCAGGCAATGCAATTAAAACAGTGAAATCCATGGTATTTATGATGTGGAAATGCATTGGGAAGATTGCATAACTAACAAAAACATGTTTTCAGGCCTACTTTCCCGGGCAATGGCAAATGGTAGAGTCACATTTACACTATGTTTGGCAACAAGGGGGTGCAAGTTCGAGGGGGTACAAGTTGAGGGGTAAATTGTTGGGGGGTGCAACTTGGTGGAGGGTGTAAGTGGAGGGGTAAATTGTTGTTTGGATGAAAAAGTAGGGGGGTGCAAATAGAGTAAAAAGTAAGTAATTATATTATTATAAAATAGATTTATCAATTTATAAAATATTATCACAAAATAATAACATGAAAATTCAATATATAATAATAAAAATAATAAATAAAAATAATTTTAATAAAAATAATTATTATATAATAATGCTCAAATATAATTATTTATAACAACAATAATAATCATTGGTCGAGCAACCTCGAAACTCGAAATCCAACTCGTAACTGGTCATCCTAAGGGGGTTCTCGTGCCTAACTTTAAATTGAATATGGTCAAACTTAGTCAAACACGTTCGAATCTGTAAGTTTTAACTACTTATTAAAGTAAATCGAGTTAACTAAACTGTTCCTCTCTATCTTTTCAACAAATGCTTCTTATCTCTAATTTTCAATGCAAATTCGGGTCAACTAAGAGATATCGATTTGACGAGGCGAACATTGACAAACTTGCTCTCTTAGTCAAACGGTCAAACCCAAACAACTTCTACACTAATATAGATATAAGAAAAAATTAATAATATTAATTATTATGTAATTATAATCTAATGAAAAATTCATAATTCCCCTCCTCCTCCTTCCCCCTCCCTTCCTTCCTTTCCTTGCACCCCAATTTGGGGGGTAAGCCGAAACAGTGAATTTACGCTCACGTTTTGCACCCCCCTACTGTTACAAAATAACCAAACGGGGGTAAACACCTTGGAACTTGTGTTTACCCCTCCAAACTTGCACCCCCTTCCATTTGCACCCCTTCCCAAACATAGTGTTAGAGTATCCACATGCAAAGGTTTGGTACGGTCCGGACAGAACCAAAGTCACCAGAACCATTGTCTGTTAGTGAAAACATCCTAGTACAAAGGATTGGACTATTATTGCATTCTGGTCTGGTTTGGTTTGGTTCAAATATCAACTCGATCCATCGTTTCTCCAATAATTATAAAATTCATGAGAACTAAGGACTGAACCGCATTATACTCGGTCATGTGCATCCGGTACGGACCGGACCATTGTAACCCCTATCCACATCAACCTACCATATTGAATTACAAAGTTATGTGGTCATGTAAATGCAATTGTATTTTTAATTGCACTGATGGAAGTGCCAATTGCAATTGATGGAAGTGGGAATGGAAATATTTTGTGGCCAATCAAATATTAGCCATTTTTTTATTTCGTTATAATTTTGTAACTCATTTCTTAGTTAAATTACTAAAGTTTTGAAATATTAACCTATATATGTCTCTTCCAAGTCAGTATCAAGTTGTTAAGTCAATTTACTAACAAAGCTTCTAACTTAAAGTTAACATTTATCTATACTTTGTATTTTAAAAGGCATGGCTAATATTTAAAAATGCAAGTTTTTTTGTACTAATAATTAGTATTTTATTTTCTCTTAAGAAAACCCCTTATACCGATTCGGAAATAGTTGAAAAGATCCTAAAGAGCCGTGTAGATCCATCCATTCATTTCAGGTGTGGGGGAAGCCTATGATTCCTAGTCATAGTGTTTTGCTTAGGTTGACAGTCATGGATAGAATCACTACCAAAGAAAAAAAAAATGTTAACATGGTAAATAGTTGATGAAACTTGCTGCCCCTTATGTCCAGGAGGGTTGATTCCATGGGCCAAGATCAGGTGACTAAGGGGTCTCCTTAGTCACATGGCTAAGTGAATCTCAGCCACTCAACCTCATTAAAATTCAAGGGCTTTAATTGATCTCATTTAATGAAGGGTAATAAAGTAATTACATGATTTAATTATTTACCAATTAAATAATAAAAATAGGCGGACCTGCACCCGTCGACGTCATCTTCCCGACGCAACTACCGACACTTTGCGGGACTTTATTCTCCTGCGGCGGCACCAGTGGACCTGCACCCGTCGACGTCATCTTCCCGCCGCGACGCAACTACCGGCACTTTGAGATTGGGCATCGCGTAGAGGAGGCGAGTCTGGCCGGAGGGTGACGAGGAAGGGGAAGAGGAGGAGGAAGGATAAGAGGGAGAGCGGGGCGGCGGCGGTTGCTCGACGTCGAAGGCGGCGGCGGTTGCTCGACGTCGAAGGCGGCGGCGGTTGCTCGACGTCGAAGGCGGCGACCGGAGGAGGAGCAGCAGCAGGAGCTTTGGAGCTGATCGACGGCAGGCGCTGCATGACGTAGTAGAGAATCGGGAAGGATTTGGGATTGGGATCCATGGCGAATTTAATTGGGCGATCAAACAGAGGCGGGATTGAAGTTGATTGATGAGTGGGGAGAGTGAAGATTGGGAGAAATGGGAATTGGGAAGTATTTTATAGAAGCTACAGCGGGATTGCCCAATTGAGCGGCGATAATGACAAAGTGAAGGAGAGAGAGAGGGAGAGAGAGGATTTTCCGGCGACCAGCGACATCGGAGAAGGATTTCTCGGCGACAGTGTGGGTCTTATGATGTTTGTTGACATATTTTGTAATGTTTGTAAGTAAGGTTTGTAATGTATGTATCGATTCGGTTTGTATTGTTTATTATTCTTGTTTGTCATTTTTAGTGACATTTTGTGTAACACCCTAACCCGACCGGGTACTAATTTTACCAAAATGCCCTTGATGACTCATAAACCAAAATAAGAAACGAAAGACTTGTAAAAAAAATGGAAGCTTTCCATAAATAACCATAACAAATACTGAAATGAACTGAAATCTCTTAAAACAAAGCCCTAACACTTGGGCAAACATCAACCATAGAATCTTAATTTGAATCTCCAGTCACTACTCATAATCGTAAATCAATAACTAAAACTCTACTTTGTTGTCTGCTCGGATTCGATCTCTGGCACCTCCAGTGACGCTTGTACTATCCTCCTCTAGCTGGCTTGCCTCGAACAACTTTCTCGATCTCGCTGCTCACTAACTGCTCCTCTAGCTGCAACAATCGATCTAGTTCTCGCTTATTCCTTTACTAAGTCTTGGTGAGTGAGATGTGGTCAGTCTACGCCCTTACGTTTTAATAATTCTAATACTTGAGTACTTTACTTAAACACTTAACTTTGACTAGTGGAAGTTGTTTGTACTTCCAATCTTAAAATCTTAACTCTTAAACTTTGAGGGAGTTGAAGTTACTCTCCTCTCTTAAAGCTCAAATCTTGACTTAAATACTTGACTGACACGGGGATCCCTCACTAGCTAGTCCGGTTGCCAACTCATACGTATGAGAAGCCATCCAGGCTTTCCTAAAACTTAAACTTAGTTAGGGGAGTCGTAACGATTCATCCCCCTAACATCTTAAACTTATCGTGGTAGCTCTTCACCACGATTCTCAAGAGCATAACTGCTGCTCATCTTAAAAGTCTCAAGAGCATAACTGCTGCTCTATCTCAAAATCTCAAATGGCAACGGACTGGCGCTAGTGACTAAAACTCTTAAAACAGTTTCACCTTCTTGAAGGTGAGTTACTTCTTAAAAAGAACTTGTTTCTTAAACTTTAACAATAACTTATACTCATAAAATTTCAAGGTAAATAATAACCATTCACTTCAAGTCATAAGTCAAACTAGGCACATATCATCAACCATAATCATGCAATCTCAAACATGAATCAAATACTGCACACGTAAATCAATACTCGAAAATACTCAAGGCAAATACTTGAAAACCGTAAGCGTAGAATTTGCCCCCTTTGCACTCACCTTGCAAGTTAAATTGGTGGAATTAGAAGAATTGCCTTCACAAACCCGCTCTTGTTATAAACACTGCGATGTCCCCAGTTTGACCAATCAATGCTCCTCGTAGAAAATCGTACAAAGCACCATCCAATTTACCACGTGCAAGAGACTGGGCCATTTAAATCCGTGTAATTGTCGAATCATCACCAGTCGATTTAACTACTGGACGCAGGCTGCAAGTGGTGCTACGTGAATGATTTCTCCTTCGATCCTACAAGATGCCCCAATGTGATCATGAATGATGTGAATGACAACGAGCTTCGGGGGAATCTTTTTGGTACGATCGGTGGGGCGAGTGGGGGAGCTGCTTGCTTCTTCACTCTACTGTGGGAATAATCACGAGGGAAGGCTGCGCTGGGGAATGATCCGATCGCTGGAGGGTTTCTTTTCTTCGAATTGGCGGCGTTGCTCGGTGAGCTGCTAGGGCTCCCCACGGTTGCTGCTGCGGTTGCTTTCCTCACCGGCCAAGGGTTTCGGGAGGAAGGTGTCAGCTGGGGGAATAATCAGGGGCCGAGCGGTTCCTTCCCTTTAATATATATATTTTTTTTAATAATAATAATAATATAGTAGTTATTATTATTATTATTATTATTCATAATTCGCGGTTGCAACCCTTCGTACGTAACCGTTAACCCAACTGTTCCCGTATTTTGGTCGAACCTGAACCCAAAGTCGGGGTGTTACATTTCCTCCGCCCTTATAAAAATTTCGTCCCCAAAATTTGTTTGAATCTCATTCCTCTGTCAACATCATTCTTGTACTTCCTTGCCTTAAATTTTTTATTCTCGCTATATGAACCTTGATGATGTCCGTTGCTTGTCCCGTATAGTTTACCTCACCTCAAGTTATTTCCTCTTGACCATAAAAGGTATTCTCAACAAGCTCATTAGCATCGAGTAGCTTTGAGTGGCTACTTGTCCCTTTTTAATTCCCCCATCTGGTGATGGAACAAAATTATCGATTCACTTTGTTGATCCAGCTCATTCAGCACTCGTTGTTGGCCCCTAAATCAGAGTCGAGTATCACATTTCCTCCCCACTTATAGAAAATTTTCCCTCGAAATTTTTCGCTGTGATTACCCCAAGTCTTGCTTGTTGTAATCCTTCTTACTACGAGGATTTGTAACTCCTAAATTTGCATCTTTTTTTTTTTTCTTGTCTTACCCTTTAACCATACATTGAATGGTCATCTCCTCGTTACTTGTTGCTTAGCGCCAAAACCTCATACTACTGCTTTTACCTTCTGTAGGCATTAGAGACATCCTTTGCATTTCTCTCTAGCTTGCGATCAACCTTATGAATCATTTCAAGAATCATGATATTCCCAATGGCTTACTTGCTCACTCCCGGCGCCTAACTTAGCACTTCCTTATAGTTGCTTGAATTTGATGTTCTCGTAATATCCATTCTGCCACTCTTAGACCCTAGCTGAAACTCCTCGTACGGTTTCCCCGTCCAATAAGGTTTTACCCGAGAGATTGACACCTTTCACCAATATAGGCGATCTTGGTTTCACTTTGGGGTATCCTAGCAGGTTCCCTAAACTCATATCCCTCTTACTTCTTTACTCATGACTCTTCTTCTTGATGTTCCTTGCTAGTTCTAGATGTCCCTTGTTCTCGATGTAGTCTCTAGGTCCCTATTTTCTCTTCTCACTCATGTACCATGATAGATAAGGTTCTCCCTTCGATTATTCCTGACGATCATGATTCCGCCTTAAAAATTGACTGAAATATCTTTATGGACTTCCTATGGATCGGTTGTTCTCTACTTGGTGGTCAACCTAATGCTTTCTTGTTGTCTGTTGTACTCCTGCTTCCGCCCGTCTTACTATCTTCCTCGATGCATACATCGCCAGGTTGATGCCAACCATTTTTTTTCTATAACTTCCCAATTCCCATGGCGTTCTTCTTGCTTCTTTACTTTTACTACCACCAAACTACAACTCTTCTGTTGTTGTTTGTACTATATTTGGTCATCAACCTCTGTTGAGTATCTTCTCGTTGGTGTTTTAGGTCACAACTTCCAATGGTGGCTTGCGCTTGGTAACCTTTAACATAACTCATTCCATGTCTCTTTTGTTGATCGATCTTGTACATAAACTTAGTCTCTTAGTTAGGATTCTTAGTGGCTTAACTAATTGTGTCTGTTTCATCCTTAACTAGTTGTCTCATCTGGAGCCCTCCTACCATGCCATAACTTCTCTTTTTTCCTCCTTCTCGGTAATGCTTTCCCTCATCGTACCTCTTTGTGCAGCTTCTTGACCTCGAGTCACCTGAGACTTGACCCATTTACTTCTTGAAATCTCGTCAAACTCCCTCTGGCTTTTTTGCTCTTCCTTGGTATTGTTCGCAAACTCTCTTCATTACGACCATTTAGACTCTTCCTCAAATTCTCCACTTTCATTAGAACCCCTAATGAACGCTGTACTTGCTTGTCTATACCCGGTTGATTGAATGATTTACTCCTATGGCTGGTTCCGAGACTCCTGCTCTTGGCCCTCTAGTTCCCACTTTGGACTTTCCCAATGGATTCCTTGAAATTCCACGATTTTCCGATTCTCCTTGATCATGGTAATTTGCAGGGTCTCTCAACCCCTTCTCATACCTTGTCCTCTAGCTTGCGGTTGGCAGGTGTATAGCATGCCTGATCTAACCTCAACCTCTACATCATTTATCTCGTTGCTTGTCTTGTTCCTTTTAAAGGCTTGCTATCAGCCTAACTCCCCAGGGTCATGTACCCTCTTCTCTAGTGAGGTAGTTTATCTATAAGGGTTCCTTTATCATCATATGGAAATGACCATGCCTCCTCTCCTCCTTGACCTGTAGACTTCTTGACATCCTTTCATACTCCCTGTAACTTACTTATTACCTCATTTGCTTCATTTATACTACCTTAGCTTTTTCTTGAAGCCTAAGCTTCCCACTACTCCTTGTCACTGTGTTGTAATAGCATCGAGCCATCAACGACTAAAATCAGTTGGGGGACTTCTCGTGGTACCTCTTTGTTTCTTGACTCTTTGCTTTCTTGCCACAGCTTAGGGTCAAGGACCTTGAAATCCTCACATCATTATAGCCTTTGACATCTAGTGACTGTAGCTCTTCCTTCGAAGATTCATAGTTCTCCTATTTGTATATCTTAACCTATTAGATCGTTTTCCAGTGGCTAAGTAGAAAATCCTCATAGTGCACCTTCAACTCCTTCTATTCCTCGTACTTATCCCTCAGGATAACCCTTTGTGATTGACGCACCTTTTTATTAGGAGTAAAGTTATCTATCTTAATACGATTAGAGTAGACTGGAGATTCTATAGACTCTTAAAAGAAGATCCTTGACTCATTTTCCTTTCCTTTAAAACAAAACCTTTAAAAATTGAGACCGACATTCCAGTATTCCTTGGAAACCAAGGAACAGAGGAAAACCAGGCTCTGATACCAAAATGTAACACCCTAACCCGGCCGGGTACTAATATTACCAAAATTCCCTTGATGACTCATAAACCAAAATAAGAAACGAAAGACTTGTAAAAAAAATGGAAGCTTTCCATAAATAACCATAACAAATACTGAAGTAAACTGAAATCTCTTAAAACAAATCCCAACACTTTGGCAAACCTCAACCATAGAATCTTAATTTGAATCTCCAGTCACTACTCATAATCGTAAATCAATAATTAAAACTCTACTTTGTTGTCTGCTCGGATTCGATCTCTGGCACCTCCAGTGACGCTTGTACTATCCTCCTATAGCTGGCTTGCCTCGAACAACTTTCTCGATCTCGCTGCTCACTAACTGCTCCTCTAGCTGCAACTATCGATCTAGTTCTCGCTTATTCCTTTACTAAGTCCTAGTGAGTGAGATGGGGTCAGTCTACGCCCTTACGTTTTAATAATTCTAATACTTGAGTACTTTACTTAAACACTTAACTTTGACTAGTGGAAGTTGTTTGTACTTCCAATCTTAAAATCTTAACTCTTAAACTTTGAGGGAGTTGAAGTTACTCTCCTCTCTTAAAGCTCAAATCTTGACTTAAATACTTGACTGACACGTGGATCCCTCACTAGCTAGTCCGGTTGCCAACTCATACATATGAGAAGCCATCCAGGCTTTCCTAAAACTTAAACTTAGTTAGGGGAGTCGTAACGATTCATCCCCCTAACATCTTAAACTTATCGTGGTGGCTCTTCACCACGATTCTCAAGAGCATAACTGCTGCTCATCTTAAAAGTCTCAAGAGCATAACTGCTGCTCTATCTCAAAATCTCAAATGGCAACGGACTGGCGCTAGTGACTAAAACTCTTAAAACAGTTTCACCTTCTTGAAGGTGAGTTACTTCTTAAAAAGAACTTGTTTCTTAAACTTTAACAATAACTTATACTCATAAAATTTCAAGGTAAATAATAACCATTCACTTCAAGTCATAAGTCAAACTAGACACATATCATCAACCATAATCATGCAATCTCAAACATGAATCAAATACTGCACACGTAAATCAATACTCGAAAATACTCAAGGCAAATACTTGAAAACCGTAAGGCGTAGAATTTACCCCCTTTGCACTCACCTTGCAAGTTAAATTGGTGGAATTAGACGAATTGCCTTCACAAACCCGCTCTTGTTATAAACACTACGATGTCCCCAGTTTGACCAATCAATGCTCCTCGTAGAAAATCGTACAAAGCATCATCCAATTTACCACGCGCAAGAGACTGGGCCATTTAAATCCGTGTAATTGTCGAATCATCACCAGTCGATTTAACTACTTGACGCAGCCTGCAAGCGGTGCTACGTGAATGATTTCTCCTTCGATCCTACAAGATGCCCCAATGTGATCGTGAATGATGCGGATGACAACGAGCTTGGGGGAATCTTTTTGGTGCGAACGGTGGGGCGACTGGGGGAGCTGCTTGCTTCTTCACTCTACTGCGGAAATAATCACGAGGGAAGGTTGCGCTGGGGAATGATCCGATCGCTGGAGGGTTTCTTTTCTTCCAATTGGCGGCGTTGCTCGGTGTAAGCTGCTAGGGATCCCCACGGTTGCTGCTGCGGTTTCTTTCCTCACCGGCCAAGGGTTTCGGGAGGAAGGTTTCGGCTGGGGGAATAATCAGGGGCCGAGCGGTTCCTTCCCTTTAATATATATATATATATATATATTTAATAATAATAATAATATAACTATATTATTATTATTCATAATTCGCGGTTGCAACCCTTCGTACGTAACGGTTAACACAACCGTTCCCGTATTTTGGTCGAACCTGAACCCAAAGTCGGGGTGTTACATTTTGTACGTTTAGTGTGCTTCGTACTTTTTGTCGGTTTATGTTGTAATGTTTGTACGCTTTGTTATTTTGTAATGTTTGTCGCTTTCATTTGTAATGTTTGTAAGCTTTGTTATTTTTGTCAACCATGTTTGTAAGGTTTTTTATGTCTAAAAAACAACCTGGCTGACTTTTTGATAGAACTCCTCTCTATAGGGATGGAGCCTCCAAAGTTAACCCGGGTTTTTTTCAGTTTGTATGGATTGTCGGTCTAGTTTGTCATTTTTGTCCACCATATTCGTAATGTTTGTATCTCTAAAAAACAACCGGGTTGACTTTGAGACAGAGCCCTCTATATAGGGATGAAGCCTCCAAAGTCAACCCAGGTGTTTTTCCAGTTTGAATGAATTTTTGGTCTAGTTTGTCATTTTTGTCCACCATGTTTGTATGTCTAAAAAACACCCGGGTTGACTTTGGGAAGGAGCCCCTCTAGACAGGGATGGAGCCTCCAAAGTCAACCTGGTTGTTTTTTCTTTTTGTATGGTTTGTATTGTTTGTCGGTTTAGTTTGTATTTTTTGTACAGTTCATATGTTTGTAAATCTGTTTGTATGTTTTGTCGCTCTAATTTGTACTGTTCGTATGGTTGTACTGATTGTAAGTCCGGTTTGTATATTTCGTAATTTTCCATAATACCCAAACTACCCCTGTCATTAATTAAATAGTCATTTCCACTTTTTAATCATCAGATTGCTATATCCAGATCTAAGGGCTGGGAGGGGTTTTGTCAAGTGACTAAGCACCCCCTTAGTCACTGGATCCGGAGTAGATTCCAGGAATCACCTCTTTGATGATTGTCCTTATTCGTCCTATGTTTGGAATGCAGTGTTACAATTGTTTTGCAGACGTCCTCTATTTTCCCAACCGGGAGATGCATCTGAATTGAAGTATCCAGACTTGGTGTGGCTCGAGTGACAGTCAGAATTGGAGGATTGATTTGGTCCATAGCTTTGAGCTTCATTTGGCGAGAGCGGTGTGCTCGTTTGTATGGAAATGTATGCAGATCTCCTGAGCAGATTGTCTCTCACATACAGATTGAATGTAGGTTGTTAGCTGAAGGAAATTTGGATGTTGGAGGGCGACTGAGAGGGCTAGGATTTTTTTTTTTTTTTTTTTTAAGTAAGAGGGGTAGGAATAGGATTACCGTCATAGTTATAGTGGGTTGTTGATATTATATTCTCATGGTTGCTTGATGAAAAGAACTATGTGAGGAGTTTAATGCGACTTGCATACCCGTACTTGATGCCAATTTTGATAAACAATGGAAAAAAAAAAAAAATAGTTGAAACGGAAACGCAGTTGGTACGGCCCAATAGTAGTCGGGTCAAGGTTGTCAACCTGCGGGTCGATCTACTTTGATCTTGACCTAATAAGAAAAATGGCTCGCACATATTTGTCGTGTCGACTGCTAAAAGTATCGGGTTGTAAGTCAAATTGAGTCATTTTTTTCATTTGGTTTGCAAAATGCGCCTATTTTTCGATTTTTCTTTTCGCCTAACACAATATTTGGAATTCTTAGTGAACATTTGAATATTGATGTTATATAAGTATGTGTGAATTTTTACTGTATGTTGGATCTAAGTACGACATATTACTTTAATTTGGTGTAATGTTATATGTTATTACTCACATGTTAGATGAGATTTGATATAATTTATCAGAGTAAATACAATATAATGACTCTTTCTATAATTCTCGGCTAAAACGAGCTAAAATGAGTGATCAGTTAACCCTTGACACTTCCGTTTATCCAATTCCTTTGGCAGTAAATACGAGTAACTATCGATGGCAATCATGTAAACTGAACAGCGCAATGCCGAAATCCAATACCAAAGCAAATCTTTCTTTCTGCCTCACCGGCTAATTCTCAGCGATGCTGTTCTTCCTCTGATTACGAGCACCATTGCCAAATTACGTTCGTCGATTCGTCGAATTGAAATTTCTCACCGGCTTTTGTTCCACACAGATCTTTCTCCAATTGCCTCGATTAAAACCCCCTTTCCATTAAAACCCTTAACCCTAACCCTAGAATTCTATCCCCCTTTCCGTCAATGGCGACTGACAGCGATGTCTCCCGCCGGAAGCACCGTCGATCGCCCTCCGATGACGAGTTGGAGAAGTCCTCCAAGAGACACCGCCACCACCACCGCCGCCACCACCACCACCGCCACCATCGTAGCAAGAAGCACGACGAGGAAGCCAAATTGAGCGGCGGGGATGACGCTCCTCCTCCTGCTCCTTCTCCCTCGATCCCTACTGCCCCAGATTGCAAATTGGCCGATGATGACGTGGAGGAAGGAGAGATTCTCGACGAGGAAGCGTCTGCTGCTGGCGTTGTTAAGGGCGTGGAATCAGGCAAGGACATTGATGATTCTGAGAATCTGGTGTGTTCCGTCCCTCTTCTGTAATGTGTTTTGTTTTAACTCAACATATTCATCCAGGTTTTTTCCTTCCACCAATTGTAGGAGGAGAGTCTGGTTCTCTTTAATATGTTAAATTTCGATAGGAGAGAGTTTGTGATTGGCACAGTGTTTTTCGAAGTTCTTTCTTCCCCCAAGTTTTGTTCTTTTTACAAAGGAAGGTTGTCTGATTCCAGAATTTCAACCATTGGTTCTTTTATTTACTTTGCATTCATGTTAGAGTTAATTTTCACTTAATATTAGAATAGTTTCCTGGTGGCGCCTAATAAGTTGTTTTGTTGGTGAGAGCTTGTTATAGTGTCCTTAACATGCGTGTAAGAACCCGCTTGCGCATCTCATGCGCATTTGTTGACTTGCCAAAAGAAAGAAGTATCTTCTAGGCGTTTCAATGGAGAACTGGTGACGTTATGTTGATTTGTAAGAGCTGGTTTTGCAATATATTTGTGCTACTTCGGCCATTTGGAATGTATCTTTCTGTTAATAACCATTGACATTTCATTTTAGGGACATAATCTTGATGACAAGGATGAGGGGTTCATAGCCAATTCTCTAGTTGGTAATAAACATGACAAGTGTGCTGGTCTGAGTAGAAATACTAAGCCTGGTGATCAAGATAAGTGTGCTTCTGAGCTTGGTGCCGAATCCAAGGTTAATGGAAGTTCAAGCTATTCTTATCATGATGATGAGAAGATTTTCAAAACAGCGTCCCAGTCTCCATCCCAGCCAGGTCTCAAGCAAACGATTAACCATGATACTAATGATGGTGGGGAGGGCCAGTCAAACAATGTTAAAAGTAATTTTCCAGATAGCAGGGGGGATGAGTACAGAGAGGATGCTCGGTTAGAATCTAGGGACAAGTATCATGATGAGATTCATGCTAAGAGGGGATCCATGCCACCCGATCATCGTAGAGGAAGATCTCATTCCAACAGTGGGGTAGAAGATGAAGAGCGCTGGAAAAGAAGGCGACATCATGAAAAAATGGAAAGGGATTCTGATGATGAAAGAACAAGCAGAGGTAGTAGAGAATATGGCCGGGATAGGGACAGAGAATCTAGTGTTAGTCACACTAGATACCCAGGGCGGAATGACAGACATCATGGCCATGATGCGTATGACATAGACAGGAGTAGAGAGAGAGATACGCATAGAGAAAGGAGAAGGGAGAAGGACAGAGAAAAAAGCAGGGATAGAGAGATTTATGTGGATAGAAGGAAGATGCAGGAACGTGAGAGGAGCCAGGATAGGGAGGCTGATAGAGATAGGCAAAGGGAGAAGGGTAGAGAAAGAAGCAGGGACCGAGAGATGTACATGGATCGAAGGAGGATGCAGGAAAGAGAGAGGGATGGTGTCACATACAGGAGGACGGAGAAAAGGCATGGAAGTAGGGATTTGGATATGGAACGAGATCAAAGGAGGGACATAGAATTGGATTTAGGGAATAGAAGAGGGAGGGAGCACGAGAAAGCTAGGGATAGAGAGGAGGAGCATGATCAGAGGAAGCAGAGGGCAAGGGACAGAGGCTCAGAAAAACTTATGGAGCAAGACAGAGGCAATGATAAGGATGGGGATAAGTACAGTGACAAAAGGAGAACTAGGGAATATGATAGGGGCCGAGACATGGAGCAGGGGTGGCAGAATGGTGGAAATAGAGGAAAGGATAGGGGTGTGAAGAGTGATTCTACTTGTTTCCAGAGTGCTAACAGTGATGATTTTGAACATGGCAGTGAGAAATCAACAAGGTATCCTATATGCATGCATTTGTTTCCTTTTTCTAAGTTTTCTTTGTTTGACAATATATTTATGCAATGTCATGTGAAATCGGTTTTGTTTGTCTGGTGGTAATAGGGATGAAGATGAACAGGATGATTTTGAAGAGAGGATGACATTAATACTTGCTGAGCAAGAGGAGGAGGATTTGAATAAAATTAAGGAGGAGAGTAGAAAACGGAGGGAGGCCATCCTTGAGAAGTATCGAAATCAGCAGTTGCATCAGCAGGCTGAGGCAAATTTGCCGGATGCGAAGAAAGGTATCGCATGCTTTCTTCACTGGAAGCCAATGTAGAATTCGTTTTGACTTTCCTTCTTGAACTATTGAACTGAGAATTCTTGTCAAGCTCTTGTTACGACTGTTGTAGCTTGTAAGCTGAGCATGCTTGATTGTGTTGCATCACCAATATGCTAATGGAGTAGCAGGTTGAGTTTGTTACTTGAAAACGAGTAAGCATGCTTTGTGGTGCTAAACTACGTGTTAGTTTTTGCCTACAAGACTTGTGTCCGCGCACTCACTTGAACTTGATTTCTAGATGTACCTTTGTTTTCCCCCCATCAGAATGTTTAGCTTACTGAGGGTGATATTCTTCATCTATGTATTTATGTTGGAGGTACTGCTATTTGTTGCCTTGTAATTTTTTATTTTCCTCCATGCTCTGCAGCATGGGAGTCCGGGGAGCAGCCTGGTGAATCTTTACCATCCAGTGGCATAGCTACGGAGACTGCGAATGGTAAGAGAGATGGAGATGCGAATGTTGCAGAGCTTGCAGCATCTGTTGTTAAGTCACCACTTCAAAAAGGGGTCCTGGTTTCTGATGGTACTTCCTCTCCTCGTGGGCTTGGAGAGGGCACTCCAAAGGTGCTGATTCTGGCATTTATAATCTTGTAATTCTGTATGGCAGCTCATTACCTGTATTTGTGCCCCCCTAGATCAGTTTGAGAATAGGAATTTTCACTGTATTGTCACATTGTGCAATATAACACAAAGATTGCTTTATATACCTGATTTATCATAGTCATCAATTTGGTGCAGAGTGAGAGATCAGAGGAAAGGTACTGCGATGATATATTTGGAGAAACCCCTACTGCTGTTCGCAAAGCGGTGAGGTTCCAACATTTCTACTCTTGTAAATATAACTGATAACTCATTACCTGGAGTGCTTCTCTGGATCAGTTTGAGACACAGGAATTGATTCTGGAAACTTCTATATACTTCTCCCTAACCAAAGTTTTTTATTTTATTTTAAGATTCGTGTAAACTCTTGTGCTGAGGGTCTTCATCTGGCAATGTTTTGCAGGGCAAGGTGAACGGTTTGCCTGTGATGCGGAGTGCTCTACATGACAATTGGGATGATGCCGAGGGCTATTATAGTGAGTACTTCCCTTAATAATTATGCTGTCTTTTCAAGCCTACCAAATTCAAGGACTATTTGGTTTTCTTCAATTGATTTGCTGGGTAGTTAGAATTTACCACAAGATTTTGCTTCATTTTACACCTTAGCTCAATTGTGTGTGTTTTATTTTATCCTTTGAAGATATCTGAACTATTCTTTCTCCTTTACATTCCTGAAAATGACTTTCTTTCTGTTTCTATTCTCTCTGAAGATGGATCCAAGGGTTTGGATTGTTGATTTGAGCTTGGTAGACATTGCATTCAGTAGATAGGCCTTTATTGAAGTATTCCAAGTGTCCCAATGAACTGTCAGGAATGTACTGTTTGTCGTGTAGAGCTTTCTTTGTCGGACAGGAACCCCAATTTGCTAGTTGTTTCTTTGATGAATATGCAGAAGGGGAGAAACACTAGAGCTGTTTTTCCAAAGTTATGCAAGGACCTTTTTTCTGAAGATGGTTTTTCATTGGTGGGAATTGGTTTGGTGGTGGCTTCTCATGACACGTGTTTGATGCAGGCCATCGTTTTGGTGAGGTTCTTGATGGACGCTATGAAATTATTGCTGCTCATGGAAAAGGAGTATTTTCTACTGTAGTCCGTGCAAATGATCTGAAGGCCGGAAGTGATGAACAGGAAGAGGTGGCCATAAAAATTATACGAAACAATGAAACAATGTAAGTTAGTTTCTAGAGATAGACGTAAAATTTATTTGTAAACAATATTTGCTCTTTGTTTTGCTAACTTGTATGTCTTGTCCTTTCATGCAGGAACAAGGCTGGTCAGGTTGAAGTTTCAATTTTAAACAAATTAGCTGGTGCAGATTTGGAGAATAGGCGCCACTGTGTTAGGTTCCTTTCTCATTTCAAGTACAGAAATCATACTTGTTTGGTTTTTGAGTCTCTTCATATGAATCTTCGCGAGGTCCTAAAGAAGTTTGGTCGCAATATTGGGCTTAAACTAACAGCTGTAAGGGCGTACGCGAAACAGCTTTTCATTGCGTTGAAGCATTTAAGAAACTGTGGTGTTCTTCATTGTGATATAAAGCCAGACAATATGCTGGTATGTTCAGTTTGTTCCTGGTCCGACTCTCCTAGAATCTGCTGTCCATTCTAGCTATTTACTATATTTTCCATACCATTCTGCAGGTGAATGAGGCAAAAAATGTGCTGAAGCTTTGTGACTTCGGCAATGCCATGTTTTCTGGAAAAAATGAAATTACCCCATACCTTGTCAGCCGTTTTTATCGTGCTCCTGAAATCAGTAAGCTATCTTTGTGTGCATGTTTGGCTGCATCTTGTGCATGAATAGGCTCTGCTTTGCATGTACTATAAATTGTGTTTTACGTTTTGGGTGTCTCAGTTTCTATCGTTCATTTTGCAGTTCTCGGTTTGTCATATGATCACCCTATGGATATTTGGTCCGTTGGTTGCTGTCTATATGAGCTTTATACTGGAAAAGTTCTTTTTCCTGGTCAAACTAATAACGATATGTTGCGACTGCATATGGAACTGAAGGGCCCTTTTCCCAAGAAGATGCTTAAGAAGGTGGGATTTTTGGTATAAGTAGACATGGACTCTTGTTATTCTTACTTGTGCTTCTATGTGGACCTCCTTAGTGAGAGTGCTTTAGTTAGTGGTGTATGATTCCTTGCTTTCCTGGTATGAGTTGCTCCAGTAGGTTGTCTTTGAGCTGCTTCCCTTAACTGTAAACGATGTTCATGCATTTAGACGATCTTGCAGGGTGCATTTGTCGATCAACATTTCGACCAGGATTTGAATTTTCATGCTACAGAACAAGATCCTGTGAGTAACAAGGTATGCTGGAATGGCTTTTTTCTAAATTAAGTTGGTTGCTGTCGTCTCTGTTGTTTTTGAGCTTGCTGAGATTTTGAGCTACTATTTCCAGATAATGAAGAGGATGATTGTGAATGTAAAGCCTAAGGATATTGGGTCAATTGTTAAAGGCTCTCCTGGTGAGGATCCAAAAATGTTGGCCAACTTTAAAGACATTTTGGAAAAGATTTTTGTTTTGGATCCCGAGAAGAGGATGACAGTTTCTCAGGCATTAAACCATCCATTTATCACTGGCAAGTGAAACCATGTTGCTGCTTTTCTGACTCCAGAAATGCCGTTGCATTGATGTTTGTATATTGCCACCTATCCTAATTTCAGTGCTAATGATTTGGCATTATCTGTCTTTATCTTCTATGAGGGTATCTATGAGCTCTGGACGATATCTGGCTTTGCAAGTGGTGATGTTTGGTCAGAAGTACGCTTTGCTGGCGGTTCTTTCAAGGGAATGTACTGTTTCTATTGTAAGACAACTCGCCATAGGCGTTTGTTTTCTTTCACCTCTTGTAATCCTTATTGATTATGAACGTAGTGGGGACTTCTTCATAGCTCATCTTGACTCCTCTATTATAGTTATATTTGTATTTCGGGTGGCACAGCTGGATGTGCGGAAAGATATAATAAGAGGAGAAATGATCTGGATTGTCTGAGTTAGTAATCTAACGTATTTTGACAAGAGTCTTTGGCTGGTACAAATCCAAACAGTTGTTTTAGTCTTTTGAGTTGCTCTAGTACTTCTACTATACCAATAATATAAGTTCTTGATAGGCTGTGAAGTATTTCCATATTTTTTTTACTTCTCTTTGCTCTGTAGCTATTCCTAAGCAGATCTGTCATTTTTTATCATTAAATTATGATCCTTGAGTGGCTAATTCAATTTTTCGTTCAGGACATCTTCCTCTGCTTTGTGGCAAACTCCAGGGATTAGATGCATAGAGGAACCCGGGAGAAGGTATCTTAGATTATCTGCTATTGTAGTCTCAACATGGTTGAGATCCTTTAAATAAAATTGGCATTAGTATGTGTTATTTTATCCTTGCACTCGTAGGCTGCTGCTTGTGTCTGAATTTTTGCTGTTCTTTGTACGATGTTTGGTGGATTTAGTTTTTGTGCTCGGGGTTTCATTCCTCTGTATAGTCTTAGATTTTCTCAGTTTGCTTTCTTTGAAAGTAAGATTTTGGTGTGATTGTTGTTGCTCTTGTTGCCTTGTTGGTACCTTATCCTTTAACCTTGGATACCTGGGTTAGGATCTATGTTTTCTGTCAAGTTAAAGCAAGCAGTAAAAGATTTAGTTACTCGTTGTGTTGATCTTCTTTAGTTGTTTATCTGCTATTGTTATTGTTATGATGGACTTGCATACATCTGATTCATTGTCTTTTGGTAATTTGGAGGCACATGCTCGTAGATGGTCTGCTGCAGCCTGTGGACAATCACAGTAAGTTATCCATTTGTTACAGTTGGACTTCAATTCTCTATAGATATGCCTCACTAACTAATCTACTCGTTACTTTCCTTGTAGGGTGCTGTCTTTATCATCATGATTCTCTTGTAAGAATCTTAATTATTGTTCTTTCTTTGGTGAGTTCATTGTTTATGCTGTATATTTTATTATTACTTTGATCCTGATCTGCATTGCTAGTCATGGTGCATGAGTAACCCGTTAGGAGCCAGGTCTGGATTCTCGATTTGCCAAGTACTCCAGTTTAACTTGGTCTTTTTTTATGGAGGACTTGTTATATGTTACAGCTTTTGCTTTGACCTTGTGCGATTGGATGCATGCATGCTTTCATTTGTTTATATAATTCCTAACAAGTTACACGCATGACGCAACAATGGTTGAAGGTTGGTGACCCTCGTGTGGAGTGATTAACAGCACAGCCGAATTTCTAGTTTCTTCAATGCCTCTAGTTTATGATTTTAAGTTGTATATTTTGATATTTAGACCTAGCTGGTTAAAATATCAAAATAAGTTATTAGTATTTGGTATTTTGGAGGAAGTTAAGTATAAGCTAAGCGGTGACTGGTGTTTAGTTCGTACCTTAAAGCCCTATTTTGCCATTGTGTAATATTCAAAGTAGCTTACCCGTTATTTTAAGCTTATATTTTCTTAAGTTTTAGGGGCTTGAATATTTATGCTTTCGAGTCAGAGGATCAGCGGAGTCTATTTGTTGATTGGCTCTGCGATTGTTAGATGAGTCAAGAACACGTTCAAGTTTATATTTGCCCTATTTCACTTATTGTCTGTAGTGGCTTCAAACTGTAGTCCTTAAATGAGCTCAAGTGGATTGGATGTTTTGTCTTGGAGGTGGTTGATGAGCAGTGTCTGTAAGGTATGGAAGAAACCAGATCAGCAGGTTTTATTCTGTAGGGGCTTCAAACTTTAGTCCACTTGGTTTAATTGTCAGATGGGAAAAAAGGTAATAACTTATCTCACTTTAAGAACAGGATGTCTGTAGTCTTGATTTCTTGTGAGCGGTTTCGACTGAATCATGAGAAAGGCTGGACTTCTGATAGTGTTAAGACTGCCAAATGTAGGAAACAAGAGGTGTATTACTAGGGCAAAGAGGGGTGACTGTCACTACTCATTAGTGCGACAGGCTGTGTTTCATCCTTTGGTTCCACACCATTTGGGGAGATTAAACATCAGATTCATGGGAAACAGCACATAGGGTTTGTTATCAGGTAAGTATTAGAGATGACTGTGTGCTCAGTCTATTCATGCTCACCACAGTTTTTGCAATGGACCCTTGATTTAAGGTATAGGTTGGATTGACTGCTATATTATATCTATGTTTTAAGCTCGGATGAGCTTCTGTTTGGTCAAAATATTTATGTGTGAGTGTGGTTGCTTCAGTCTTCCGAGAGACTTAATGTATGGACATGATGGTACATTGGTTCGTGGTGCATGTAATTATTCCCCCTTTGTTTTGATCTTGATTTCGTGTAATTGTGTATCTTTGTTTTAGGATATTAATAAAAGCTGATATTTTTAGCATTTTCTTCCACCCTTCTCATACCTGCAAATTGGCATGGCATCTCATGTTGCTTTCCTTAGCCTTCATGTCTACGATTTTCATCTGCTTGTATGCTAGGACTGTATGCCTTTAAAAATTACAGCTGCCCCACAGGACTTCTAAAGTCTCCCATATGTTTTCTTCAGCCTGGCAACTAACTAGTCTATGTTTGTGCAATTGTGCCCTGCTTTGCTTAATGAAAGATACGAGTTGGGTGCCTAACTTAGACTACCTGATGTGCCTTTCAATAGTCTATTTGATATTGTCGATGTACCAAATTGGCGTGGTCTTGTTGCATTTTTGTGCCATTAGGTCTCTGGTGGGTGTCTGTGCTTTTTGTGTTGTGGTGTTATCATGGTGTAAGCAATTGAAAGAGTAAAATGTCTGCGCAAAGTGGAAAATGGGTTATTGACCTCAAAGAACAAGAAAAAATGTGGGAGGAAGTGGTGGTTGAACATTTTGTGTTCAGTAGCCATGCTATATAGAATAGGATGGATCAAGGTGTTTCTGATGCTTCTCCACTGTGAAGTATTCCTACCAAACCCTGTACTTTAACTTTAGGTGGTATGACGTCTGATGTTTGAAAGGTTATGTTATATCACTCTTGTTTAGGTTTTCTATCAGGAAGGTTTGTAGGAGGTTGGGTGGCTTGGTTTCTTGTTCAGCATCAAGTATCGAATTCGTGCATGTAGGGCTGAATAATTGATCTCTCTCTACGAAATTTTGATAGAGAGAGGGAGAGACGAAAGGAAAATGAAAATGAAATGGAGGCTGGCTTATCAAATTGCGAGGAATACTGCGTACTCTTTTCTGGATTATTACCGTTGAAAATATAAATTAAACTTATTCCATACGCAAAATGGCACGAAATTTGGTGGCGGGTGCATGGTGTGGACTTTTGACAACTTTGGGGCCATGAAAGAAGAAGTTAGGCATTAGACATAGTGAGCGACTTTTTTTTTTTTTTGTTAAGTCATTATTACGTTCATTCAATTACATATTCAAAACAATATCCCAACACGAGTCTCAGGAGGGAATATCCGATAAGTGGGTTCAAATTGAAGTATTAAAATGATTAAAAAAAAATAAGAAACACTAAGAAAAAATATATATATATCCTAGCTAAGGTCACCATCCACATTGATCGACAGTCACCATGAACCGTCGATGGTTGTTGTATGTTTTTTTTTTTACAAAAAGATAATCATATATTGATTGAAGATAGACACAGTTACATCCTGGAGAACAGTCAGGTCTGGAAATTAAAAGCGCGACACGTAGACGAGTACAAAGAAAGGGTCTTTCTAGCCACCGCATGGGCTACCCTATTGTTCCTCCGTCCTACAAATCGCAAATTAAACCCCGGTTGATTTCCCATACATTGGCAGATTTCATCCAAGATCATCCCAATCCTACTATCTCTAATCTCCGCTTGATTAATTTTATCGATGATGACCTTGGCATCGCCTTCAAAACGCACCTCCTGGAATCCATTAGCCACACACCATAAGAGAGCTTCCCGGAGGACGAGCGCCTCCATCACTAAAGGATCATCAACAACCCGGTACTAAACTCATTGCACCCAGATGACCACCCTATGAGGGTTAAGAAGCACCATTCCGCCCGCAGAGTGGGACCTAGCTCTTGTAGCCCCGTCCCACATACACACCAACGAGGAACCCCCGGTCAACCCTGGAGGATGGACAGTAGGGTGCATCCCCAGCTCCCTCCAATCAGCCTATGGCTGTTGTATGTTTTGCAACTCTTTTATGTTACACTATTTATCGTATGTGTGTATTAATCAATTCCATTGAATTATATTATGTATATATGTGTTAACGGGACATTAAAATGAAGCATTTTCAAAGCATCCATCTATCAAACGCATTGCACGTAGCAATAGCTTATAGCTGAAAGATGAGGAGGTGGAGCTAATCAGGGACAGAGTGCGATAACGATGTTGACTATCTAGAGAATTATGGACATTCACTTGGGGTTATTACTTATTTGATTGATTGTAATGATCGATGACTTCATATAGAATCAATCGATGCATGGTATAGGTTTTTTTATTTTACAATAGTGGATAAACTTTGATGATTTTGGAGTCTTTTGCGAATTGCGACTCATGAAATTGTTTTTGAATAAATGGAAACATCTTATTATTCAGCAAATTTTTTGTTTTTGTTTTGGAAAATACTATTTTCAATACCATCGTTTGGTGATTTCTTATCAAATAGACTAAAGTTTCTATCAATACTGTTTTAAGTATGCACACGCTACTTAAACAGAGTTTTCCCAAACAACATCACATTTCTACCGCGCGATCCCATCTTAACTCCAACTTGGAACGAGTCGCCGTAGCTCCTAAGAATTGTCTTCATCGACACAAAAAACAGGCAAAACAAAAACACGCACAAAAAAATGCCAATCTTTCTGCCTTATCCCTTCACCAAATAAAAACCCAACACAACACTCCCACTCCCACCCTGCCACAATTTAACCGACTCATTTCACTCCTTCCCGGCGGCGCCTCTTCCACCGCCTGCTTACCCACCTTACCATATATCTCTCCCGTTTGTCTGTCCGGAGAGAAAAGGGGAAGAGAGGCAAAAGCTGACACCATGGGAAGAAAGCTGGACTCGATTCTGGGCAGGAACAACTTCAAGTCCTACAAGTTCAAAGCACTCGCCAACCTCGCCGTCTCCCGCCTCGCCATCTTCAAGAACCAGCGCCAGGTCAAGCTCAACCACGCCCGCGCCGACGTCGTCGACCTCCTCCACCTCGGCCACCGCGACCGCGCCCTCCTCCGCGTCGAGCACGTCATCAAGGAGCAGGGGATGCTGGAAGTCTATGCAATGATGGAGGATTACTGCAACCTTCTCGTCGACAGGCTTCAACTCATCGAACAACAAAGGTTAGTTCCTTTCGACAAGACTAATCTGTGTCTGTTTTTTCTTCATTCGACTTCGACTAACTGGTTCTTGTGTATACATGTATTTCCAGGGTTTGCCCCGATGAACTGAAGGAGGCGATATCAGGCTTGCTCTTTGCATCGTCTAGGTGCGGGGATTTCCCTGAGCTTCAAGAGATTCGGCTTCTGTTGACATCTCGCTATGGGAAGGAGTTCGCTGCTCGCGCTGTTGAATTGCGCAACAATTCTGGTGTTAGCTACAGGGTACGTATCGATGGTGTACTCTCACCTGTGTTTGCTGAATCCATATGGTTTGATTGATTTGGTTATGGTCAGTTGACGATATAAATCGAAACTGAATCCTTGTGCAGATGATACAGAAGATGTCCACTAGGCAGCCGGACAGGGAGACCAGAATCAAGGTGCTGAGAGAGATTGCGGCAGAGAACAATATCGCCTTGGAAGAGCTAGATCAACCTCCTTCAACGTTAACATCTCAGGCAGAGCCCTACGCCGTGAGCAGTAAGCAAGGCGAGGAAGGAGAGACATCAGCAGCAGCTGCAAGCAGCACCGCATCAGAAGAGATTGGGAGAAATGGTCTCACTGATTCGATCCAAGTGAAGAGGAAGTACAAAGATGTGGCTGACGCAGCACAGGCAGCGCTTGAGTCAGCTGTCTATGCGGCTGAAGCAGCAAGAGCTGCTGTTGAACTCTCTCGATCCGATGATCGAGGTCACCCTAACAACCATGATAAAAGAAGGGAAGTGATGATGAGCCAAGATGAGGAAATGGAAGACTCTGAACCTGAACCTGAAGATGAGGAAACCGTTTGTAATGTTGAAAGCAGAGCTGCTGCTTCAGAATCGAAGTCGTCTTCTTCGAGTCTGGATCCTGAGAATCTAGCCAGGAGGTTGGACAAGGAGATTCAGTTTGATGATGAAAGTGATGATGAGGAGGAGACTGATGAGCAGGTCATGAATGCTGACGATTCTGACAAGGTTGGAGGTCACGAGGCACCACCACGTGCCAAGTCCAGTGAGAATATTATCCCCTCGGTTATTCAAGCTGGGTTGAAGGTGGAACCAGTAGATGTATGCCCTAATGCAAAACAACCAGCTCCAAGGGAATCAAGAACTACAAGGACCTTGAACATACTCAAGGCACCGTTTTCTGTGAGGACCAGGCACGTTCGTGGATACTGAGAAGAACCTTACTCGTCGGAAGTACAAAGTTTTGCAGGTTGCTCCGAATAATTGAAGTGTTGATTTGTGCACAGTTCAGTAGGTTTTTGATGTTTTTTGTTTGTTCGACTCTTTGTTCGTAAAGCTTTGTTCATTCGAGGCGTTGTAAGAATAATGTACCATGTTGGTAGGGAAAGGATAATGAAAAATGCAGGAAAGATCATGCCAGATAATCAACATTCCACCATGGGAAGAAACATTCCACATTACATGAACTATAATATGCAATAGGTTTTGCAGAGCAGCCATACATAAACTTACTAAATTGAATAACTGCACTTCGATGATCAATGTCTATAAACAGGAAAGTCTGCAGAAGAACACAGGAGGAAAGCTTAATACATGGATAAAAAGAGGGAGGCTAAGGCAGTATGAAGAATCTACATACTTGATACGACGTTTAAGTCAGGAAACAGACCAAGACCTTTTGAACTCAAAACTTGTATGGACCTGCTGATAATTACTTGCTTCTCAGTCGCTTGTTAGCGGGCTGCTGCAGATCACTGAGTGACTGCAAACTTACACCCACGTCCTCGTCGTACTCGATGCCAAGTTCCTCCTGCAACACAATAATCTGTTATAAATGTTTGGATCGCATAGAAACAATATGCTCGGAAAGCCACAAACTACTTGTATGGTTAAAAACCTTAAATTCTTTCAGATCTTTAGGCGAGTTCTCAGTTATGGCATCCCACAGATCTTTGAACATCCTTCTACGCTTTCTCCACTGACTCAATCTATCATTAAACATTTCAGCAACAGCTTTCCTCTCCTCTGGCTTCACCAAGGCAGCTCCACCACGCATTTTCAACAATTTTTCTTCCATTTCCTTCACCTGAGACCAAAACAAAAGAACATGCAGTGTGCTCAAATTTAGTACAACTTTTAACCAACTAGTTCATAATAAGAATAAGAAGAAAAGCACTAGTAAGTACTAAGTAGTATGACTAACCTCCTTCTTTAGTACGGCTTCTTCAACCCGAATCTCGTCCAGTGTTAGATTTGACTTTAGAGCCTTGATTTCTGCAATAAATTAGCATTCATAAGTACACACTGATTCACTTTCTGAACTGTCTACTACCGGAACTAGAACCCAGGTGTAGAAAAGCCGAACAAACTCCAATGGTTTTGGGTAACATCACAATGCAGGCACTAAGAAACTCTACAATGGAGGGCTGAAGAAACAGGTTTCGCGAAGGAAGAAGAAGCAAATCTAAACAGTTACCTGCCTCGACCTCTGCAGTTGCCTTCTTCTGTTCACCCAGTTTCTGCTGCAACTTAGCATTATCGTCTTTGATCTGAGCAAGCTCTTCAGCATTTGGGATCTCAAACTGGTCCTGGCGAGCTATGTATATCTTCTGCTTGCCGTACTCCTTAAACGAAATCTTCCCAGTATCCACAAGAGTATCCAGTGCTTTCTGTACAGCAGTCTTCTTGAGGTTGTCCTTTTGTAATGAATCCGCTACAATCTGAGAATTCAGTGGCCGATTTTGCTACAGACAAAACACATACAACAAAACCGAATTAGGATTCTCAGACGCATAATCAGCTTCCATGACCGTCTGAACTACTTCATGACACCAAGCAATTGCAGCCACAGGTTTGAATCCTCAATTGAGTACTAATACTTCACACTGTCGAAACCCTAACCAATTTGATTGGAAGAAATACATCGATCACCAGTTCAATACACCTAAACACAGCGTAAACTAAGAACGAACTAGGAAGATTCAAAAGGAGAAAACCCATAAAAAGCAAAAGATAGGTTACCTGGTTAACGAATTTGAGCACGATTGCTGCGAAACCGTCCAGAAATGAATTTACAGAGTCAGTAAGTCTCAGAGAATCGATATTAATTTGCTTTTTGAAGCGAAGTAGGCGGAAAAAGATTTGAATCTAGCAATCGACATTGATTGAAGAAGGAAAGGGAACAGGAAACGAGATCAAGAGATGCAGGTAGAGATGGTGATTTTGGTTTACCTTCGGGGCTATCGGATTTGGGAGCCATTGCCGACGGCCGAGCGATGGAAGTAGAGGAAATGCGCGGGAAAAAACTTTGGGGAAGACGACGACGGCAGTGAGCAGAGAGATATCGGGGAAGGAAACTTGCTCGATAAGACGACGAGAAAGTGCGTGAGTGAGGAACGACCGTACGCTTTTATATTTGAAGTTTCTAACCCTTGTCAAATGGGCCAAGAGTGGGCTGAGCGCCTTTACACGAGCAAACTATTTGGTAAGCCCATTCTTACATTGGGCAGCAATCCTCAGCCCATCGGGATTTCATTTCACCCATTCGGTAACCACTACCAGCGACGACACAGGGACATGTTCCTCCTAATTGTCCAGTACGGAGTAGACCTGGCAATCGGGTCGGGTTGGGTAATTTCGGGTTGAGAACTTTGGTTACGGGTTGGGTCATGTTTGGTTGGCTTATTTCGGATTATCGGGTTCGGGTCATTTGGATTTCGGGTTATAAAATTTTTTAGTTTTCGGGCGGTTTCGGGTCAGGTTATAATTTGCCAGGTCTAGTACGGAGGCTTTTCAAGAAGGCTCTGCAGTGATTGAGAATTTTTGGCGCCATTTACAGGTTCCCTTTCACCTCCAACAGTTAAGCCCGAGTTAAATCGTGCTCAAGGAGGTTCTAGCTTCTGCTTCAGCAGGGTCAGGGAGACGCCTGAGTTGGCTATTACCGCCGTGGATGCTGGTTGTTCCGACAGAAACCATGTATTAATGACTAAACCGATATAAATCATCACGGTATCATAACGTTCTTATAGCTATATCTTGGAACTGCTAACCCCATCGGTTTCATATATGGTTTACAGTGTCGCATATGTACTTCGTAATCGTATGTAAGGATAACTAACCTTTGAAAAAATTATGAAGCCGCGTCGCCATAACTAGACCCCTTGCTCAAGGTTGTCAAACCGGTTTATGCCAGTGTGCCGGTTTAACAAGTGGAATGGTTCAACCGGTGGTACATATTGGTTTGTGCCGGTTCATGCCGGTTAATATTATAAATAATTTATAAATTCTCATATTTAAACACAACATTTAACGTCAATACCTAAATATTTGTACTTGAATCCAACAAATAACATCAACATTTAACTTTTTAACCCATAAAATAAATAATAAATTACTTTTTATCAATTAAATTCATTAAGATAAGATCATTTTATTTGGAGATTCGTATATCGATCATGCCGGTCATACCAGTAGTGTCATGCCGATTTTATGACCGGTACAGGTTAAACCAGGTTGAACCAGTGGCACGCCGGCCGGCGTGACAACCATGCCCTTGCTGCAGGGAGAAATGATCTGAAGACCCACATCAGGTCTTTTAATCCAGCCGGGAAAAACCCTGCCGCTTTGCTGTATGCAGTTATTCACTTATACCGTTTATATGGTATAGTTGCCTCTACAAGCATTTGTCTGGTAAGTGAAAATCTGCATCAACTACTTCAATGGCTATAGCTTGAATGGGGTTGAAAATGCTATACAAATCAATCCTGCACTCTTGTTCGTAACCTGTTCACAACTCGGGTTTCTTTCAAACGATGAATGCATCCTGACTGAACACTTCACAATTACCAAAACCATGGCAGTTCAGCCATCAGAACATTGCCTCAGTTACACAGGAACTGGAACAGCTTTCAGACCCCAAACAAAAGTGCAAAGAGCAACCAGGCCACCACTGGCATTACCAAAACCAATCTCTATTACAATCTACAGACAACAATGACGAATTACAAAAGTCCACCCCCCACAGATTTTGGCAACTAACCAGGAGGGGGAGGAGGAGGTCTGGAATGTCAAGCAGTGAGATTGCCACCACTCTGTTGCCACAAGTTGATGATATCAGTAGCCTGGTTGAGTAGTATAATCATCTTCTTCTGGGAAATCCAGGGCTTGCTTTCCAAAGTCGTCTTGAGCTCTTCCCAGGCATCTTTTCTAGGCCAGAAGAAGTACGGGCTCAGTGGAACCGTGCCATGTCCAGGAATGACTTGATCCAGCCCCAACCCAATGTTCTTCTCCATCCATATGAACTTCAGCACCAATCGAGGCTTCGTCGCTTGGTTCACCACCACCTCATTTATCTGCCAATCAAGAAATACCCCAAAAAGAATACCCACCAGTAATCAGACACTCAATTTCAACGAGGCAAAACAAGATTGTGCAGCAATTCTCTGTCGCTTACCTCGTCAAACGATTGCGCAACTTCTACTTCCTTCTCGTCCTCCTCTGGCGGAGCTGCCACCGCTTCGGGCGCAGCGAATGCGGAGAATCGCTTTCGATGGAGAACGGAGGACAAATGTCGTTTTGGAGAAGATTTTAGGAGGGCGAGGGTCGTGGATTTGAATGCAGTTGTTGTGGGAATCTGGGGAAGGAGGGAACAGGAGAATGGGGAAGCGCCATTGGGGACGGATTGAATTGCAGCTGGCAACATTTTCAGAGCGAAGGTTTTCTTTCCCGGGTCCAAATTCTGTGATTGGAAGGAAGGGAAAGGACGGATGCGGTGAGTTTTCGGATAAGGGAAGCTTTCGGGCAGTCGCGTTTTCACTTTTTCAGAGGAGCGGCGAGTTTGGGCTTTGGGTCTACTACTGCAGTGGGCCAGTAGGCCTACTACCAAGTCTCGGGTCAAATTATAGCTCTGTGAGACTATGACATTTACCCAGATCCCTGATCACCTGTTACGGAGTCACTATTCGATTATCGATAGTGAATTTCTTGATAAATAAAATGCAAAATACACTTTCAATCTTTAATAGTCACAACTTTTATGTTTGTAACATTTATAGTTACATCTTTCGAAATATAGAAAGGTCAATACTACGGTGCCGCCATAAAAAGTGCGGCACCGGTAATGCAGCTTTTCATTGGTCCACGTGGACTATTATGTGGCATAATCCGATTTTATTTAATTTGAACTAGAAACTGATGACCATCAGACCTACTCAAACCAAGCTACCCAAACTGACGGAACAGACTAATTGTAAATTCATTAGTGTTACAAGGAAAAAACCAATAAAAGGAAATCTAGAACAGAATCACCTTCGTCGTCTTCCTCGCTCTTCTTCTCCGGCGGACATCAGTTTCAGCGAACTTCACTGTAATTGATAGTGTCTCAAGTCTCTATCATATGCCTCCAGGCATCTCCTTCGCAATCTTCCTCTTACGTTTATTCTTTGAAAACAAAACGTACAAATCTTTGCCTCGACTGACCCTCTGTCCCCGTCGAACCGCCACCTTACCAGACGATCACAATCTATAATAAAATAGAACCGCCACCCATTGGCACTCCCCCTCGATTTGCCCCCTCTTTGTTGTAATCATCGAAATAGAATATGAATTTCCTTGGAAGTGCATAAAAGTTTCCCCAACAAATTCAAAGGGTCCAGGTATACGATTCATTTGTATTTTGAGCAGCCTTGGAGAACTATTGAATAAGAACATAGTATTTGATGAAGTGACATTAAATGGCAGCATCTGGTTCAACCTTAACCTTCACTGGCAAGCATGTCCCGGGTGACGCACCCGTCCCCGTCCTTCTTCTGCACATCGACCTTGGTTGCAGTACCATCCACCGGATGGATGCTATGATTCAGAGCACACGGTATGAGTTGCATTTCATCTTCTTTCTTACTAGCAGAAGTGCAGAACCCCAATTCTTTTTATTTTTATTTTTTTTATAACCAGCCTAATTTTATTAAACCCACAAGGAGTTTAACGATACAGTGACCATCTGCTCAAAGTACTTGAACCAAACAAGGGGGTGGACGTCTATCCTACTTCTCTTGGCCTCGCTCATGCTTCTATTGGGCGCAGTATCATCAATCTTCAGCTGTTTTCATGTGGATCACTCTAGTTGAGCGGGTAGTACGGGTACCCGTAATACCCAAACGGGTATTAACGGGTAACCCGTAGGTATTCGCTGTAGAACTTATTCATCCAAATCCCATCCCATAAAATAAATTACAGGTATTTGGGTACCCGTAACCCTAAAAAAAGAGACGGGTACAGGTATACCCAAATACTCGTTTCTGGTTGCCCACCCCTATTCCAAATGAAATACAACTCTACGAGTGATTCTCTGTCTCTATATCAGCTCTAGAGTTCAAAATTTGTCTAGAAGCTCTAAGGGTAAAAAAGTGCCATAAATGGCACCCTACACACCATTTTGACTAGATATCCTCCATTTTCATAAGGTAGATCGATTCTCCCCCATATCAATCCCTATGTGTTTCCTTCGAATATTAGTGGTTAAAACCTCCGACTATGTAGGTTCATGAACCTTAAAGATCCCAAAAATTATGTATGATGTATATATATCTCCTAATTGATGTTCATTCACTTTGCTATATTTATCGTCAACGCTCATTCTCATATGTGTGAGCTTGAATCATATACTCATATTCTTCTTTTGGTCCCTAAATATTAGCTCTCACCTTATATCCCAAAGAAGAGCTAAAATAACCCCTAAAATCCCCTTTAGCCATGTAGTGTTAGAGAGTGGTATAAAGATCCAACATAACCTTCTCCCAACAACTCGAGTTATTGAGAGCAACTGGTTCTTGACATGGTATCAGAGCTGGTTTGGCCAAGTAGTCGTGTGTTCGAATCTCCACGACCCCCAATATTAACCTTTGATTAAAAGCACAAGGTATGGTGGGCCTGTGCAAACTTCAAGCCCATGGGTTGGCTTTCGTTTGAGGGGGCGTGTTAGAGAGTGGTATAAAGATCCAACATAACCTTCTCCCAACAACTCGAGTTATTGAGAGCAACTGGTTCTTGACATGTAGCCCCCATATTTTAGTCCATGGTTGTAGAAAATTTTTGGGGCTAAAAGGAAAAATGCCCTTTTAGTTTCAGGATTGTGGACAGTCTAAGATATTGAATTGTAGTAAATGGAGAGATCTGTGTCAAATGCTTTCAATTGCTAATATATGTTGTGACCGATTCGATTGCTAGTCTGCAAACTCTAGGATACAAATAAATACGGTGTCTTGTGTAAATAAAACGAGAAATGATATTAAAAACTTATCTTTTCAAGAAGCCAAGATAATAATAAAAATTTCCGAATAAAGATTTGGTACAGTGGTAGGTGGGTGATACTACTACTACCACCATTGGTTTTCAACCTGAAAATTCCAGATTTGACTCTCATAAATAGCACTTAACAATAAAAGCGAACTTATATCACCCCTCACAAAAAGTATAGAACATTTAATAGAAGATCTCCATGGAGATTGCATATTGATTGATTAATATGATTATTAATAGAACTACCATACTTTATTATGGAAGCTTATCAGCATCATTAACTGCTGAATATATAGATTGAATTCCAGAATAGGAAAACAAATAATCTTACTCCTCATATATATATATAGAGTTCCAAACGTACATCTGAGAGTGATCAAGTGACAAAGACGATTATATACTTGTTGTTATGGGGAGGGGAAGCAGCAACAAAATGATCTCAAATGTTACAATTCTGCTGAGCATCATCATCATCATCGTCTCCAATCTACTGCTCTCTGCTACCACCGTAGCATCGTTCTCCTTCTGGCCGTACCATTACGTCCACGTCACCAACGAGCTCACCGGCGGGAAGGTGCTGCTTGTCCACTGCAAGTCCGGCACCCGCGATCTCGGGGTCCAGAACATCACCCCTGCCAAGGAGCTGACGTGGCGGTTCAGGCCCGGGTTTCTCGTCGTGTCGACTCTCTATTGGTGCTACGTGGCCCCCGACGACAGCCACCACATCCATTTCGATGCGTGGACAAACGACGTCGCAGGGAAGTACGAGTACGATTACAACATGTCATGGGTCGTTAAAGACGACGGGCTCTATGTGAGAATTCCGACCCGCGGCGATCTGTGTTGGCAAAAATGGGATCAGGGGAGGATGGAACGAGACAGCGAAATTCTCTTGACTCGTTTTAATTAATCATCTAATGGAAATTGATAAATCTCGAGTTAATTTCTCAAGTAATTGTTTACCAATAGCTATACCAATCATCTAATGAAGCATTGGCTAGTTTATTCTTACTATATGATTGTTAACTCTAAGGTTGGGAGGAAAGGTGTGGTCACTATATTGACCTTTTTTATTTATTACCGCGGGGGAATTATGCTGTGCCGGCACAACATCGGTGCCGGTTCACGCTTAACCGTTGTTACTAAGGGTAAATTGAGTATGGAAAAAATAAATTATATTAATTAATTTTAATAAATTACAGTTTAGGTAGTTACAAAAATCTATTAATTACCATTCTTTCTCTTTCTCTCACTTTCGTAATCTTCAGTCAGATCTCCTTTCCATATTTTTCTCAATTTTTCTGCAAAAGAAAAAAACATGAAATCACTACCAATCCATTAGCAAACCACTACAATTTTGAAAAGCATCAATATCATTGCAGAAATAAATCTATACCATTACACGAAAATTATCAATATAAATAATCTATACCATTACAAAAGTCAAACAAATACCAAAACAACAAACTACCAATATAAATAATCTACTTGTACCTTTATGTGATGGTACAACTTCAAGTTGTAAAGTTGTACCATAACATAATGGTACAAATTCCTCTATGATACAATCTAAACTTATACATCTAATGTTATGGTACAACTTTGAGTTGTACATTAAAGAACCATTGCTATATAGCATAGTAGAAATGCTAGTGAAAGAATTACCTTTAGATAAGAAATGATACTCAGATAAAGATTTAACACACCAATTCTCACACCGAAGAGTAGGGATGACAATTTGAACCCGCCCCGCCGGATAATACCTGACCCGACCCGCGATGGGGCGGGGTATGGGTATCAACTTCCGACCCGCCCCATTCTTAGCCCGTTCTAGATCAATTTTTTACCCCATCCATTCATATATCTCCTATTTTGGCTTTTATTCAACTAGTTAAACTTGATCTTTCAACTAAATAGACTCAATTACTTATTATATTATCACTATTATTCATTCGTCAAGTCTTTTCCCCTTCATTTTATCATAAAAAAATAAAATTGTGTGTGTATTTTTCTCAAATAGCATGTCAGAGTGGGTCGACCCGCCCCGTCCGTACCCGCGCGGATATTATCCTCCCCGACCTGTACTAGCGTGGGGGAGCATGGATATTGAGGGCCCCGCCCCAACCCATTGCCATCACTACCGAAGAGACGTTATAGGGATAAGGAGTGTCAATCCACTACCGAGGCGATTAGTTTAAAATTCCATTTGTATGATTTCATCTAGAATTATTCTTTTTCAAAAATGTAAAATGGTGAGTTGAAAATTCCAAATAGATCGATCTATTTTTTTACAATATCGTAGACTAGACTATGATAATTTTTTTATTATTATCAATGATTAAAAATGCATACAAACTATAAAAAATCAACGAATTGAAGTCAATGACAATCGCTCCCCGACTATCGCAAATTCAATGATGAGTTTCAACACAACATTAAAAAGCTCACTTGCAAGATCTTTGATAAACCAAGGCTCTGATGAGCCTGTGTACAGTGGGTACAGATCTGCAGTGCAATCCACTGGTCAAGAGGAAACTTTGGTAGGTAATGTAGTAATGTTTGACTGCATGCATGCGGAATGGGATTAGGTGCTAATCCTTATAGGGGTTAGCACCGTGATAACTAGCAAAAAACGCTACTAAAAATAACAAAATCACTACGGATTATTATAAAATCAATACAACGCTACTAAAAATAACGAAATCACTACGGATTATTATAAAATCAATACAACATCTAAGCTAAATCACTACTAATTCAAACTAGTAGTAGTTTTTCCCTTGGTTAGGACGATGCTAACTATTGTAGAATTAGCACCGTAGCCGTTCCCCATGCATGCATGTGTTGCTCTAGATAATGTCGGAGCATGAATGTTTGAATGTGTTTTTTTTGGTAAATTGCAAGTTTGGTCACTGAAAGTGCTAAAATATTCCCGTTTGGTTACGGAAAGAATTTTATTCTATCCCTGGTCACTGAAAGTGCTTAACGGTTCACAATTTGTCACTCTCCGTTAGTCTCCGTCAGCCTCCATTAACGGAGTTCGTTATTTGCTGACGTGGTTAACAGTGTGGCCGAGTCAGCGTGATTTAACATGGAAAAAAAGGAACCCGACCCGTCACGTCAATTTTACCCGCCATGTCAGATCCCCCAACCAAACCCGTGAACCCAACCCATGAGGCAGTTAGACCTAAGATTAAACCACGTAAAAAGAAATTAAAAATGGGTTTAACAACTGAAAGAAGAAAAAGAGTGGCCATTCGTTTCAACCCATCTCCTTCCTCCTCGAACCCTTCCTCTTCCCTTGTCTGCAAATTTCTTCCGATATCAAGGAGCGGCGATGGAGCTAGCCACTCCACCCCACTGATTTCCTCCACCCCACCTCGACGACATCACCTCTCCTTTTCTTCTTCATCGCTTTTAATCTTCTGCTTCTGTTTCATTCTACTTAAAACCCTAATCCACCGCAACTCTGTTCTCTTTGGTGATTTTTGCCCGACGGAGACCCAGATCCAGACGAAGCTTCTCTTTCTATCAGTTTGATTGTAAAGGTGAGTTTGTGGTGTTTTATTTAGGTTCGACATCGCATGCAAAGGTTGGAAAAAAGACAATAGAAGGGACATAGAAAAGGGACGATTTGGGAGTTGCCTTTGGGGGGTTTTCTGCCTTTCTTTTATACTAAACAAAGGCAATGTTGTTGTTTTTCCAGGTTAGTTCGCTTTACACCAAAGAAGCATGGTGGGACATGTGCGAGGACCAAATGAATCCCAACCAAAATACGGTGAGTTGCTGTCGTTTTCGATTCTGTCCTTTTCGTAGCTGGTCTTTTTCTAGTAGTAAATGTTAGCTTCTTGTGGGGATGATCAAAACCAACAACATTGGCTGTCTTTTTTGAATAGAAAATGCTTGGGTCTTGTGGGATGACCAAAGCAGCATAACTGTTGTCCTTTTTTGAATAAAAAATGTTTGGTTTTTTTTTGGATGACCAAAACAGTAGCATTGATGCTCTTTGACCTTTTGTTGACCATGCCTGCTCTTTTCCTTTTGAACTAACAGTAGCATTGTTATGGATGACAGGTGCTGGCAATGGAGAGTTTTCATTTGCAGTTCATGTGTCACACATATTTGAAGAGAAGGACGGCAAACATTTCTTGACTGAGAAAGAGACAGTCTATTGGGACTATGCCGATATCGATGAGCTCTCGGTGCTGGACTTGCCCGGCATATACGAGGCATGTGGTGGGAGGTAGAAGAATTCGATTTTTTTTTGGCAATCTCCATGCAATGAGGCAATGAATGAGCTTACTACGGACGAAGACATACTTAGTATGACAACATTTGCTAATGAGGAGCGACGAATCATAGAACTATTTGCCATCACTAAGGCCGAGATATCAGAGTTCATGGAGAGCGGTGAAGAGGAAGCAGGTGCTGCCAAGAAGGGTACAAAGGGTGGAAAAACTACCAAGAATGGTACAAAGGGGAAACAAGTTGTTGTAGTTGATATCCTTGAGAGTGATACTGGCTATGAAGAGGAAGAAGACAGTTACTACGTGGAATCAGCAGCAGAAGAGGATTTTAGTGATGGTGATAATGCAATGTTTGAGGAACATGTCACTGAAGAGGCAGAAGCTGAATTGGGAAGCTTTGAACGTGGAAATTCGAGTTACAGGCAGACCATCATAGATGATGAAGGGTATGATTTTGTTGACTCTGATGATCGTAAGAGTATCTACAGTTCGGATGAAGACTATGAGTACCATCAAACTCATGAGTTTAGGGCTGATCGAGACATGAAGAGTCCTAAATTTGAGGTTTCCCAAAGATTCAGCAGCTTTGACGTTCTGAAAGACGCAATTAAGCAACATGCATTTGTTGAAAAGCGGCCAGTTCGTTTGAAAAAGAATGATAAACAACGGTTACAAGCAGTGTGTGAAGAGCCGTGTGATTGGTATATATGGGCATGAAGGATGAACATGACTGATGCTGTCCAAATTAAGAGTTGCAAGTTGGAGCACACTCCGGATTGTCAAATGATTTTCAAAGTCAAGTATGCAACAGCAAAGTTTCTGGGGGTTAAAATTGCTAGGAAGGTGGTGGCAGACAAGATTATAAGTAAGGGTTTGCTGAAGCAAATTTGCAAGGAAGATTAGAAGGAAGATGTGAGGGATACAAAGGCATGGAGAATAAAAAAGGAAGCCATTGAGCAACTTCGTGGAAGTTATGTGGAGCAGTTTCGAAGTCTGTATCACTATGCAGAAGAGTTGAGGAGGAGCAACCCCAACTCTACAATGATCATTGAGCAGAGAAATCAACATTTTCATCGGATGTACGTTTGTTTCGAGGCTTCGAAGCAAGGATTCAAGGCTGGTTGTAGACAAATCTTATGCATAGATGGATGCTTCTTGAAGCATGAATATGGAGGACAGCTTCTTTCAGCAGTAGGTGTCGACTCAAACGATCAATACTATCTAGTCGCTTTTACTCATGTTGAAGTGGAGAATAGGGAGAATTGGGAATGGTTTCTTCAGCAGATTGCTAGTGATCTTAACATCATGGATAATCCCGGATGGACATTCATGTCCGACAAATAGAAGGTATACCAATTTTCTCATACTTTTTTTGTTGCAAATGGAGGAATTCACACTAGTTACATATGTTGACCTATATTGTGTTGTTTTATTTAGGGTCTCATTCCAGCCCTTGACCATGTCTTTCCCTCATGTGAGAAGAGACATTGCGCAAGGCACTTATGGACAAATTTGAAGGGAGCATGTGGGAGTTCCAAAATGGTGAAGGACTTGTTTTGGACAGCAGCTAGAGCATACACTGTGCCTGAGTTTCGGACCGCAATGCAAGATTTGTCCGAGTACCATAAGCCCTCTTATGATTGGCTGGTTGAAAAGCCATTTCACCATTGGACCAGGTCCCATTTTCTCACCTTCACAACATGTGACATAATTACAAGCAATATGGCAGAGAGTTGGAATAATGTGATTCTACAGGAGAGGGATTTGGGACCTATAAGCATGTGGGAGGGGATTAGGAGAAATTTGATGCTTTTATATGCCGATAGACAGCAGGAGGTAACTAAGTGGGTTGGTCCGTTGAGTCGGAAGATTGCATTTAAACTTGGGAAGTTGGCAAAAGAAGCTGTGAAGTGGGTAGCTGAATCAAAGGGAAATGGTGAGTTTGAAGTAAGATGGCACAACA